ATATTATTAATATATCTATTCTTTACTTATCTTACTTATAAGGTTATTAGAGTTACTTACGTCGCGTAAGTAAGGTCTTAGTAGATCTAGTTAAGTAGCTTATTAAGAGCGAGCCGTAATACGAACTCTATACTATATCTTCTATATCTACTACTACTTAAAGAAAATACTTTAAAGTAGCTATAGAGATAGATAATCTAGCTATAAATTATTAAGAAGCTAATTAAGATTTATTTCTCTATAGTCTTAATCGACTTAATTATAATAATTATAATCTTTAGAGTAAAGTTTATTATTAGACGAGCTCCGAGGATTAAATTACGCCTAGGTATTACTACTTCTATCTTTTACTAGTAGCCTTTCTTATAGTATTTCGAATCTATACGATAATTAGCTATATAGTATAACTATAGTCTATTAGTACTTCCTTTAGAATTCTAGAAGAATATAGTTACTTTACTAGATTCGAGACTATAGTAGTTTATATATAAAGGATACTAAGTTAACTAGTATATACTACTAAATTTAGTATACTAGCTCTTATATATAAACTCTAGTTATATATAAGAATAGTTATATATTTTCTAAAAATAGGTTTCTAGAACTAGAATAATATAGGAAGTATCTTCTAAAGCTTAGTTATATAGTATATAGATTCTTCTAGTAGCTATTACTTATCTATAGTAGCTATACTTTCTCGATACTAGAAGCAATACTTTAATATATTTATATCTCTTCCTAAGAGTATAATAATCTAGAAAGTATATACTATAGATTCCTAGTACTTAAAGCGCTATATATAGAGTATAACTTAGAAAAGTACTATCTACCTATAGTAGCTATATCTTCCTAGTACTATAAATAACGCTCGGATACGTCTATATATCTTTATAAAAGTAATATAGTATAGAATATAGAATAGAAGCTATCCTAGCTTTAGCTATACTACTAAGAGTAAATAGCTAGTAGCTACTACTAGTTAATACTAGCTATATCTTCCTAGTACTAGGAATAAAGCTCTAGTATATATATATATACTTTCCTAATAGAGAAATAGTATAGAATATATTATTTATAAAGTCCTAGGTATTAGTAGCTATATATAGTAGGCTATACCTTAGTCTTCTATATGTCCTATACTATAGTATATATTGCTAGTACTAGGAATAATATTTCTATATTATCCTATACTTCTCTAAGCTTAGAGTATTAATAGCTTATATAGAAGGAGAATCCTAAGTCTCGTTATAGTATCTAGCTTATCGAGAGCGTATAAGAACGACCTATACTATATAATAGCTTCCTATTACTAGAAATAATACTATAATATAACCTTATATAAACCTAATATTAAGATATTTATAGTATAAGTAGAAGGCTCTTCCTAAATTTAAAATAATAGACTCTACGACTATTTTATTCTTATACTTATAATATAGCCTTCTACTATATACTATCGTAAGCTCTAATACTTTATTAGTAATAAGTTACGATTCGGAGAGGCTTCTCGAGGCGCTTTACTACTAGGCTATACTATACTCTTCTATACTTAACCTATTATACTATAGTAGAGCTTCCTACTATTAGAACCGATTATATAGTATATATCTATATATTCGTAGCCTTAGGATAGTCGTAGTATAAGTAGGTCTAGACTAGGACTCTTTTATAATATTAGTAGGGAATATACCTAGGCGTCCTATGCGGCTTCTATACTACTATAGGTCGTCCTAGTATAGAGAGTTCTAACTTAATAGTTTTAGATATATTCCTAAGTCTAGAGCGCTATAGAATACTACGAGACGTAATTAATTACTATCTTAGTCTCTTAGCTCTAGCGATAAGCTTATAGGAAGTAGATACTTTTCTTACTACCGGAATTAGTAGAAAGCTATAGGTAGCTAAGAATTTCTCGGTACCTTCGCAAAGCTATATTGTCTTATAGTAGAGCTTTCGCTTCCGTATAGCAGTGCTAAGCTATTCTAAATTTCGATACTTAAGCAGGGTGCCACTCGACTAATGCTAACTTTCCGAATTATAAAGCAGCTCGGAATTTGAGAATCGCTGCCTCGATGTAAGCTTGCGAAGGCTGATCTCTATACCGCTGTTTCCGCCGACACGTTAAATAGGAGATTCTCAAAGCTCCTACAAACCTTATCCCAAGACAACCATTCTCCTTTGTCGCTCCAGGCACCTGCTCCAGCGCCCTTTGAAAGCCCGCCGAATGGCGTGGCAGCTGTCCACTGCGCTCCTCTGATTGTACCGATGGGCTCATTTGGCGTAGCAGCCTGGATAACTTCAAGACCGTACGGGTGGAACCAAAGTCGAGGCCACCACGTGTCTCGCAATTGTTTCTCGCCGGCAGCATGCCAAAGAGTGAAGAACTGATTGTTGATTACGTTGAGACCGAGTGACACGTCCCCCCATCCAACTTTCGAGAGATGGTCTTGCTTCTTTGCTAGTCGCTGAAATGGTCTGCTGTTCTGCAGCGCTACAGGGAGCGATAACGAAGCATGGTTCGCGCGGACCCAGGCCAAGTCGATGCCGCCAGGTGAAACGATCTGAGCCAGATTCGTCACGTAGTCGAGTGTGATACCGAATTCTGGCGAGCCATGTTGCTCGGCGACTTTTCGAGGTGGAAAGTCTGGATCTGCCAGCTCGGCACGAATGTCTGCTGAAAGACCAATGCTCGGATTGAGCTTCTTCGCAGGCCCGTTGACTGCATTCACAAGATCAACTCTGCGTCGTTCCTGCTCGCCCCATAGATCAGACAGGACGAGCTGATCGTTGAAGTGCAGCTCGTTGTCCTCATCGTACGCTTCTCTGTACATCACCATCGCTGCTTTCATCATCGCCTTGATCTCCGCGATAGGCCCAATGATGGTGCCAGAATTCAGATATCGCCTCTCTTTCCATTCAAGCCCGAGCTTAGCCTCTCTCATCTTCGACGCCTCATCCAACTCTGGCGGTAATGGTACCAGGCTGCAAGCCGGCGTCCCATCGGCGTATGAAGGCCAACAAGGATGATCTGCGCTGAACATAACCGAGTTTCTGACAGACTTTCCCTCGACTCTGATCCCTAGGATGCCTCGGCGAGACAGTTCTCGGTTCGTTTCGTCCAACGCTGCAAAGTAGTTTTGTAGCAGAACTTCTGGCGGCAACATGAACCAAAGGTCATACCCGTCGACCAACAGGACCAAGTCACCTCTCTGTTCTGCGGCTGCCGGTAGACGGTCGAGGTATTCGAGCGTTTTGCTGACCTTGAACATGAATCCATCTTTGTCTGGAAAGTCCTCGCCCCATTTCAAGAATGTCGGGGGAGGGTATCGGTTCACGATAGCGGTCGCCAGATTCTGGCAGAGGTACTTCGTTGACTGCGTCGCTGGCACCAAGACGTGAAGTTGGCGATTTCGACCGTGGAAGAGTTGCTCCAAGCGATGGTTGAGCCACATTCCTTTATCGACGTTCGAGTCCTGCGAAACTTCGAGCCATGCTACAAAACCAAAGTAGACGGAGATCAGGATCGCAACAAGGGCTGCATTAGTTGCCGTGAAGATCGTGGGTCTCTGTGGCTGATTCTGCCGCTTCCAGCGAGGGAGTGAGTGATTTGGCATCTTCGAGCTACAATCAATACTGGAGGTATGCTTTGTGGAGGTCTACTAGCTTGCGATCAATATATCAACAGGTCACTGAGAGTTTTGTAAGCCTGTATGCAGCTGCAGTCAGACTACCGCACGCTTTGCAGCATCGGTCGCCGCAATACGAATCATGCAAGATTGATCTCCCTGCTAAAGAAAACGACCATGCTTTGAACACCAGCTTGACCAAAGCTTATAACGCGCAACCTTGATGTCCCTTGTCATCCTCTGCCGAGTGGTCGCGAGTGGGCGTTGCACTTACCTGTACTGTACACTGAAGCATCTTGGCGGTCTTAGAAAAGTCCTATGGCTTTGTGGCCTTCACTGTTCAGTCATTGGGATGGGCAGCTAGCTCACCTACGCTGTCGTAGGGCACTGTACATGTCCTATTGCACCAAGCTCGACGGATCTTTGAAGCCCTACATGCGACATATACGATTTTTAGTCATATTTCGCGCAAAGTTGCATAGCTGACGTGAATGCATGTCTCGATGACTGATCATGCCCTCGATCGGGCCTTCCGCGATTAGCAGCACCTGGTCTGGTCTTGTCTGTCCACGGATCTGGTTATTATATCGATCGGGCTATTGGGAGATGCTGGATAACTACAAGCAGGAAGGTTTGCTAGAGGAATGATACAGTGTCACATCAAAATTGATTCAATGCAATTCATTGCGCTAACATAAGCTCCTGGACGTCTTGTTAGCAACTGTAAGTAGACGCGATCAGAAGCCGTGCGTGCGAAGTCGCCAACAGGACATCTACACAAATGGCCTTCGGAGAAAACAGATCAAGCAGGCAAGAGGTTGCCGTTGTAGAGTGGACACAAGCAGGACGTGCAAAGACCGTACCGTACGTCTATAGCGTTCCTTTGAAATGGCAGGACAAGCTGCCGAAGCATGTGCGTCTCGGACGCAGCTCAGCGTGCCCTAAAACTAGGCGTGTCGCCTGAAAAAGAGCAGAGCCTTGTCTTGCGTGCTTTGCAATATACATACGCACTATAGGAGTCTACAACGTCTAGGCTTCGGGCGAGTCGAGCAGCCGCACATTCGCAATCCTTGCCCGCCACGCCAATCCAGATTCAGTCTGATAGAATCGGAGGTGAGGCTCCAGAGTGGTCTGGAGCTCGACAGAAGCTTCTAATGCTAGTCGAGAGTTAATTACGAGAAGTGCGATCGCCTATGCTGACGCCTTTGCGATGGCCACCGCGGCAGGCACCTGTAAGAGACACGCCGTTGCGAAAGCCAGACGGCAATGCCATGACCAAGACGACTGCACAGGCGATCGCACGTCATAGTGGTCGATGGTTGTCGTCGCGGTTGTGTAAGTGTCTCCTGCGCAGGTCTTGTCTCCGGCCGCTGGAATGGAGTATCGTTACGAAAGTCGATGCTCGATCCGAAGAGGTTGGCTAGTCGAGTGGCGCCGTCGAAAGAGCTGTTCAACCTACTCTGCGTCTCTCGTGGCCGGTGTCGGCCGACTGCACGATGCTAGCAGCCGGGAAAATATTCTGGAAGGTCGTGCGTGTAGCAGGTGTAGCAGGTGTAGCGGGTGCATTCTTAAGTCGTCGAAGTTCGCTCTCCTGAGATTTGAATGAATCTTGGCACGAAGCTCAGGTTTACCCCAGCGGAGAATAGCGTACTTGTCAACTCTTCGCCCTCATTCCATGCGCAGTTCGATTTGACTTCGCTTCTGCATCGTGGTTAGCAACGGCAGCGTCAATATCACTCGTGCAAAGAAGACCTACCAGTTATGTGCTCGATGAAGTCGTCACTGTCCTCACTTAGTCCTAAAAAGCCGCGGAGGAGTCATCGTTCGGTATTCGCCGCTCTAAGACCATGTCAGCACTCAGGCAACGCATATTTGGTTGTTCTAAGCTTAAGTCTCCGCCTTATCTAACTCTTGCTCCAGTCGAGCCTAAATTCTCGGCTATCGAGTACAACTCGGTATCGGTTAATCTATAATTAAAGTTAGCTCCTATTAATTATAACTAGCTTTATTACGGTCGACTTCCTTAACCTAGACGTCCTTTTCCTTATTTAATTAGTAGCGCTTACTCCTTATAGAATTAAGCTAGCTCTAGAGTCGCCTAAAGATCGTATCGGTTAACTCGCTTAGTAGAGTCGCGAAGACATCTACTTTATTCTTTAAGGTTATCTTGCTCCGAGTCGAGAGTAGTATCGAATTAACTATCTACTAGTAGTATTTGCTATAGTCTCTTTATCGATAGTCTATCCGCTCTATAGTCTCTATTATCTTTATAGATATATTAGTTATAAATCTATAGCTCGTTCTATAGTATATCGACGGATAGTAGAGAGCTCTATACTTCGGAGGTTATAGGTATCGTCTAAGAAAGTAGTCGATTATTAGTCGGATTCGTTAGAGCGAAGTTTATCTAGTATCTATCTAACTTATAAAATAAGTTATATAAGTAGTACCTATAGCTACTACCTTCTCTCTAATACTATCGACGCTGTACGTTACTAGCGAGATATAAAGTAGTAAGTTAATATTTATATTATAGAGGTCGTTATACCTTATAAAAGTAAGTAGTACTAATATAAAGGACGTTCGAATATAGTATATAATAGCTAAGAGTAATTTGCTTAGTATTTAGCTAGAAAATAGTCGATAATTAATATCGTACTATTCTATATATCGTATCTACTCCTACTTTATACTATAGGTATACTACTCTATCTATAAGTATAGTATTCGAGCTACTAAATATACGGCTTATAACTATAGGTCTATAGTTATAGATATACTACTTATAATTATAGCTTATATATATAGGCTTATAAAGTTATATTTAGGCGATATAGAGAATAGACTACCTATAAGTATAGCGTAGGCTAGTGCTAGTATATAAGAAACTAAGCGCTATAGTAAGTATCTAGGCGATAAGGTATTAAATAAAATTAAGTAAAGATAGTAGAACTTACGACTTCGACTATATAGCTTATATATATAGATATAGCGAATTTTAAGAATATAGTATATAAGTTTAGTATAATATAGATTAGAATTAAGATATAGCTTACTAGAGTAGGTAATAAGAGTAGGTAGTATAAGCTCGATTACTAGTAAGTAAAGTCCCTTATCGGCTACCTAAATTAATTACCTCGACTAGGTCTCGTTCGACTTATAGAAGTAAATTAGATATACCTAGTCGGTTTTATAAGCCGTTTAATACTTAAGCTTCTATTAGTATTCTAGCGATAAGGTAGTAATCTTAGTCTATAGTAAAGGAGTTAGACTCCTAGTGATTCGTTATACCTATAGCTATTAAGTACTTCTAGGAAAGTACTACTAATTTTAAAGGAAAGTCTTAATATATTACGCTTTTAATATTCGTAGTCTATTAATCGCTATTATATAATTCTGCTCTATAGGTTAGAGATCGTACTACGTACGTTACGTAGTCTATAAAGTAGTCTATATAGTCTAATAGTTAAATAGTAATTAGTATAAATTATAGCCTTTAATAATTATAGAATAGCGACCTAGTAGTCTATATATTCTCTATTTCTACTTCCTTCGTCCGAGCTTCTAGCTATAAGTATATACGTTCTATCTATACTAGATAGTAGGCTATTATACTCGTACTCTCTATATACTAAGCTAGGAAAGATATTAAGAGTATACGTATATCTAGAAAGCTAACTAAGTAACTAGCTCCGGATTAATAACCTAAATACCGAGCGGACTAGACGTACCTTACTACTTAAGTATAAGGACTATAAGACCTTACTTAAGTAGTACTAGTGCCTATATCTTAGCCGCTTTTTATAGTAGCGTAGATAATAGATTTCTATAATAGTCGTATATAGGCTTATATCTCTATTAGATCTCTAGTAGCGTAATTCTAATAATACTACCCTTATAGGCAGAATAGTATCTTCGTCTACCGAGCTATTAGTTACTTAAGTTAATAGACAACTATATATTAATATACTATACGTTAAGTTTAATAGTAAATAGTAGTACTAATACGCGATTCCTATATCTAGCTCTAGCTTATTAGTATTTAACTACTATTAGGGTTATCTATTAGTACTATCTATAATATAAAAGTACTTAAGCCTCTTTATACTCTATTATTAATAAAGCTAGAGTAGTTATTTTCCTGCCTCTACTAAACGGAAGTCTCTACTCCGAAAAGCTATTCTATTTAAACTTAAGACTAAAACGATATAGTACTACGCTCTATTAAAGGCAGACTAATATAGCGTACTACTAGCCTACGGCTAACTCGAGTTTAAGGGCAAGATACTCTTAATACTACAATTTATAAAGAGCTCCTTAGACTTATTTCGTATAACTGCTCTAAGTAATTTGCGACTCCGAAAACGCTCGAGCTACTATAATACGAAGCAGCCTTGTTTGCTGCCGTATCGTAACAAAATTCGTCTGCTATCGTCTAATAAATAACTCGTCGCTGCGAATTTAGTACGTCAGTCCACTTCCGCGAGTTGTTAGGCAGCCCCTTACACCAAATCTACCTTAAAGTAGTAATAGGCGTCTAGAGAAAAGACTAGTGGTATGGTCTTACTAGAACGGATTCCTTATCATCGAACGTAAATCATGACGGCAATTCTTAGCCGAGCCCTCCCCCCAGCCCACACTCGCTTCGGGAGTGAGAGACGCCTAAGACGGTCACTGGCGCAAGACTCCCCGAAAGTAAACCGCCCAAAAGCTAGGTCGCAGCCAGACTGATGCCGCTGTCGTTTCGCTGGGGTAGACAGGGACATACCTTCCACGAATAAGTCGAAGCAATTGAGTGGACAGATGTCTGCCTCCGAGACTAGAGGACAGGCTCTGCTCCTGTCACTGGTTAAAATGGACGAGTGCGCTCGAGAGGTGTCTCAGAGAAGACCTCTGCCAACTTTGGGGACTCAGAGTCTCAGCCGTCGAAGCACAATCGAGAGCACTTGTTGTTCATCCTTTAGAGGCAGGCAGATCCGTAAACAGGCTCGGCTTTCTTGTCACAATGCGATATCCTGATACCTGCATAATCCCTTGGTGACATAACTAGCACATGTACTGGGGAGAATGCTTAACCTATGGCCTCGTGCGAATCCGGTAGCAAAGTCAGTGGAACGTTGAACTCCAAGAAGAAACACTGCACAATGTAAGTCATGTCCAGGACCCACTCGCCGCTAACGTGCGGACACAATCTGCCGAGGGTCCAAGGTTTTTTGACCCATTCAACGGGCCCGATTGCCGTCCAGTCAACTCAAGAGTACTGCAATGACCTAGCTGTGCGCAAGGCAGTCGCATATGGATCGTTCACCTGTGCGTGTTTAGGGAGCGATTGCAAGCTCATCAAATAGCTGCAAAAGCTCGCGAGGACGTCCTGAGTGAGCGTGGAACGGTCGCTTGCAGCTTGAGGTGAACAACTCAGCCGCGCCACAAAGGAGGCTGTTACATCTCGCGACTGCACCATGCAGCATTATTGTGCCCGCCAATCCGAGGACGCAACCAAAGTCGTAAAGTTGTCATCCGCAGGCAAGCTACGCCTGGCCTTCCGCTCAGTTCGCGGAAGCGTATAGAACTTCGCTCAAATGCCTTCTTCAGCAAACCAAGGATGCCCCAGCGCTTGTGCAGCAGTAATCCGCTTTCCTGGATCAAGATTCATCAATCCCTTGAACAAATCTCTGAACAACCCATCCTCCTGGTCTTCAGGCCATTCCGAGAATGGTCTGTAACCAATGTATTCTGCGTTTCGTTCTTCCCAGAGCATCGAAAGTATTTGACAATTGGTGTCATCATCGCCCACATGTCTCATGAGTCCATTGAGACCCTCTTCATCGCCAAAATAGGACACAAGACGTTGTAGACGTATTGCCATTGGAACTGCACCTTGCGATTCGTGCTTTTGGAAATCTTCGTCGACGCCGCAGATGACACGGCCGAAGATGGCGTAGACGCACTATCGATGTCAGTACGGTTGTACAAGCGGCCAGGGTGATGGGAAGCGCATACAATGAGACCAAAAGAGAACACGTCGGACGGTTTGCTGAGCTCACTCTTGAAGTGGGCCTCTGGACTCCGCCAATTGTCATTGCCCGCTAGCATTCCTTTGACGCACCTGCCGCTGGGCAAGTGCGCAGCGTTCTCGAGGTCGATAAGCATTACCTTGTCCACGGTGGTCACATCTCCATCGCGTCTGCAGTTCACCATAATGTTATCAGGCTTCATATCTGCAGATAATGAGCGATGTTCGAATGAGCATGATCAGTGAGTCGTACCCAAGTGAACGACATCTTGGTAGTGGAGATCGGCAATAGCTTGGAGCGTGCGTTTCAGTATTTGCCGGCGGGCGCGCATTGATATGTTGTCCTTAACGAGGCTGAAGAGATCACTCTGCAAATACTGATAAACGTACGTCCGACGACCTGGTATTGTATCGATCGGCAATCGTATCTTTGGACTTGGATTTTCCCGCAGGCGAGGCCAGATCCTTACATTGAAATTAGAGAAGATGTTCTGAGGGATATCTTTGAGCACGAATTTCTCTCGTCCATGGCTGGGACATGTCAGTCCATGCATCGAATGATATTCGAGAGGTCGTACGTTGCCACCCAGATACTGCCTAGACGAGGCTTGTGATGGAGGAGCTCCTTGAAGTGATAGCGATGGCCGGTAGCGCCAATCAGCTCCTTCGGAACCTGCACCACCTTGCTAATTGTCGAGGACATGCTCAGGTTTCTTCATTAGACTGTCATCTGGAGTACTGTGTTGATTTATCAGCGGCTCGATGTTTTAGTGCCATGAATGTAGAAGTAGCGAAGAAAAGAGTGCGGTCAAGAAGGAATCCCGACAGAAGGTCATGTGACGTGTGGCACAGACAAAGTGGATATATTCACGATTCACACTCTCTTCGTCTGCTCTCGCGGCAAGATTGTGGCGCGCGGAGAGATTGCCTTGGGACCCAAGACTGATCTTGAGATCCTGAGAATGGTTTTCAACCCTCAGCTGCTGGCAGCTGCACCGGCAAGTATATTTGGCATGAGTGTGCTTCTGCAAATGATAACACGGTATGCTGCGGGAGGGGTGTATTGCCATCGAAGTTCTGCAGATTACTGCAGACTTTACAGGTGGGTAGTCGCACGAAACAGTTGCCTGAACCAGCAGCGACTCTGGACGATCATGTCTCATCTGCACCATGGTCTGGTCGAATTCTCCTAGCGGGTGGTCCCTCTCATTGCCGAGAGTCGGTCCATTTCGCAAAAGGCCGAATGGGGCATTCTTCCCCAAGCAGTGCTCTATTTGTGTTCGTATTTCAAACCTGTGTTTAGAAATAGCAACTTTCTCAAATACTTTTTTTGAAGTTCCGTGGTCTGTGTTTGTCATTCGGCCAAGAAGTCACGGCTGTCGATGGCGAGCTGTTTCCGGGATGGAGCCTGCACACGCTATCTGGACCGGGATGCTGGAGATGATGGCGACAAAGTGTTGCTGCCTGTGCCCTGCTGATTGCACATTTCATGGCTCGGTGATGGTCGGAGAATAAGTCGCGTGGTGGCTGCAGCAGTGCAGTGCAACAGCAGCAGGCGCTGCACATGTGTGAAGCAAGTCAGACGTGCAGCACGAGAGGCGGGAGCGGTTGCTGGGGCGGAAACGTGAGGCCCCAGTCTCTCAACACGTGGCTGTCGCAAGGGCCGGCGTTGTGGAGATGGTGGGAGAGCAACGTGATTCGCCATACCGCAAGTCGTGAGTGGTTTTGCATAAGCACATCCCTGGCGTGTGCGCAAGGACAACGACGTGTGCCCCTCGCCGGTTTGCAGAGGGAATGGACGGTGACGGCGACGAGCGTGCCAGTGTGATGCAGAAGGGAATTGCTGCATTTGCTTCAGCGTGTCGTACAGAGGTTGGCGGCAATATGGCTCCTCTGCTCCTCCTCCACGGAAGGCGTCCGCGAGGTCACATCGGATCTACAAAGCTGCAGCAATCACTGACCAAAACGTCTCCGACCGACTCAGCCCGCCATCTCCTTCGCATCTAACTTGTTGTGCCGCCGACCTTTCGCCTCATTGCTGCTCTTCCCATCGCCGAACGAGCCCACTCACTGTCTTCTGCTGTGCGCCGTCTGGACCATTGGCCGTGCAACTCGAGACGCAGCTGGTGCCGGTTTCAGAAGCCTGTCTCACTTGGACTGCTCCCAGCAAAGGCACAAAGCCACGAACACCGTTTCCACGAACAACGTTTCTCCGCCCGGATTGCGCCAGCAAGTCGATTGCAATTGCCGCCATTCTCTTGCCGCGAAAGAACAGTATCGCGCCATTCCTTCCTGGTGCTTAGGTAGCTCCAGTCGTGCCGACAAACGTGTCAGCCACGTGTATCTGCGTGGTCATCAACTCCCGGAACGAGTGAAAAACAAAACCCAGCCATGGTAAGCGCATGAACGCATTCTCCATTCATGCCCTGCCCGCCGACGCCCTAGTTCCACACGCCCGTTTGCATACATAATCTCACTGCCTTTTTACTCACCCATGGGTCCCCAGACAACCGCCGGCTCCGATCCTCGCTTTTCAACCTACTCCAGCGCTCCCTCCCTACAGCCTTCCATTGCTGCCACTCAGTCCAGCGAGCACCGCGCTTCCTCACACAACTCCTACCGATACTCCTCGCGCTACAGCGAGCAGGCCTCCCTCATGCCTCACACCATCCATGAGAAGGGCGCTCATCGCCTCTCCTACGTCAAGCCCTCCGCCCAGAGCGATAACGACTCCTCCCTGACACTGGCATCCAACGATCCTCGAACCGCCGATATCAAGAACTTCGCCGAGCACCTCGACCGCATGAGCGACGCGCGTCTCGCCGATAAGCAGCGTTATCGTCTCAGCAACGACAAGTCGGAAGATATGGGCAAGATCGCGCTCGGCGCCAGGCTAGACCGCGCGCTGTCGAGGAGAATGGTCGGACAAGACGCGGTCCTGCGACCAAAGAAGGCCGTCGCACGACCTGTTCCCATCGATGAGAAGCGCGCACTCGAAGTAGAGGCCAACTAGATCGACAAGTGCGCCTTCGTCTCTCTGGTTCGGTCTGCATAGCGCGATGACCGAGTCGAGACGCGACGGCACATCAACACGACACGACTGATTGAGACATGAACCGCCCAAGCATCAACAACTATAGACGAGCAATCGTTCGAGCGAAAGCGACGTCACCAACGACGAACAACAACAGACACTTCAGTCGATCTTCTCTTGCGGCTTTACAGAACCTTTGCCGGGACAGCTTGAGTAGCGAAAGGAAATGGGAACCGGCGTTGCACTGTTGCTTAGTAGGGAGGACTTTGAAGAATTTCACGCGTTACGAAAAGGAACGGGGCGACGGGAATGTGTTTTTTTTTTTATGCTATCATATCGCGGATGCATGGTTATTGCGACTTTTGATGGGAAAGAGAGGATCCTTCTTGGGCTTTGATTCCTGGGCTTCTTGTTCCTGCTTGCTTGCTTTCTGGCATCTGGCATTACTCAGTTATCTGGCATTCTGTGTTAGTCGGGTATCTCTTTCTGCAAGAAACTAAGGAACTGATCTTCAAAGCAACTGACATTGCCCGCGTTTCAATTCCAGTCGATAATTACTGACTTTTGTAACGGAGGGGAAATCACTAGAAGACAAACTGAGGCTGCGCAAACAGTATATTCGGCCATCCACTTGAAGTCGGATCACATGAAAGACACCAAGCAAACCTTCGTCATCAGCCACGGAGGACCTGTCAAGCACCGCGTTGAGGTCGCGACGATGAAGCTGCAAGGCATGCATTGCGAGCTGCGAACAGCTCACTTCAACGGCAGGAGAGGCGCACTCTATGAAATGCGCCTGGGACAAATTCGCGCAAGACGCCATGAAAGACATGCCTCAAGCTGGTACAGATTCCTGCATTACGTGGTCTCTGAGCGGGGAAGAAGTTTGTTGTGCGAGTATGTGACGATCTATTACATCTGGCTGATTCCTCTGTTGCATAAGATGGCATGTGAAGGAGGCAAGGACGGGACAATACGAGAAGAGCAGCATGCCAAGACTCACCACCTTCCTGACATTGATCGCTCCTACTGTTGCTCAGGCCACAGTCTCTTCTCTACACCATCATTACCACCTGATGCGAAGAAGATCCGCGAGACGACAGCGTGTTCTTCGCAGCAGAGGAACATCATTCGCTGGCACGCAGAAGATTCACACAGAAGTCCCAAGAGCTCACCTACTCCCAAGCGAAGCAATGCACCACGACGATCCGGCATACCAGCCCAGCGAAGCTCCGCAATGGCGATGCTGCCCGAAGAAGTACAGCATCAAGACAGCCAAGCATTACCGTCTCAACGGCATCTCATGTTCATCATTGTTGCGATATGCAGCTCGGGATTCGATCAACGAAAGCGTAACAACCTCACACAACATACGCGGAGACGGAGCTTCTCCTCAATAGCTCTGCACGGCTCGTATCTGCAGCATATGCATATGCTACATGTGCTACAGGAAGGTTACTTGGCATAGCATTTTTGTCTACAAAAGGGCGCATCTCCATCGATGCTCTTCTTCCTAATCCTTCTCTTCAAGCAATCATGGACCTTACCGCCGCGGCAATCGGAGGTGCCTAGATGGGCAAACATGATGAGACCGCCGACAAGAACGCCTTCGCTGAGGTAGCTTCACGGATGAATGATGCCGTTGAGCAGTTGTTTGACTCGGTGAAACCTTCAGAGGTCGACAAGATCGATGTGCATCATCACTGGGTACCACCGGAGTATGCTAGGGGTCTGTTCCTTCACACTTGACATTAGATTTATGAACATACTGACTTTCCTAATCTCAGTTGTTGGAACAGAAGGTATCTTTTTTGTCACATGCTGTTCTTTCTTGTCTCTTCTCAAAATCAGCCAGGCGATCCAAGCGGCTGGCCAAGACCAGAGTGGTCATTAGAGAGCAGCGAAGACCTGATGAAACGCGCTGGAATCAAAAGATCTATTCTTTCGATTTCGGCTCCTGGAGCATGTGTCCTTGAAGGCAAAGTGAGTTTCTTCTAGTGACATGCTACATACACCCGACTCACAGAATACAGCAATCCTGGGAGTTGGCACGTACCCTCAACGACAAAGCTGCCGAGATACGCGACTCTAAACCTGATACCTTCGGGTTTTTCCTCACGCTGGGCAATGTCCTCGACACCGATGAGGCGCTCACCGAGATAGCCTATGGCTTTGACGAGTTGGAAGCAGACGGCGTGTGCCTCTTTACCCGATACGACAGCGACGACGATTTTGGAGATCCTAACAAATACATCGGCCACCTCGACTTTGCACCAATCTGGGAAGAGCTAAATCGACGCAAAGCTGTCGTCTTCGTTCATCCTACCCATCCTCGCGACATCAGCAGAGCCAACAGCTTGCTCTACCAGCCAATCGTCGATTACCCGCACGAGACGACTCGCGCAGCCATGGATATGTTGTTGAGCGGTACGAGGAGCGAGTTCCCCGATTGCCAGGTCATTCTCTCTCATGCAGGTGGCACGTTGCCATATCTAATTCCTCGCGTCGAGGCTCTGCTGGTCACTGGCCATCACCAACACATGGGCCTCGTTGTGATCCCTACGGAACGCCTTCTGCGAGATTATCGCTCGTTCCACTTCGACATCGCGCTCTCGACATCGAATGCCACGATCAAGACATTGCTTGAAACGGGTGTTTCCAAGGAGAATATCTTGTTCGGGGTAAGTGTTTTGCTTTCAATAGCAACCAACGGTGCTTTTGAGGAGCCTGACTGACGTGAGACTTTTCTCTTCTTCGACAGAGTGATTTCCCATATGCTCCTGAGTCAGCTTACCCGGCGTTCCTCAAACATTGGCAAGAGGCCGACATCTCGACCGAACAGAGGCGAAAAATCCACTCAGAGAACGCGGTTAAGATGTTTGAGAAGTCGGAAGCGGCCAGGGAGAAGGCTGCACCGAAACTACAGTGGTATTCGTCCACAGGTCAGGTACTCGGCACTCAGTAACGTTGTAGAGTGACCGATGTCACAAGCCCTCCATTTCTGTCGCTTTAAAAGGTTAACAAATTGTTCCCGGCACTTATTTGTCCCAATACCGTTGCATTCTCGATTGTCTTGCGCCTATCCATTTACTACTGTCCTACAACTTCGCGCCTAACCCCGGACCACCAGCCTTACTCGAAACAAAACTCTCATCAACTTCCTGCCACATCGTCGTAGACTTTCCCATATCATTCTCAATCTGCGGTATAATCTTCTTCCTGCACGAAATCATTAGCATCTCCACCCCCCCCACCACCTATCCGATAAGAAAGCAGAACAACTTACACAACATCCACATGCTCCTTACACTTACTATGCCCCATCATCGCCTCCTTATTCTCATACCTCACAAACAACAAAATCTCCTTTGGTGCCTTCGGTCTCGTAAAAGCCGCATACGTCAAAACACCAGGTTCCTTCTCTCGTACAAAAGGCACAAACCCTTCTAAGATCTGAAGAACTTGTTTTCGATCTTTACATACGAATTTCGTTTGGCTGATTAAATTCCCGCTTCTGAATGGTGTGGCGTGTTCACTTCCGTCACGGACAACAAAGCCCGAAGTGAAATACCATGCTACAAGCTCTTCATCTTGACGATAGAGCTCTTCAGATTTGGCAGTGTTGTGGTAGCTTTGGAAGAATTCTTTGTCGTTGATTTGTTGCTGGAGAGCGGATTTGTCCGTGTAGATTTCGAGGCCGGAGAGGATGAGTTTTGAAGGGTCCTTTGGAGGTGGGAGAGGGGTCATGTAGGACCAGGTTGTGCATTGAGAGCTAGGGTTGCGGTAATAATTCTTTGCGCCATTCTGGAGGAGGGAGAGGATCTGTGGTGTTCATGAGATGTGACGAGATAGGATGTGAGGAGGGACATGATTTGCCGTACCCTTTTTTGCTTTTCTGGCGATGCTGGATAGATGTTACAGAGAAGGGCGATGCTCTTGTCGGCCATGATGAAGTGTGATCGCCGTGTAGTTTTTGTTCTGCGCTCGTTCACGTACTTGTTGTTCAGTATGTTTATTGTGCCGATTTTGGTTTAGGTGGGTGCTGTCCAACGTCTCGACTCAACATCCGAGGTACGCGGCATGTGGAGCTAGCTGCATTGGCTGAGTGATCCACATTCTGAGCAACGTTCGCTTCAAAGGTATTTTCGATTCCATCGGATCTTTGGTTGATGCTGTAGATGCTCACTTGTTGGTGCGTTGATCTGTCAACTTCCATCGAGAGGTTGCAGAGGAAGGTTCGCCACTTGCCAAGGCTGGAATTGACAATCGGTTTCGACGGAAAGGTATCAAAGTACAAGTAATGACCCACGACAAACGCCTCAAACGCTTCACCATACCTCCGTCTTCAATTACAGTCTCATCACTCATAATATCTTACACCAAGTATACAGGCAAAAGAGAGAACTTTCATGACCCTGTTGCTCACACCCTTCTCAGCCTTGGGTTCATCATCTCGCCCTGAATCAATCCCACCAACGCAGCATGCAAGAACGGTGCTTCCATCTTCTCATACGTGACCTCAACTTCCGTCGTCACGGTGATGGCGCCATGATCAGACCTCAAAACCCAGTTCCCCGATGCGGCAGGTTGAAATCCCATTACATCAGGACTCATCGGACTCATCGGACTGATCGGACTCGTCATCTCGATCGTGTTGGTCCGACTATGGTTCTTGCTCGTGAAGCCTGAAGAGAGAGGAATATGACCTTGGCGAGTCCGCTGATGAATCGGAATATCATGGAGAGCGGGAAGAGGTGGTGCTCGGCTTTGCCATTTCTTGGGTACCAATGGACGAAGAAATGGAAGGGAAGCTGTGATAATGACAACGTTGAGTTCCACGGAAAGTGCAATGACATATGCACATAGGCTGTATGTATAGTCGGAGAATACGCTAAGAACTTTGGCCTGCAGGGAAAAAGGAAGTGTTAGCAGGAGGTTGCCGAGTGTGGGAAGAAGGAGAAAGTGACACAAGCACTCACCTCGTACGTCTTTACAATCGACGAAGCCATGGCAAGGAAACTCAGACATAACAGAGCTGCAACGCCCACTTTCCTCTTGAGCGACATCGTCGAATGGTGAATCAAGATTGCTGGGAGCACAGCAAGATAGAAATCCGTGACCGTGTTCCAGGACCCCATGAAGTATCCATAATTGGTTTGAATTCGAGGATTCCAGCAGATTTCGTCGAACCTCAATTGTTTCTCCAGCGTCCAGAAAGCATCGACTTCGGATCCGCACTGCGAGTAAAACACAACAACGCCGATGACATTGATGGCGGCTTGCATGAATATTGAAGCATACACGGGCCAAGATTTTATGCGGGCATCAGTGTCGATGAGGTAGAGCAGCGTGCAACTGAAGCTCAGTCTGCCAAACATGGGGCTGAGAAATCCTGGAAGGAGGGATAAGACGCCATATTTCATAGTCCGCCGCAAGTGATCGAGAGGAATGTAGACGATGTGTCGGCCCAAGCCGGCGTCGACCGACACTTGTGTCAAGGCAGCGTGGGCGATCGCGAAGGCCTGAAGTCTGTCAGTCAGCGCATCAAACTTTGCTGAGTGAAGAAGATTGACAACACACCAGAGCAATCAGCATCAAGTAGTCGTCCACGAACAGCCTCCTCGCCTTCTTGATTTTGGCATAGAAGCGAAGGGCCACAATAATGATGGAGAAGGCCAGAAGCGTCCATATCACCCGTTCCAGGACCGGGCCTTGCGATACGTCTGGAGCATCGTTCAGTGACTCCAGCAGCGATTGTACATCTAGGGCCATCACCGGGCGGTGTTATGTGGACTGCTTGCGAGCAGCCGCAGGGGATCGCGCCGCTTCATCTGCGCATGAAAGAGAAGGAAAGAACTGGCGCCAGAACTCTGGAAGTCCTGCATGTGTCGCTTCTCCTCTCGTGCAATTCTGAGGAGGTGGTCCAAGGGTCTCGATATGGGAAGATGGAGAGCCGGCCTGATCAATATGTGCAGTGATCAGTAGTCCTGCCCGACAAGACCGCGACATGCAAGCGACGCGGGCGTCTCACTTCTGAAGAAAAGAGAAAGGAGTCGTCGTTGATATTCTCAGCACCAATGACATGTGCCAGATCGACAGAGTGACCGCCTCGACTAGCATGAGCTAGCCAGTGCTAGCATGGAATGGACTCTGGAGCGACAAGGGTTCCGAACGCCCATCGCGAAGAACACCGGGCTGTGCCCATTCCGGACGATGTGAGGGACACGGCCAAATTGCATCGACACGAAGAGAGCTTGCTCTCTCGCCAACGAACGCTGTTGCCGAGTTGGGAAACTTGATATGAGAATGGTCGTACAGAAGGTACTTTGAAGGTGTTGACTCGCGCATGACAGCTCGCGTGGAGAAATGTGAAAGTAGGAAGCGAACACCTACCGGTCCTATCAGATGCTGAGGCGGAGCAATACCGACGCTCGTGCATACAGGGATCGTTGCGTGCGCCGGCCCACAGCGACAAAAGTAGAAAGCGCCGCTGCAACGCGATTCGCACATTCGCAAAACATGCACACCGGAGAATGTCCCGGTGAACGTGTTTGCCACACGAGTGTATGGTACGTCGACGCCTTAAAGCAGGTTGCAACGAGGCTGAGCATGACGTTGAAGTCTTTGCTGGAGTATGGGCCCAGAACGCGGTTGGCCGCAGAAGGGTTAGCTTGTGGTCAGCACTAAAGATTCTCATCGGCTAGCGTTTACTGCGGAATTAATGGCACTCGGCCTAGCATTTGTTCACTATTGAATCTCTTAGCAAGTATGCCATTCAGCGTTGGAAGGAATACTTCTCGAGGCGCTATCAGAGCCTCTTTCGCCACTGCGCGCTTGAGAGTCATGCGCAATTCCTGTATTCCAAGCCGCGCTTCCGATGCTTCGTTCCATTGTACCGTCGCGTCACGCTGCGAGTGCGTATAACGCTCGCGGTTCGATCATGCTCATTCGTTACTGGTGCCTTTCCCGCCTCTGCCGCTCGCCGTCTCGTACGCCTCTTCGAAAGAGTCAAATGACTTACCGGAGCCGAAGTTAGACAAAAATGCTTCACTCGTCGGGAGTCTCGTCTTGCGCGAAGTTCCATTTGGCACGCACTTGGTCCTTTGACATTGGCTTTCCAGAGCCCGTGAAGCCCACTGCAATCAGTCAGCATGTAAGTAGTAGAGATGAAAGAGCTAACTGGTGTACCTTTAGCATTCGGCAGGTCTGGTGTGCGAAACTGGCTGTCTTTCTTCAACTTCGACGCTGCGCCCACAGCTGGCTTCTTGGGCCCTGACTTCTGCCAGTCATTCCAGCTGCTCTTTGACTTCTCCAAAACCTTTGAGCCCTTCAGTTTCTTCGGTGCAGGTGGCATTCGCGTCGGGCCATCGCTGACTTTGCTCGGCTCGCGTTTCTGAACCAAAGTCGTATCGATCGCCGGTGCAGCAGAGATGACAGTGCCGTGCTGAATCGGAGGCGGAGCTGTCGGGAGTGGAGGCACTGCAGCGGAGGCAGATGCCACGGGTGTGCCGTCAGCCTTGCGCTTCTTATTCTCCACTGGACGAACCTCGTGCTTGCGCTTTTGCTCTTTCTCATCGTATCCCTTGAATTTGACTGTGTAGACTGGATCTGAAGGACTGCCCGTTTTGCTGACGATGGTCGCTGGGTACCACGCCTTGTCCGCAGAATACTTTGCCTGCACCGTATCACCCACGTTGAACAACGCGCGGTTGTCCTCGGCAGGTGGTGGCGGCGGAGCGTCTGAGGAGATCTTTTGGAACTTTGGGTGCTTGCTCATGTCGTATTTTGGCGTGTCTGTCGGTGGTGGCGGGGGTGGGGCGACCTTTTGCTGGACCTTGAGCGCAGCGATTCTGGCCTTCAGGACGGGAATTTGCTGCTGGAAGGAGGCCATGTCGGCCTTGACGCTTGCATCGTCGGGATCGAGTTCCAAGGCCTCTTTGCATGTGTCCACCAACTCCTGAGCCTGAGCGAGCTCCTCTTCGAGAGCGGAGAGGTCACTCATGGTGCACTTAGTTCTCTGGCGCGAGTGTCAAGGAGCGGCGGTACGTTACTCGAGGTAAGCAATATCGCGTCGCGGGCGAGGAGAGTCGGGCGCGCGAAGTTTGCGCGAGTCGGAGTGGTGTGGGTGTCGTAGTGGTGACAGTGCGTGTCGGTTGATCTTGATCTTGCGGAACTCCATCTGGCTCGCATGTGGAAGCCATCGGCGTTAGTTCGGGCAAACTCCGAGACCGAAAGCTAAGTTATTGGACCCCAGCGACTCCCTCCCTTCACGAGACACGAACTTGCCAGTGGTCACGAGGATACTGTCTTAGCTGCACAAACGTGTGTAGGTCTCCGCATGTCTCACTGTTAAGCGAAAATTGAGATTTGCAGCGTTATCATATTGCGAAGTCGCTCCTAAGTGCCAGAAATAACGAACGAAGTCTACTTCTTGACTGTTCTCCGTACTGCCCAATCTTGATCTTATCCGCGCAACGTCGAGTAAGCCATATCAGTACTCTCTGAGCCGGCGACCGTGTACGTGCATCAACTGTCTCAGAAGACCCCTCACTCCTGCCATTCTGCAATGCAATCGTGACGAGCCGAACGAGGCGTCGCCCCTCCAGTCACTCTATCTCCAATCGCATTTCGATTGAGCTTTGAAGGGAGACTCTATTTGGCCAGCCTAGATGGCAACCTAGAGCTGGAGCGAACGTTTATTCATCGTAGGAGAAGTAGATTCCAGCAGCTTCCCAGCATGGGCCTAAGATCTGCGACGAGCCATCAGATCTACCGCATCGAGAGGGGTAGGACAACGGTGCCTCTTGCTGACCGCCATCGCGAGATCCACCACAAAGTCGGTTACTGCCATATTCTCGGCCGTCTTTTCATGGCGAAGCTCCATTTCTGTCCGTGAAGTAGCGGGATGCCGAGTTGAAGATCGCCTCTCTCGCGCGGCATGATGAGAAGGTTGACAGGCAAATCTGACGCGTCGAGACACGGGCAAACATCAGCCAAGGTCACAGCCTCTGATTCATATTGGCCAGTCCTCGTCTGTTGTAACTCTCGTCCTGCAACTATCCTCACAGGTGCTTTGCATGATGAACGACACCAGTGAGGGAATTTTGCGAGCCGAGCGGCAGCCTTCTCGCCGTACCTGCGCTTCGCCTCCGTTTCAGTGGCGTGTCGGTTGGTAGTAGTGCTCTTAATTGGCCACACGTCGAACCAGAAGGTCGTATCGTCCAGGTCGCCGGTGTAAGCTGCAAACATGAATGACAGCGAGAAGCTTTCCCTTGCAGTGCTTGGGTAGGTTGATTCCAAACACATACGCGCAGTAAATGGGCACCCGGAAGGAGGGAACCGCATTTCAGGTGGCAAATCCTCGCGGTGCTCGGTGCTGAGGATGAAACGCACTTCTATCTTCGTTTTATAGAATTGTAGACGTGTAAAAGGGCAGTCAAATGGTTGGAAGTCCCACATGCTGAGTGCCGCATGTACAGTCGCATCTGGTATACTCGCCGGTACTGCTTGCGGAAGTGGCAGTGGTGAGGGACGTCAGTATCGACAATCTGCTGCAGCTTCTGCAGTGTGGACGGCGGAAGTGCGTTAAAAAGGAAAGCGAGCTTGTCTTTCGGGCCTCGACGATGGAAGAGATGTGATGCTACTATGGTGCGGTCGCGTTGTGAGAGCCAAGTGTGTCTGCCTCTGCTTCCAGAAAGCGCGAGCTCCAGGTCCGCGTCAAAGTCCTATAATGTATTAGCCACAACCCAATCACGCCCAACAGAGAGCACTCACTGAAAGCTGAGCCTCGCTCATGCTGCTGTCACCGTCCATCATTCCCACAGGTGCGTAAACGAGAAATGGTCCCTAGGAATGGCGTGAAGTGGATTGAACTGGCGGAACAGAATAGAATGAAGCGAAAGTCTTCCGACTACCAGACGAGGGAACCACGACTACACCGGTGAGGGAATCGTGCCTACCCCGATGAGGTGGCCGCGCCTGGCAGTGGCGATGGAGACTACCAAATCTGGGCAGAGAAGGTACGACCAGCAGGCACGGACATGGAATGCGATATTGTATCAGTCTTGACGACCACGCCGGCAAACCAGAGGCCCGCGACAAATCTTGAGGTAGTCGCCGTGGCTACAGACTGCTCGGGTTTCTTGTGGCAATCTTGTGGTTCGCACCTTCCATTCTGGTGTATACTAATTGTGATCGCGTAGGAGCCGTCCGCAACCCTCTTCCATGCTTCGTGGAGTCGGTCAGATGTGATACATGCAATTGAGGCTCGTGTGAGCGATGGAAATGTTGCATGGTTCTCTTCCGCGAGTGTACGTGCACAGCATGTGTTGCTGCTCTGGCGCACCTCACCATAGACGCGGGCGGAAGCTCGTGGTATACACCACGTTATCGGCTTCTTGTCGTCTCCTATTTCAGCTGCTGTGATCATTCCTGGTCCTGATGTTGGTATACACTTCGTCATCTATCCGCTCTCATTTTCCCGGACGTGGCCAGCACACGTCAGCTCCATCTACGATGCGTCCACAACTCTTGGTGGCATGGTCGAGCGCGTGCTCTCCAAAGACCATCAGGGCGAATCCATTGCGAATGTGCGGGCCGCATAGCAGTGAATGATACGAATACCGATGGGATTGCGGACACGCACTGCTCGTTGATGATGATGGCGGCGTCAAGAACAGCGCTCACGATTGAAGAGGGGTAACAGTGACCCAACTCAGTCGTCGATGGTTCTCGGAGAAGGCGAGCGAGTCCTACCAAGCCCTGGAACATCCGAAAGCATAGCAGGCATGCGAAATCTAGAGTGATATCGTGATGGGATTGCAGATGCAGTCGTAATGTACAAGGCTGAAAGCACGTGCGCGCACATGCCCCGAAAGCGAAAGCTTATCGGACATTAGGCTTCTGGTCTCCGCTGTGAGCCTGCCTCTCCGTTGCGATGATGATGGTGATGATGCCAGCCCTCGTTCATGGGTTGTTATCGAGCGCGGCCGCGTCCGGATGAGCCTCCGCGCAATCATAGCAGCGACGACAGAATGGAAATTCACCACTGTGTTTGAGACATGTGTAGCGCGCCAACTGAGAGAAGAAAACCTCGGAGTTTGGATTACCAATCTTTCCGCCCAGGTCTTCCAGCACCATCTTCGTGCTCAGCAAAGGGTCGCGAGCTCGCGCATCTCACCCGACGAGTACCTCGCACTGCTCCAATCACCGTAGCGCACCCTGGACGGACTCATTCTCCAATCTTCGCCTGGCGTGCTCGCGGCTGAAGCAGGCCAGCGGTGTCTCTAGAGTCCGCCGGTCCGTCATCGCCCTGCGCCCGTCATCGCCCTGCGCCCATCAGCGCACGACCACGAGCACTCCTTCTGTTAGTCTCTGACTCTGCATCTCGTCTCTGTCGCGCTTCGAGCCTGCGAGCGAACAGATACGCCGTCGGTGCATCGTGGCATCGTGGCACAGGAGGTGAGCATCTGCCTACATATTCCTACCGCGGCGGGGTGATCTGCGAGCCCCGTCCAGACCACTCGCCGCCGCTCCTGCAGCTACCAACTGCTTTCTCACGCACTCGTCTCTACACTCTCGACATCCTCCGCAGGCACCGACTTGCCACGCGATCCATCGCAAAATCGCCGCCTCTCAATGGCTGAGCTAACAAAGCGAGAGCAGCAGGCGATACCATACCTGACTCCCCAGCAGCAGGACTTACTGGTCGCTGCCCTCAGTTCTCAGGCGCAGCCGCACACATCCACCCTCGAGCGCCCGGGCGCCGTGAAGAGATCCGACTCCGATTTCACTACACATCCAAACACCATGCCCACGAACGCCAATGGTGATGCGCTCTTTGTGAGCCCGCAGACTGCGGAACTGGACAACTTCGGGCTGGACTACACCCCAGGACTGGACTACCTGGATGACGACGGATTCGACTTTGAGAATGCGGATGTTGGCGGAGAACTCATTGGTCCACTTCCGGGAAGCGAAGGACACGAAAAGAGGAAGAGCCGCGAAGACAGTGTCGGCACGGAACACGATGCGAAGCGACAGGAGACCAACGATGGTGAAAAGGCACAGAAGAAACCAGGCAGAAAGCCTCTCACTAGTGAACCGACGACTGTAAGTCCGCAATCCCTCGTCATAAGTCGACTTACTCTGACTGTCACTGTAGAAGAGAAAGGCGCAAAACCGTGCCGCGCAGAGAGCGTTCCGCGAGCGAAAGGAGAAGCATCTGAAGGACCTCGAAGAGAAAGTCACCTCTCTGACCAAGTCTTCAGAGGCAGAGAAGCATGAAAACGGCGTGTTGAGAGCTCAAGTGGAGCGCTTGCAAGTCGAATTGCGAGAATATCGCAAGCGCCTCTCTTTGAACAGCGGCGCCGTGCGTTCCTCTCCACCTTTGAATCCTATGAATGGGCAACGGAGCAGCAGTGGCCCTTCATATGGCAGCAACTTCCAATTCGACTTTTCCAAGTTCGGAGCTTTGCCTGGTAGCCAGCTGTTCGGAAACCAAGACACCTCGAATGGTAACAGCCCTGGCAACAAGTCAGACAATATGTCTCCTCCCATCGTCCAGTCCCCAGCCAGCATGAATGGGGTCAATCAAGCACAATCTCAAGCTCAGAACAGCCGACATAACAGTCTTGGTCGGAGTCTGAGTCCGCAGAGCATTCAGCGGAATGATTCCACATCGGGCAGCAACGGTAGTCCGGCGAACGTGGCCAGCATGGACTCTGCTTTCACGTCATATAGCACAAACGACAACATGCACGGATTCGCCACCACACTTCCCCAGATGAGCAACGGCGACGGATCATTCAACGACCTTTTCAGCCCCAATCTCCTCAAGAGTGCCAACATGAACACATACTTCAATAACAACAATGCACAAACCTCGGCTCCGAGCTCGAATTACAACGGGGAAAGCTTCGATAATGGAGGAGACAACACTTCTGGACTCAATCGCGTATTCCAGTTCAACAGCGGCAGCAATGCCAGCGATAGCACATCTCCCAGCGCCAGTTCTAACAGCCAGTGGAATGCCAACGGCAATGGCAATAGCTCTTGTGGGACGTCGCCTGAGCCTTTGCACGATAGCCCAGCGCTGAGAGATGGCCAATATGGCGACAAGAGCCACAAGCCGGCTGTCAGCTCACAATTGACGCCCGCAAATTTGAACTCGCAGCAGAGTATGAACTCCATGTACGGCTTCGGAAATGCCGATCTCACGAACCCGTCATCGGCCAACACATTCGATCCCGTCTTGTTCGGCGACTATCGCGATACCAACGATGCGATTCTCGGAACTGGCGACTTCACAGGAGGCTTTTTCGATGATGCCCTCAACTCCGCCTCCTTCGACTACCAGTCACCAAGCAACCTCTTCGGCATTCTTCAGTCTCCGCGACAAACACAGGCTACACTACCTGTGCCCAACAAGCCTGCAAATGCACCTACACCGAGTCGAAATCTCATGGCTGAGATACAAAAGACTTGCGACGGCGGTGACGACGATTACGGTCTTCCAGGTGCTGACAAGAACAAGACGCAAGCAGAAGGCGGAAAGTTTATCAGCTGTAACAACATCTGGTACGATCAGAGAGACTATACCTGGGTCAGTATAGCACCTGCTAACAACGTGAACAGGACACAGCTGCAATCGAATCCCGATTTCCAAGAAGGCAAATTCGACTTGGACGGGCTTTGCTCGGAGCTTCGTGTCAAGGCCAAGTGTAGCGAGAACGGCGTCATGGTTGATCAAGAGCATGTCAATGCTGCTCTGAAGAAACTGGGGAAGAAGGACGAAGCGGGCAAACCATACGGCCCGCCATCGTTGCTGTTTGAGCAGGACAGTTGGTGAGTCTAGCACACGATCACGTATCAGAGAACAACGAACTGACTTTATGATAGGAACAACGTGTTGAAGAAATTGCAGAATAACAGCAAGGCGTGATGAGAAGCAACTGCAAGCAACAACATGCAAAGTGATGTGCTACGAAAAAGGTCCTTGGAGTCTGGTGCAACTCAACTTTCGAGGGTCAAGTGCAGAGGAAGAACCTGAAAATGGAATGGTTTATGACTTGCTACAATAGTCTGGGGGCAGGCATTTCGACTCTGATATGGAGTTTGATGGGAGGAGTTTCGCGTCAATTCGCGGCGGTGACCGCAAAAGCATGGCAATCCTCGACCTTCATACGAGGATCGAAACGTCAAACGTGATACGAACGCGCGTATGTACGCTATAGAAGAATGAGCAATACGGAAGACCACCAAGTCTACCAAGTCGTTGGCGTTCTTGTCGTGACCCTGTTTGAAGCTGTTTTCCAAGAAGTAATTACGTCGACGCGTCGCCCATGGCAACCAGAAATACCAAAATAGATAATGCAGCAATCCACACTTCGCGACGCACAGCATTCCAGGTGACCTCACTGTCGAGTGCTCTAATAAATTCTGTGAGTGTCGATAATGCGATATGCCGTCCTCATCTTCTCAGCCGACACGCGACTCTCCAGCCAGACGACAACGACGACGAAGGACGCATCACCGAACAGATAGCAATGGTGAATTGCTGGGTCGAGATCGCTACGAGAGCGAGAGGGATGATCGCGACAGAAGTCCAACGAGACGAAGAAGGAGGACGGAAGATGCAGATGGACACAGACGGGAAAGAAGAAGAGAACGACCACCGAATAGCTCTCGGACTCGACGTGCGCCAGAAAGCGAATACACGACCAGTGGATCGGGCAGCAGAAGCGCTGCATTGAGTGTTGATCAGCTCGCCAAGTTGGACCGTCTGAACAAGAAGCTGGGCTACAACGACTACGATGCGCCTCCGAGGCCACGAGAGCGAGAGCGGGGTTATGATGAGGTGGAAGTCGAAGAGGACGCAACGCGGTATAGTGACCTGGAGCGCGAACGAGAGGACAGACGACGAGAGCGCGAACGACGGCGAGAAGAGCGGCGACGAATCCGCAGAGAAGAAGAGAGAAGAGCGTGGCTAGCTGGCGAGGACGAGGAATCCGATGCGCCCATCCGTGGTGCGAAAGTGAGGTCTGCGAGCAATCACGACCGGATGCGGAGTACACGAGACAGGCGAGACCGACGAGCTGATGATCACGACTATGTACGAGACAAGAGGGAACGACCACGTAAAGAGCGGGAAGAGAGAAGAGTCGCCAGTGGCCAGGTGCTGGAACGAGGTGATCCAGGCGAGTATGATGGAGGCGCATACTACAGCGAGAAAGACGAGTACGCAGAAAGTATTCGACGAAGAGATGGAAGCGATGACAGTAGCAATCCATACATCGACCCAGAAGAGCAAGAGCGAAAGAGGAAGCTGCGTAAGAAGATCTTCATTGGCGTGGGAGTGTTCATCGTGCTGCTTGCTATCATCATACCAGTCGCGGTGGTTGTTTCGAAGAAGAACAGCTCTGGCGGCGGAGATGGCTTAGGTGGAGCTACAAGCGCTGCCTCTGGAGGCTCTGGCAAACCAAACAACAGTAACCTGGACGACATCTCCAAAGACAGCATACCGGAGCAGTACAAGGGGACGTGGCTGGATCCGTTCTCGTGGTACGACACTCAGGACTTCAACGTCACCTTCACGGACCAGATGGTGGGAGGGCTGCCAGTGATGGGCTTGATGAGCCAGTGGGACGATTCTGCGCGTGCAAACGAGAAGGTTCCTCCTCTAGATGAAGACTTCGAATATGGAAAGATGCCAGTCCGAGGGTGCAATGTCGGTGGCTGGTTGAGCATCGAGCCCTTCATCACGCCTTCGCTCTTTTCTCAGTACAAGACCAGCGATGGTGTTGTTGACGAGTGGACCTTGACGCAAAAGTTGGGTCCCACGAATGCGAAAAGCACGCTAGAGAAGCACTACTCTTCCTGGGTTACGGAGTCCACCTTCAAGGACCTACAGGCTGCTGGCTTCGATCATGTTCGCATCCCATTCTCGTACTGGGCTGTCACGTCGTACGATGGAGATCCATACGTCGGTCAGGTAGCCTGGCGTTATCTCCTTCGTGGTATCGAATGGGCACGCAAATATGGTCTCCGCGTCAATCTCGATCTCCATGGCGCACCAGGGTCTCAAAATGGCTGGAATCACTCTGGTCGTCAAGGTCAAATCGGCTGGCTGAATGGCACAGATGGCACCAAGAATGGCGACCGCACGATCGAGATCCACAAGCAACTCTCCGAGTTCTTCACCCAGCCGCGATACAAGAAGCTAGTCACCATGTACGGCCTCGTCAATGAGCCACGCATGGTAGAACTCGACCAAGCCACCGTCCTAGCCTGGACTGAAAAGGCCATCGATGCCGTCCGCGGCAACGGTTTCACGGGCGTGATCGTATTCGGCGACGGCTTCATGGGCCTAGACAACTGGCAAGGCAAACTCACCGGACAGCAAAACCTCCTCCTCGACGTCCACCAATACGTCATCTTCAACGTCGACCAAATCGTCCTAAACCACCACGACAAACTTAATTTCGCCTGCGCGGGCTGGACACAACAAGCCCTCCGCTCCCAAAACACTGCCACAGGTTTCGGCCCCACGCTCTGCGGCGAATGGTCCCAAGCCGACACCGACTGTGCTCAATACCTCAACAACGTCGGCGTCGGTTCCCGCTGGGAAGGAACGCTCAACATGGTCGGCACACCAGGCGGCTCCCTCAACGGCTCAATCCTCGAACCTACTTGTCCTACACACAACAACCCTCGATGTTCATGCGACGGCGCAAACGCAGATACGAGCGACTATAGCGATTCTTATCGCAAGTGGTTGCTCATGTTTGCGGAGGCGCAGATGCATAGTTTTGAGCAAGGGTGGGGGTGGTTCTATTGGACGTGGCAGACGGAGAGTGCGGCCCAGTGGAGTTATAAAGCTGGATTGGCGGCGGGGACGATGCCGAAGGTTGCGTGGGAGAGGTCGTTTGATTGTAGTCAGGAGATTCCGAGTTTTGATGATTTGGAGGAGTTTTATTAATGGAGGAGAGGCATGTTGGGTTCGTGTTTTAGAGCATGAAAGGATGAGCAGGGTGACGATAGATAATGAATGACTGACGAGCGGTTGTAGATGAGGCTGGGGTTAGGGTGATGGGGAAGGTTGAACAGAACTAAGATGATCAGCCAGATTGCTTCTTCGTGCTTGCTTCCATGTGAGAAGGCTTTGCTCGAGGTGAGATGCCGTAGCATACATCGTTTTGAAGCCTGTTGAATGGCACTTCAATGGTTCGACTGAGACACTTCTTTCCGTACGAAATTCGTGAGACACACTTCCCTCTGGACTTCAGAAAGTACTCACGCTTCAAGCACCCGCGACAGAGCGCTGTTACCTGTGCCTGTCTACGTGTCTCCCTTTCTCACCGTTCTGCTTTGGTCTGTCACAGCCCGAGGATCAGTAGTCTGTCTGCAGCATAACAAACCATGGTACTGGTGACAGACAAGGTCAAGCATCCGGTTCACTTTACATCGAGACTTGCCATCTCGATGCTTGACATGTCTTATTTGCCTTGTCCTGTCTTGTCTGCATGTTGAATGAAATGGAAAGGATCTGCATGCCAACTGATAAGAAATTCGATTGCTTGCATGAAAGAGTGCAGCATGAGGTCGAAGGAAAGTTCTCCAGGCACCTGTGCCGGCTCGGATGTGAAGATCCGGGACGAGGATGGGAGGCCATGTTGCGACGTGATGTTCTGGCGGTATGCTTGCAATTTCTGGGACCGTGAGCTGACATTTGTGTTGGTAAAAGAACTTGAGCGATATTGTAGAACCAATAATGCCTCATCCGAGCATATTACTGCTCTTAGTGTCCATGATCTACAAGTGCAGGAGGAGCGAAGATCAAAGCCTCACTCCTGCAGTGTAAAAGAGTATCGACCGACCAAGCCACGCAAATGGCGCTCCTTCTCTGCGCTACAGTATAGTGTTTCGTACTGTACAAATAGCAACGTATTCGTAAGGTTTGCCCTGGTTGCGGGTTAGCTTCCTGCCAGCTTCAGCCATTTTTGTCGTTGCTGTGCACAGGATCTAGATCCTGCGCTGAAGAGAGTCGAAAGGGAAAATCCCCATGAGCCTAAAACGTCTTTTGACTTTCCGAAGTCAGCCGCTTGCAGCGTTCAGCGTTCGGTGTGAAGATCCATCTCAAAGCAGAACACAGAGCAAGAGACGGACAGAACAGAGAGGGCTCTTCCCGCCTCCACGTCCACAGCATCTTGTGGCAAGAACACACGCGACAGCATGATGCCAAACCTGGTACCCCATCGCGCACCGTCATCGGCTTCCACGTCTCGAATGCAAGAAGACACATGCAGTCGCTAGTCCGTGGCTACACAGCCATTGAACGTCTTGAAACTTATCATCAAATCGGACGAGTCGGTGGTCGGCAAGCCGGTGCTGTAGTAGTGTTATCTTTGGCAGCCGCGATTAATCATGCAGTTGACAAACAGCATGACGTGGAGAGAGTTTTGATGGGAAGCTTTTCGCCTTCGCTCGGCAGGTCGGATTGGTGGTTGATCGCTGTTGCTTGGACTCGTAGCCAATTAACGCCGCGGCAACGGCGATGCTGCTCGGCTTCAGCTGCGGTCGATCGAGGAAGAGAGGAAAAGGGTCCTGTGCTGTCTTTCGATATACTGTGCGTCTGCGTTGTTTGTTGGTGATGCTGATGATGATCTGCGTTGGATGACTGCGATGTCTCGAAGGAATGGAGTGTGCTTGCTGGCCTTATCATTCTACGTGGGATGGTCCACGAACACGTAGGCAGAAAAGAAAGTGTCATTGCATGCAAATATGATACTTGCCTGAGAGGTGTTTCGTTGGCTTTTTCGAGATGTGCAGAGTAGATCCCGGTCTGTACCGAGTTTTGATCACCTACGTAGGGCTGGGCCCCCTTCTGCCCGCCCGCGGGCGCGGCTCTTTCTGGCATCTGCGAGATAGTGTTTTGTGGAGCAACAAATCGACTGGAGCTGAGTGCGTTTTGCCGCGGACAAGTGTTGCATGTCGTGGCGGAGCCTGGGTCCCTTGATTCCTGTGGGAAGTAGGAGACTAAATTGCTGTGCTGGGCTGACGGCGTAGCTCTCGACCAGAGTATATCACTCGTGGCTTGTACCCACTCTCGTGTTTATTAGTATTTGGTTTGCCTGGCTCCCTTTTTCGACACTTCTATACACACGTCGTACTCTATACCATCTGCATTTGCTACGAGTAAACATTTGCGTGGTTCGACGTTCAATCGAGGCAGGACCTCAGCATACACACTTCAACAACCCAATATATCAACGTCACTCAACCATGACGGCACCAATTCCAATTCTGAGCAAAGCCAGGAGCAGAGCGGGCAGGAACGAAACGAAAGGCTCACCAGGGAGAATGGTGATATGTGGAAGAGGAGGTGCTGGCAATTGTCGACCACCAGCAGAAGTCAAAGCCGCAGACGAGGAGGAATGCAGGATCACAGCCGAGCTCGCCAACTCACATCCTAGTCAATCTACCAGTTCAGGTAAGCAGAACCATTCGTGAACGACACGTGAGAGCACATGCTGACGACCACTGCAGTGAAAGGCGAACGAAGCAATCGTAGAGCATCACTATTCTCCCTGAACTCGTTCTCGAGCCGAAGCACAGCGTCATCGATCAAATCATCATCGACAATGTCTTTCCTGGAGAAGTTTGGAATATCACGGAGACCGGATCGGGCTGCCGAGGAGCGGTCAATTGCGTCGAAGAGCCCAAGTAAAAGCCCTTCGGAGACGCCATCCTCGGCGAGCATGGTGGAGGAATAGCGGGGTTGAATCGAAGGATATGCAATTTTTCAGAATGATACCCATTGTGCATTTTATGTCTCGTTAGAGCGGAGCAAAGCTTGGAGAAGCTTAGATCGTGGTATACCCGCCGTCAACGACGAGCGGATGACCTGTCATCCAGGAACTATGTAGAACCTAGCATTAGCAGGTTCTTTGGAAGGAACCATGTTCACAACTTACCTTTCGTCACTGCACAGGAACAATGCTGCATCTGCAATGTCTTCTGGTCTTCCCAGTTCACCCCAAGGATGCCTCGCGGAGAGGTACGCAAGGCCCTGTTCGTTAGCCGTGACTGGAGCGATCATGGGAGTGTGGATGTATCCAGGACACAAGGCATTCACGTGGATACGATCCTTCGCATATTCGGCACCCATTTGCTTCGTCATTCCCACGACAGCCCATTTTGAAGGTGCATATGCTGGCGTGCCTGGAGTCGTGACAGTTCCCTGCAAAAGTCTTAGAAATTGATAGCGTGCGTTCATGGGCTGGCTTACCATAATGCTTGCAGCGTTCACAATCCATCCTCGTGTCTTGTCGCCACGAGCGTTTGGTGCCCGAGGCTCTTGTTTGAGCATCTGCTGGATTGCATACTTGCAGCACAGCCACACGCCTCTGCAATTGATTGCCATTTCGAGATCAAAGTCTTCCGTGGTAAAGGTGTCGACTCTGCACACTTCATACTTGGTCTCGAGGGCAATGCCTGCGTAGTTGAGGATGGCATCAAGTCGGCCACCGAACTTTACTGCTTCTTGGATGAGATTCTGGATTTGATCTTCTTTGGTGACATCGCAGGCAACGAAGATGGCAGTGTTCGGACCATGCTTAGAATTGAGCTCATCCTCGACACTGACAGATTTGAGGTCGGCGCAGACTATGCGTGCTCCTGCTGCGGCAAACTTGAATGCTGTCGCTTTGCCAAGGCCAGAAGAAGCTCCAGTGACTGCTTATCGTAAGTAGGAAAGCTAATATGCAGAAGTCCATGACTTAGCTGCAGCTTCACATACTGACGGCAATTCTGTCTTTGAGGCGTTGATCAGCCATGACTCCAGTTCCCAATGTAGTCTCTCGTGCTTTGTCTTGTCAGTGAATTTGTCTGTCGATCAAGTTATAACCTGATATGCTGTTCGAAGTGAAAGATGAGATGCTGAATGAGTTGGCTGTAGTGGAAAAACTGGATCAATATATATGCTGCCAGAGTATTCGTTACATTGCACTGAGCTCTCAAATGACCTCCGGCAATGCACCGTAACCCCGCAGCAAGAAGCGGACCACAAACGGGGAGGCCGGCCTACACCAAGTGGACTTGGCGCGTATCGGATTCACAGCAGCAGCGAGAAGACCATATTTTACGCCCGAGATGGAGTCGGTCCACGGGGTCGCCGTCTTACAACATGCTAGAGCTCACATCTCGCGTGGGGCTGGAAAGAAACGGCCTTGAGCGGAGAGCCTGGAAAGAGTGTGCAGCCACGACACGTACGAGTTGACTCAGGAAAAGAAGAGTAAGAAGCGCTCAGCGGGTCTGGGAGGAATAGAAGACAGGGCAAGCGATGGTGGTGGTGAAGGGGGAGGCGGCCGCATTGCCCGCGGGAGTGCTGGAATGGGCGTAGCGTGAAAGGTCTGAACACCTGAGACAAAAAGTTCATCGACACGGACCCGGACGGCGATGCAGGCCAGGCCATTGCCAGACACCGTCACTCTTTTTGTCCATCCGCCATGCGTGTCCAAGGCCTCGCGCGGCTTCCGCTGCGCAATGTGGTTTTTCGCAATGCCACCAGTGCTGGCCGCAGGACGTTCGTGTCCGCGGCAGCATCTCCCTTCCAACGAACACCCTTGACCGGCCAGAATCACGATCGAATAGGCCAGGTCCAGCTGCAGTACCAATCACGACGGTGGCAGTCCGCCGCTGCCGCAGTCCTCGAGACGGCCATGCACGATCCGACCTCGCTCTCACAAGCCGCCATCGTCGACAATCTCGATCCGAAAGAAGCAGCTCGTTTGGACAAAGTCAGAAACATTGGAATTGCAGCACATATCGATTCTGGCAAGACAACTGCCACTGAGCGCGTGCTGTTCTATACCGGACGTGTGAAGGACATTCACGAAGTGCGTGGCCGCGATGGCGTGGGCGCAAAGATGGACAGCATGGACTTGGAAAGAGAGAAGGGCATCACCATCCAGTCTGCCGCCACCTTCTGTGACTGGGTCAAGAGGACGCCTGACCCCGTCACTGGAGAATTGAAAGATGAGAAATATCACATCAACTTGATCGATACCCCCGGGCACATTGACTTCACAATCGAAGTGGAAAGAGCTTTGAGAGTGCTGGATGGTGCTGTCATGATCTTGTGTGCTGTGTCTGGCGTGCAATCGCAGACTGTCACAGTTGATCGGCAGATGAAGCGCTACAACGTCCCTCGATTGTCGTTCGTGAACAAGATGGACCGAGCTGGTGCGAACCCATGGAAGGCGGTGGATGGCATTTCTCAGAAGCTGCGGATCCCCGCTGCGGCTATTCAGATACCAATTGGTGCCGAGGACGAATTCAAGGGCGTGGTGGATCTGCTCAGGATGCGCGCAATCTATTCAGAAGGCGAGAAAGGTGAAATCGTGCGTGAGGATGAGTGCCCTGCGGATTTGGTCGAATTTGCCAAGGACAAGCGACAAGTCTTGATCGAGACGCTCGCTGATGTCGACGATGCCATTGCCGATGCTGTTCTGGAGGAGCGTGAACCTGCCGTGGACGAGATCAAGGCTGCGATTCGTCGTGCAACTATTGGCCTGAAGTTCACTCCCGTGATGATGGGATCCGCTCTGGCTGATAAGTCGATTCAACCCATGCTTGATGCTGTCGTCGACTATCTGCCAAATCCTTCCGAGGTCGAGAATTTGGCGCTGGATCGCAGAAGGAACGAGACTCCCGTGAAGCTTGTCTCCTACAACTCCCTGCCATTTGTTGGTCTCGCATTCAAGCTGGAAGAGTCCAACTTTGGCCAGCTCACATATATCCGTGTTTATCAAGGAAAGCTTTCAAAGGGCCAAAATGTCACCAATGCTCGTACTGGTCAAAAGGTCAAGGTTCCGCGTATCGTACGCATGCACTCCAACGAGATGGAAGAAGTGTCCGAAATTGGGGCTGGTGAGATCTGTGCCGTGTTTGGTGTAGACTGTGCTTCAGGCGACACTTTCACTGATGGTGGCAAGCTTGACTACTCCATGACATCCATGTTCGTTCCGGATCCGGTCATTTCGCTTTCGATCAAGCCAAAGCACACCAAGGACACGCCAAATTTCTCGAAAGCTATTTCCAGATTCCAACGCGAGGACCCTACTTTCCGTGTACATGTCGACACTGAGTCTGGCGAGTCCATCATCTCTGGCATGGGAGAGCTCCACTTGGACATCTACGTCGAGCGCATGAAGCGTGAGTACAAAGTCGAGGTCGTCACAGGACAGCCGCAAGTCGCATACAGAGAAACAATCCAAGAACATGTCGACTTCGACCATCTTCTGAAGAAGCAGACCGGTGGTGCTGGAGACTATGCCCGCGTTGTCGGATATCTCGAACCTGCCGAGCCTGCTGAGGGATCTGAGAACACCTTGGGAGAGAACAAGTTTGAGTCCCAGATCGTGGGCGGTACCATTCCAGAGAAGTACCTGTTTGCTTGTGACAAAGGTTTCCAGGCTTCTTGCATCAATGGACCTCTGCTGGGACACCGCGTCTTGGGCGCATCAATGGTCATCAACGACGGAGCCACTCACATGACCGATTCCTCCGAAATGGCCTTCAAGAACGCCACGCAACAGGCCTTCCGTAAAGCTTTCCTGGCTGCCAAGCCTCAAGTGCTTGAGCCACTGATGAAGACTGTGATCACCGCACCTGTCGAGTTCCAAGGAAACATTGTCGGTCTGCTCAACAAGCGTAATGCGGTGATCAACGACACTGAGATCGGTGCCGAGGAGTTCACACTCACTGCTGATTGCTCGCTGAACAGCATGTTTGGTTTCTCGTCCCAGCTTCGCGCTGCCACCCAAGGCAAGGGAGAGTTCTCGATGGAGTTCAGCCACTACTCGCCTGCTCCACCGCAGTTGCAGAAGGAGTTGATTGCGAAGCATGAGAAGGAGAGAGCGGAGAAGAACAAGAAGTAGATGATGATCGACATACAGCTCCAGCTTCGGTCGGTCTTGTTGTGCCAGCCGGGCTTTGGGTTGCGATGGAATTGCCACGAGCTGATGAACGAGCCAGGCTCAGAAGGACTCTCGCTCGAACTTCGAAGCCGATCTTCTCGTGCCAGACTGGCACTCCGATGGCATATGAAAGTCTTGAAGTGCACCGAGGCATCCAGGCCACCCAGACGTTCCCCAGCATCCGTGTTTCGGATCCGCAACGGCATGAGACTCCAGGCGATGTACGATACTCTGTACAAAGAGGACATGATGGCATGCCCATGTATAGGTTGGCGCTCTGGGACAAAGCATATCACGCCCATGGTTGGCGAATGCATGGCCAAACAGCGCCACATCTCCGCTTCGGATTGCATTGTTAGAGACTTTTAGATCCTATGACTGATAAATGTATAGATATGCATCCTCGATGGGCTATTGCCTCCTAATTGACAGCGACATTGATTGGGAAATGCTTACGCCGAATTGGTAGAATCGATCGAAGAGAGACGGCGGCTGCTCCTTGCATAATCACGACTCGATGGCCGGCCGCCCAGCTCATGCGGAGGTAGATGAGGCGATGGAACGAACATCGTAGGCTGATTTTGCTGGGCTGCGTCTCCTACACTGGACTCGATCAGGTCGGCGGAATAAGGAGCTTTCTGTTCGCGGGCAAATCCCACTGGCTCCTCATATTGGCTGCACGACTTTGGATCCACGTCAAGACTGTCATGATCCAGCGCCTCCCCGCAAGTCCCGCGCTGGGCCATTCCAGACAATCTCGCCGTCTCCGCCTGCCGACACTCTGAGTCTGCTATGCAGAGCCATTGGTGGGTCATCCCTCATTCACCTGCCAAGATTTGTCTCTTGTTCACCGTAGAGACCCACTGCCGACCTCTAAGCCAGGCAAGCAATGTCGCAGACCTTCTTTCGCACATCGACAAAGTCTTGCCAACAAAGTCGAGCGTGGAGGCCGTCTCCATCAGCTGAACGCCGCGCACCCGCACACATCTGCACTGCACCGTTTCCCACTGTCGCCTCGTCGGCCGCTCTCCTGAGCTGCTGCCGTACTCGAGGTACCTGATGTCCGCGCCAATGATGCTGATGCATCGAAAGTCTTACATGTTCACAGTGTTCATCGACAACGCAAGGCTGCGGGTCGCGCCTCTCGACAAGTACAACCGGCGCGTGTATCTGCGCCATCTCAGTACCTGTAGGGTTGACTTCGAGCTCGGCTTGCCGGTATCTCTCAGGCTCGAGCCACATCCCAAGTCGCCGCACATTGGCCTACACAGTCCCTTCTCAAGCAGTCGACCGTTCACATTGCTAAAACTCGACATGCACACGGAAGAGTAGAATCCCTGCCTACAAACCTCGAGCAGTCTCCGCATCAGGACTGTCATCATGGCAGCAACCAGTGGTGCTGAATGGGTGGAAGGTGATGAGGATCTGTTCGCCGGCAGTGATCTCACGCTTCCCTCAATGGCTACATATATGGCTAGGATCGCCCAAAATTGGAATTACAAGCAGTCTTCTGAGGACAGGAACAAGCAGTTCAAGACCGACTTACATGCTGTAGCCAATGGCACGTGCATCGAACCTCTCGAACCAAGCGAGTCTTTGGCGAGCTCACCGGGGCAGCGCGGTCAAACCCCGAGTCAGGAGACAGGTGGTGCTCGCTTCTTGGAATTGGAGCCTGAAGTCGACAACGCTGCCCCAACTGCTGAGGGCCTGGAAGAACAACAGCAAGACGCTGCTGCCGTAAACAACTCCATCAGTCACCAGGATCTGGGCATTCAGTTTTCCGAGGAGTCGAATGACGGCACTAAGGATCAAGATCTGGAAGGCGACGAGCAGGATGCCTCCCTGAGCGATGTTGTCGCGGATCCTTCGACGTACGACGACTCAGATTACATCATCCCATATGAAAGCGACTCGGTTACGGGAGGTGGAGATAGCGAGCCTACGCGTGCACACAACACGCCCGATTCGCCGGCTGTGAGTATCGACGACTCTGGATATGGTCCCAGCCTCAGCAGCATCGCAAGTCACATTGCAGACATCGATGACGACGGCACTTATGACTCAGATCTCGACGAGGAGCTGCAGCAGGTTGGAGAAGCCGAGACCGACGCCTTCACAAGTGAAGATGTGCAGACTGCCTCAACGGGAACGGAGCAAGCCCAACAGCCAAAGAAGTGCATCAAGACAATCGACGACCTCGTCTCCTGTGCGAAATTGACTCACGAAGTGTACAGTCGATTCGCCAATGCCACGAGTCGTGCAAACAGAGCAGACCTTACATTGTATGCGACGGACTACGAGGAACATGACATGCATCTACTTGCCCAATGGACTACGGCTGCCGTTAATGAAAATTCGCGCCGACGCGATTCAGCCCGGTCAGTAGATCCCGTGGTCAATCAGATTAATGCTGCAAAAAACGGAGGCTTCGCCAGGATGGGATTCCCTTATCCTGCGAATGTGGCCGATTGCGAGGGAAAAATGGCTGCTGTCAAAATGGCTGCTGTCAACGTGTCATCGCCCAACAACTTCAGCGCGAAGCATGACAATTACACTTACAAGGTAAGGCCCGTCTACATTGCCAACACAGGCACCAACAGCCCGCAAGCCTATCAAATGTTCACATTCCGAGGCCGGGGTCTGCAAGCTGTGCATCCAGATTACCATCACCTATTTGTCGAAGTTGTACACAGCAGCGACATCAGGGCACAGGACCCAAATGTGATCGTGGTGGATGGAGGCAACCTGCTACACGCCGAATTTTCGGTCTTCCTGAAAATCGAGCCTGTCTCTTTCCACTGGAATCAGGCTATGCATGAGCACAACAGATCACGCGTGAAGAATTCAGATGGGACCTACACATTTGGACCAGTATCTCCCATGCGCATGACTGATGGTGGTTTACGCGTGTTCTTCACACAGAAGATGTTGAACACAGGGAACGATGACACGTATTTGGCCTCCAAGACTGGACTATTCCAAACTGAGGTCGCCAACCTACACGCTGCTGCCCTACGCGTCCAAGGGACTCGTGGTCCGCGACTGAATCCAGTATCGCACAACGGAAATGCGCGCATCATGGCGCCTGGCGCCAATTCTCTCGGCACAGCTACTCATGGCAACAACGGCGGCGGAAACATGGGTGGTCCTGGCGGTAATGCTCATTATCAACCCCAGCCGACAGTCCCGCATACCGCACAGAAGCGAGGCGCATACACAGCTCTGATAAGCGTGGTGGGACATAAGCTCGACATTCATTCAGGTCCGGTGGGTGGAGCCGGCTTTCAAGTCGCCACCTCTTCAGGATATGACCGATTCCAAGAGGGTCCTCAAAAGCGTCAGCGATTGGTAAAAGGAGACTGGCAGGAGAGCGGAGGCATGCAGCGACACGAAGGCACGCAGAGAAACGGAGGCGGCCAGAGAAGTGGAGGTGGGCAGAGAAACAGAGGCGGTCAGAGAATTGGAGGTGGGCAGAGAAACAGAGGCGGCCAGAGAAGCGGAAGTGGCCAGACGAACAGAGGTGGCCAGACGAACAGAGGCGGGCCAAGAAATGCAGGCCGGTTGAGAAATGCAGGCGGGCAGGGCACGCGTGTGAAGAATTGAAGGCTTGATCAAAGCAGATCGTGTTGGAAGCGCATGATGTATCGATCTGACCGATGTGCGATTTGGGCGAAGGAAGCAGTCATCGAGTGTTCGGTGAGAGATAAAGAAGGTGGTCTCGGCTGGCTGCCTTGGAGCTGTATGATTTGGTCCGGGGCCTGGTTTGGGCTTTCATTGTCGACGGGTTCTGTAATGGAGGCTATGTCAAACTAGTCGCTTGTCGGAGCGCGGCGTTCCATGGAAGCTTTTGTTTGTATACTCTCTTGATTGTAGCTCTGAAAGACTCCGAAAACGTTCGTGTTTCGCTGGGAGACAAAGCAATCACTGTCGCTTCAGCGCAACAAAGAACACTTTCCGGACAGTCAATTAGCTCTGGTAAAACTCACGACTACGATGAATCGTGCTGTCGATTAGCTTACGAGAGAGATGAATCTGGTGGCCCGGTTCCAGGCTTGGTGGCAGGGTGACTCACGTCACACTGCCAATGTTGCTCACCAGTCGGGCTCCCCTGACAAACCAGCACTTCAACCTGTGAGGAAAGATATCCAAACCTCTATAGTCCACGATCGCGTTGCATTTGTAGATCTTCTTATACGCAGTGTCGAGCTGAGATTCACAAGACGGAGATTGGTTGCAGCGATTGAACGATATGAGCAAGAAATCTTGCCACTTCGAGCGACTCTAGAGGGCATTGATTGTTTCGTAGGTTCAACTCCCGCTAGCCACATAGGACCAAGAGTGACGCGCTAATGAGACTCATAGCTTGACAACAGTAAGGAGTATAGAGGACCAGAGACAGAACCGATGATCGCCAATTACGAACAACAAGCAGAGGAGACGGGAGAATATCTGTATGGACCACTTGGCTATCTTGAGAGGGTGGAACAAGCGCGACAAAGACTGGCAGTCACCGAAGCTGCTTCATCTGATGTTCTAAAAAAGATCTATGCATCCACCAGATATTGGATCGCCCATTCCGAGCCGCGTTGTTTCGCCGGGCTGGAGTGTGATGACGAGCTCCAACATTCGTTCTTCAACATCTGTACAGGTGCAGCACGCCTTGAGTCAAAGATAAAACTGGTCCGAGAGGCATTAGAGTCAGCGACACTGGCCTGTCAAGGTTTGGTAATGGCGCGCAGAGATGCGCGAAGAAAAGACCAAACTTCCGCCACGTCAGAGGACGCAGAAGCGAGAGTCAAGCTTGCAGATCAAAATGATAAAGAAGCTCGAATGCAATACAAGAATGCACGCGAAGCATTGGACCTGGCTCAAGCAGTTCAGCGCCAGAGAGAGTCGAACTTCGTGGATACAGATTTACTCGACGTCCTGATCGATAACGGCCTCTGGATGGACGTACATTCTCCAAGCATGTCTGAGCTCAGCGATCTCAGTATGATACCACACCATGAGCCAAAGATAACTACTCCGAGCCCAGTCTTGCTGGATCCAATCATTCAAGACCTCGAATACGCTCGTGAGCAGGTCGCAATTGCCGAGCGTAACATTAACGGATTGAACTTAGACTATCAAGGAGGTCTCGTCAACTATCTGGTGCTCTACGGACCCGAGGGTCGTGACCGATGGAACGAGAGTTTTCGGCAAGACAACGAAGGCATGTCATTCGAGGCTGTACTGGAGGAGGAGGAGCAGTTCAGGACGGAAGCGCAGGCGAACTATATGCGATGCAAAGCCGAAGCAAAAAGATGCAACATCCAGGACCAACCATTTACACCCCCCGGGTATGCGCTGGTTCCCTATGAAGAAGCGTGTTATCCACCGGAGAACACTGTTTGGATCGACAGCACGCAACAAAGACAACGACCGAAGGTCATGAAATGGGCAGCCGGGGTCGCGAGAGGCAGCCCAGCTTCATTCCGAGACGGGACGTCAGTAGACCTCCTTGGAAGTCCACGTCGAGCAGACTCATGGCCCACTCAACAAGGCAACAGCCCGACATCTTCCAAAGCAGGGTTGGTACAGCGAGCCAAGATTGCTAGGATTGCTAAGACAAAACAGAGCACGAGGGAGAGGAACCGTGCAAGCAGAAAGATATGGCAAGAGCGATTGAGGAAGACAATGAAACAGCATGGTCGGGCTGCGAAGCTCGTGGGTGAGGAAAACGGGAATATTGACTGGAACAGCTTCTATTCTGATCTTGATCCGCGCTCGGAGCAGAACGATCCGGGACGCAGAAGTGCGGAGCGAGAAAATTCAGAGCAATGGAATACCGAGCACACAAATACAGGGCAACAAAGCACAGAGCAAAGCGACTCAGGTCACACCCACACCACTTATTCGAGTTTTGAGTGGATATGAAAAGTGGTGATGGGCAGCGATGAATACATGCAGTGGACAGGATGGAGGAGCCTAAAGAACTGATAAGAGTGATCATCCGCACAAACACGTCATTTTCGTGGTCAGAGATTTGTCCAAATCGTTCTATCAGGCGCTGATCTAGACTTGGGAAAATTGTATGATTTTGTCTGTACGATATGGTGAAAGATCAAGCGGCAATGGGTACCGGGCTAAATTTGCTTTTACTGTTCAGGTCCGGCAGTAGCAAATCTTTCAGCCGAAGCAACGCAAGAACAAGAACAGGACGGGGTCTTATGGTCTCTTCTTGCTCACGCCCTGACTGTTACTTGTATTGTCTCCTTCGTAGAGCTTGCCTTCATTTCATTCATGGATGCTTGGTGAACCCAGGTGATCTGGCCAAGCAGTTACCGCTATCCGACACTCATTCACTTCAACGCCAAGACTCGCGCCGTGTTCACTGGGCTGGCCCAGTGCCTACTTTAGGACTGACAGCAACGGCCTACAACGAAGTACCGACACGCAATCAAACCTCATCGTCGGCACACCACGGGCCTTGCACATTGAATTTGCTCGATGCACGCGCCACCTCTATTACTTCCAGAGCGCTGGGGCCTGGTCCTCGAATCAGCACGACGAAGATCGTACGCCTTTGGCGCACACCGAACCACAGCACATCTATCAACAGCAGCCCTTTCAAGAAGCAACATCAAGGACGGCAACGACTCGAGTCACGGCGTCATTACCAATACCCAACATGCCCAAAGACGACAATGCCGCTGGTGGCGGATCTGAGGCTGTGACGGACACCGGCGTCGACGGCAGTCCTTCCGTAGCGGCTGCTCTCGACAGAAGCCCTTCGAAGCGCTCAGTTGGGTATCAGACTGCTGGTGGTGGAGTCGTTCTGGGGATGCCTGCTGAAATCGCCTGCAACGACGACGCAGCGGTTCTTGATGCTCACAAGCTTAAGACGACTGGTCAAGAGCAGCACACGCATATTCCTGGTAATCAACTGGGAGGAGGCAGTCTAGAGCGGCTGTCGATTCTGGAAGTGCAAGAGAGATACGAGACGGAGGTACCATATTGTAGATGTGGGGGACCATACTTCTGCGAACGACACCTGCGTATGCCTTGGGATCCATCTGCTGATGACCGCGACTTTGATGATGCTTTCCCTGCCAATCATCCAGGAATATGGGAACACCACCCCGAGATTTCTGCAAGCAGAAAAGCGGCTATTCTCTCCGTCAACCGCTTCTACGTACACTTCGTTAACACTCGAGGCAACTCGGACGCGGGGAGGCCTGACACCAATCCCACTGGTTGGATACAGACTCAAGGAGAGCTTGTACTTGGCTTTATGCTTATCATCAAAGCCATCCTCCCTGATCATCGCATCAAGTTCCCCGGTGCAGCAGAGGCTTTGACCTCTGACGAAACACCAATCACTGGGCGCGACCTGGAGACCGATCTCACAGACGCTGAGCGAGACGATTATTTCAAAGTTCTGAAACTTACGCGTTGCATTGTCCTCGGGCATTTGTCACCGGTTGAACAAACACAATTGCTGATGTTTGCGGAACATGAGCAGCGCATATTGAGGGACATTAACTGCCGCCGTCACGGGCTGTCAAAAGATCCAGAGCAGAATCAGAGGAATACCGAGAAGAATGGAGGTTTCGCGTGGAAGGCGTTCTTTTTGCACAAGAGTATGTCGACCTACGACTGCGAACTGGCAGTTCCCTGTCCGGTCCCACCTGAAGAAGCCCGTACAGGCTTGAGCACATGGGTTGAGAAGTTCCGAGCCATATGGGTTCCCACTGGTGCCTCTGCTTCTAGGACTCGGGCTTTCCTGATCGTCACATTTTCGAGCTCTGACCTAGACGCTATGTCTCCTGATGAACGCGCTACATACATCGAAGTTCTACACAGCAGCGATGTCCGAGCACAAGATCCAGGTAATGTGCTCATCGTCGAGGGGGCAAATCTTCTCAAGCCCGGGTGCAGATATTTCATAGATATCGAGGCAGAGCGTTTCGATTGGTCCGAAACAATGTCGGAGCTCAAAGCCGAACAAGTTGATGGAGCACATGAGGGAACTGAAGCCCAGATTGCCGACGAGTCGGTCATGCATATGTCGAAGGAGAGCCGTCGTAAGCTCATCGCTGCGGTCCTCAACAAAATGGAAGAAATTTCGGAGGAAGTACGCTCAAGCGCAGTCCCACAATCTGAGACAACTTCTTGCGCTACGAAGTTTCCACTGCAGACGGAGGAGGCCGGCCCCGTGCCCAGACACGAAGAGCAAGCAGAGGCAGACGCCAACACAGAGATTGCCCCGATGGAAGAAAGCGCTGTTTCAGATCGCGATGGACCCGAGAAAGTCTCATCTAAGGTCAAGCGACCTCATCAAGAAGATCTCTCTACTCATGCGAAGCGCAGCAAGTACTAGAACCAGCGATAGGGGCGTATAGCTGTTGGGTGCCATCGACGAGCAATACAGCAACGTCACGATTGGAAGTCAATGAGTATGTGCATTCCACGTGGCCGGCAAATTTGTGTTCTCAAATGCATGGTGTGAGAACTTCAGGGGTGAGGTTCGGATACGCTTGTGTTGACGTGGCTTGTAATGCATGTGGTTGATGGCTGCCGCGTCATCGAGACCTTGTAAGAAAACGCAACTACAGAGCTTCTTGGAGCATGATATGGTACTTCGAGATGGACGTTCGATTCTGAGCCAGGTTGTCATGTTTAGAGGAAGCATTTGTTATAGATACGTCAAGAAAGGAGATGTTCTCACTTGCACGTCAAAGTGACAAAGCATTCCCCTATTCTAGAACCACACTCTAATCGAGGACCCAAGTCTGGCTACGTGAGCCTTCCGGTATCCAGAATTTCGAAGACAACCAGGCCACGTCTCGAACGCATGGTGAATCCACGTGACTTGCCAGGCAAGCCTGTTGTAGGCCGATGCCCATTCACTCCAATGCCAAGATCTCGCCCCGTTCACCTGAAGCCACTTTGCCTACTTTAGGACCAGAAACCTCGCGACTCACCGAGAATCCCACCCACACCAGACTTCATCAGCGGTACACAGCTGATGTTGCACTTCTGACGTCGCCTCACAAACTCGTGTCTCCTCTCAACTCGAGTGTCATCGTCTTCAAACTAGGACGCAATCCCTCCACGCCTTCGCAGCACATCAGACTGCGGTGCTTTCCTCAACAGCAGTCTACTCGGACATAACACTGACAACTACGACCGCTCGAGTGCTGACGGCATCAACGACACCAGCCATGGCGCCCAAAAAAGCCGCCGCCCCTAACAACAACGAAAACGTCACAAGCTCCGTCGTCGGCAACACTTCAAAGGAGTCGGCTGCTCTCCACAACTCGAGCTCAAAGCGTGCTATTGAGGCTCGCATTGCTGATTCAAGCGTCGAGTCTGCTAAGAACGATGACCACGACTATCTAGGACCCCACCACCTAGGACCTCACGGTGTACAAAAACCTTCGGGGACTTGTCTCGAGGAGGGCGCGCACGTTATTGCTCAAGAGATGGGCGGCACTTCTCTGGTTCCAGGTCCGGCATCAATTGGACACAAACTAGAGATTCTCGTGAACAAAGTTGCGCCTGGTTCGCCAGTCGAGAGATTCATCGTCAATTTGCCAAGCGACTCGAGCGCGCAAGAGTACACTATCGACTCACCGGGCTTCCTGAAAACGAAAGGAGAAGTCGCATCGGGTTATCAGCTCATGCTCAAAGCCCTTTACAATACTACCGCCGAGAAGATTCCCGCTCATTACCTCCAAGATCCATCTCCCAACCCTGGAGGGGAGCTCGAAAATCTGACTCGAGACGATCAAGACTATATCTGGGGAGTTACTGGAGCATTGAAGCAGATGACCGTTGAGCACTTGACGCCAGACCAGCAGAACGAGTTGAGGCGATATTTGAGACATCAGCATGCCGTCCTAGAGACCATTTTCAGCCGCCTCTGGGCCAGCTTGTGGAGAGATCCAGAGCAGAACCAGAAAACTGTCAAGCAGAATGGCGGCTATATGTGGTTGCGAGTCTGTTTGGATGATGGCGAACTGGACTACAAGTCCAATCTTGCCATCCCCTGCCCGGCTCCAGCCAGACACCTCAGCGGACGCCCTGGCTACTCGATTGAGAAGCTCAGACCGATTTGGGTCTCCAAGCTCGATCACGGCCTTGGGCCTGGCCCTGCCGCTCACTTCATCTTCAACTTCACGAGCACTGAGCTGGAGAATATGCACCCTGATGAGCGTATGCTGTATATCGAAGTCGTCCATGCCAGCGACGCTCGAGCCAAAGACCTGGAGCGCGTGGTGATTGTGGAGGGACCAAACGTTCTGAGGCCTGACCTGAGATACTTCATGCAGATTGAGCCGGTTCCCTTCAAGTGGTCCGACGCCATGGTTGAGCTCACACCCGGCAAGTTTGAAGAAGTGCGCGAGGAGAGTGTGCAAGAAGAGGCAGTCATTCCACGATCCAGAGCTGAGCGCCGTAGACAGCAGAGGGAAGCCGACGCGAAGTCCAAGCGAGATGGCCAGAGTGGCGGTGGTGGCCAGAAGAAGTCAGGCAAGAACTAGTCTCAATCAAGGAAGGCAGAGGTCGAACGTTCACGACACAGCCAGCTTGCGATGAGGCGGCATTCATGGTCGTGTGACATAACGTCAATGGGATTCTTGTAGCATGTAAGAGAAGAGTGGATTCGCAGATAAATGTTGCGGGACTGGCAGGTACTGAGGCTGAGGCCTGGATGGCGCGTGAATCGATCCGAGCCATAAACATCTGATGGCCACGGGGTCGTCGTGATATTGCAAGCAGGTAATTCGCTTGTCAGAGTGCCCTTCCTTCTCACACTGGATTGTAATTAGAAGTCCGAGCCTGCGGTCTTGGTAAATGAAAGCGCTGTTTACAAACCAAATGGACGAAGATAGCTTCTTGACTGAACATAACATTGACAATGTCTCCCACATCCGACCCCAGACCGCGAGATTCTAATGAGAAAGTGTCAAGTTCAGGAGATGATCAGAACAGGAAGTAGCAACGGTTGCCCACCGAATCTTCGCCCGGCTCAAAGTTGGGCAGTGACGAACCTTCGCCCTGGAACAAGATACAAACAACAAAATGTCTACCTTACAAGGCGTACACAAAGACATCATCTTGACTGGAGTCGCTGCAGACAATACAAAGTTCACCTTTCCACGCAGCAGCCATCTCATCATCGCCACGCCAAGACATATCTTCGCCTGGGACGCATCTGGCATCCACAAAATCTTCCAAAGCAGTCGCAACGGCATCATCGCTGCGAGAGAAGCCAAAGATGGATCAGGACTCCTCGCAGTGGCCAGTAAAGATGTGGTCGTGCTGCATGACACGAAGAGGGGCAAGGAGCACAGCTGGGGACTGAATGCCCCTGACGAAGAATTGCGACACTTGGAGTATTCTCAAGATGCCAAGATGCTCTACTTGTCAACTACGTCGCATGGTCTCATCCAACAGTACAGTCTGGAGAAGTGCCGTCTGCTTGAGCCTCTACAGAAACATGAGACCGCTCCTGTTGCACTTGCTGTGTCCTGCACTGGAGACTTGATGCTATCTGCATCGAGTGACCCGCCCACGATCTACCTCAAGAGCACGACAGCAAATGTGACAAGCACATTAATTCAGCCTACCTCCTCGACTGCTGCTGTGTGTGCTGCAGCTTTCCATCCCGAACGACCGAACATATTCATGCTTGGCTTTCGAGACGCAACGGTAGCTGCGTTCGATGCTACGAACATCGTCAATATCACTGGCACCTACGAAACTCAGCTCGATTTTGGCTGGGAGATTTCCAGCTTCCAGAATCTTCACCGCAAGGTCACCACGGAGAACATTCTGTCGGGGTCTACAAGCATCGTTGCACCAATTGCTGGAGTCGCCTTCTTGCCTGGCTACAGACTGCGAGCCGTCACGGCTGGCCGAGATGGACGTTGCCGCATCATCGACTTCGCAAATGGCGGTGTCGTACTTCGTACATGGCAGTGCAAAGAGTCGTGTACTTCACTTGCCATTCTCGCAGGGTCTACCAGTGGCTCTGTACGGACTGCTCCTGTCGGAAATGGTGGACAAAGCGATGATCAAGATCAACAAGGTGAAGTGATCGCTGTAGGATTAGCAGATGGATCAGTTCAGCTTTACAATAGTTTGGGCTTGCTACTAGCTCAACAGCGAGTGAGCTCACGGGAGGAGAAGATTATCAGTGTTGAGTGGAGTGTCGGCTCAGCTCCTGTCGCGATCAACGATGCAACTTTGGGCAACTTTGGCGAGGCAGATTCCGATATAACCCTCGATGCAGTACGGAGTGTTGCCACGTCTGCGCCTTCCAGGCCAAGGACTGGTGATACCACGAGGACACAGGCAGCGAAGAACGGTCTGGGTCTGCCAAGCAGCTTGAGAAGAGGGCAGGGGCTATCAACACAACAAGTGCAACGCCAGTTGACATTCCACCCCGACGAGATCAATACCCCTACTGTGCGACGCACGCCGATGTCGAAGCAACAAGTCTTCGCACCTTCCTCTGGTCAAGGATACAAGGACTTGTTCACCACAGGAGAGCGGGATATACCCTCGTCTACGTTCAGACGACAAGTTTCCAGTCCACCAAGAAACCGCCCTAGCATCTCAAGCCAGACATTCCTCAGGTATCCTGCTTCGAGCATAAGAAGCACGAAATCAAGACGTGGCACACTTGCGTGCTCGACTCGAGCGTTTGCAGACCGCACGAGTAGTGCTAGCTCCAGGACGGGGCAACAAGGGGCAGCGAAGAAGATTTCTCTTGGTATGAGGCAGCGAGAACAGTCAAAGCTGCCCCCACTTCACTCACGAGGGCGTCGAACTGCGTTCAAGTCCAGTAATGCTGTTCTTGGTGACGCTGCGACCGCGAGCTTTCGTCCACGATCGAATGAAGGAAAGACACAGTCCAGAGGTAGGCCAATCGCATGCGCCAAAACTTCCCTGAGCCAGGGCGGTGAGCACGAAGAAGATGTCTGGCTCACGTCCGACAATGACGAGAATCTTGCCGATCGAGAGCTACCTCGAAGACGCGATGATAAGCACCAATACCAAGCCATCTTAGGACAAAGCCCGCAACAAGATGGTCATCCTTCTCAGAGACCACTTAAAACGCACGCCTACGTTGCTCCTGGTAAAGGCCTCAACTCAGTCTCCTCAGACGTCAGACAGCTTTTTCCGCGAACGTCTTCGCTCTCGCCACGTATGGCTCGGAATGCCACAGAGTTAAGGGATGCAGCGAACGGATCGCGTTCAATACCAAGAAAGCAGAACGATGGTGCTGCCGACGTGCCATCTTCAAGCTTGCGTCCTTTCATCGCTTCAGCAGCCAAGCACCCAAGAACACCTTGGACTCGCGTACGAGCTGGAAAGGATGTCGCGCAAAAGGAGCAGAGTTCGAGAGCAAAGTTGAAGGCACAATCAGCAGCACCAGTGAGAGCCAGATCCATCAAGAAGAACCCGTTCGTGACTGTTTTGCTGCAGTCAGATGGTTCCATCGATGTGCCGCCAGCATCTCCTGAGCGGCCAGCTGGGCTGACAAGAAGTCCCAGTGTTGATTGCTTGACCTGTGCAGAGACTCAAGCGAGAGTGCAAGCGCTGGAGGTAGAGGTGCAGGATTTGAAGGATGAGGTGTCTAAGCTCAAGAGTGTGTTGTTCCGAGGAGCCAAGCTGGGCGAAGAGAAGCGCTCGTGGCGTTAGAAGCGTGCTGCGGAGTGATCATCATTGCACCCATTACTGATCGAATAGCTCATACCTGTCGCATGAGAAGTGCATCTGAGTGAGCATGATGTAGAACTGTCAATGCCAATAGAATTCGTGATACATGATGGCTGATACCACATCTTCACCTCACTTCACCTCCTTATGCTCCCTGACATCAACCTTCTCATCGTCTCCACTCCCCGAAATCTGTCTTCCCAACTCCGGATCCTCTGCACTCATCTTCCTCCCCCGATGATGCTGCTGCGCCAACGAAGCAGCTCTAGGATCCACACTGCTCGCTCGTCGAACCTGCGTCTCCTCGCGTTCAATATACTTGAGCGGTCGAGTCGACAGTGTCGCTTCCTTATCCAAGAAGACGAAAATATCTTTGCCGCCATTCGAGTGTGTACGGAAGTACTCGTCGATGTCCTCGAGCGTACGGCCTGCAGTCTCAGGAAAGAAGATGTAGACTATAGGCACGAAGGAGAAGTTGAAGACTGTCCAGATGATGTAGAATTGCCAGCCGAGATTCCTGATTCCGCTGGGGGTGATTTCTACGACCATGAAGTTGCCTGGGAGTATTGTTAGTATAGACTCGTGCAGTTTTCTGACTTGGGAGTGCAGCACTTACATATCCAGTTTGTCGCTGTGCCGAGTGCAGCACCTTTGTTCCTCATCGAGAGGCCGTTGATCTCAGCAGGGTACAACCAAGGCACACCTTGCATACCGATGCCGAAGAAGACGTAGTAGAGGAAGAAGAACGCCACACTAGCGCTAGCGACTTCTCTCTGGTTTGGATAGCCTTCTTTGTCGGAGTATCGCAAGAGAATTGTGATGAGCATGTAGCAGCAACCTTGTCCAAAGGCAGCGTACATTAACATCTTTCGACGACCCCAACGCTCGACGTTCGGGATACCGATGAGTGAGAATAGCAGGTAGCTGACACTATTGCAAGCGGCCAGGAGTCGAGCCATCCTGTTCGTGAATCCGACAGACTCGATCAAGACAGTCGGCAAATAGTAAGAAGTCACGTTGATCCCGGACAGCTGTTGAATTGCTTGCGCCCCCATTCCGAGGAACAATCTTCGAAGAGTCGAGGTACCAGCTGCGTCGCCTTGCTTTCCACGTAGGAGATCTCGGACACGCACAGAGTGCTCCCTTTCGTACTGGATGGAGAATTTAATCTCGCTCAGCTCCGTCTGAACGTATGGGTCAACGATGTCGGTGCCCTCGACATCGGCCAGGATCTGCTCGGCTTCTTCGATACGGTCTTTCTGCACAAGCCATCTCGGTGATTCAGGTAGCCAAGGGACTGTCGCGTACAGGATGATGATGAAAATGAACTGCAGTGCAAGAGGGACTCGCCACGCAACACCGCCTGGGAGGTAAGAGAAGCCAAAAGTGACCCAGTTGCTCAACGAAAATCCAGCAATGTTCAGAATGAGCTCGATGACGATGAGCTTCCCTCTCCATGCCGCTTTCGACGTCTCCGCTTGCCAAGGAGGCGCAGTCGACGTATTGAGGCCGTTACCGATACCACCAACGATTCTGCCAACGATCATGTGGGGAACCGAGTATGCTGTGATCTGGAGAATTGCGCCAATGCTCATGATGGTAGTGCCGAGGAGGATGGTCTTCTTGCGTCCAATCATATCACCAATGAAGTATGCCAGGATAGCGCCAAAGAAACAACCGATATCGTAGATTGCTGTCACTGTGCCGAGAAGTCCGCTGTTGTTTCGAAGACCAAGCTGATCGAGAAAGTCGTCTGTTACGACAACACCGCCGAAAACACCCTATACTCAATTAGAGCCTGGACGCGCGAAGCTGTTTCGGATGCTTGCCCACCTGATCATAGCCAAACAATGTCATGTCTGTACCGCACGCAACGGTGACCCAAAAGGTGAGCCATCCTCCCCGTAGGCCGAAGTATCGATCTTTCATCCCAAACATCTTGAACAGTGATGTTGGAGTGACTGCCAGGAGCGGCTAGGAGGTTGTTGCAAAAGAGATCGACTTGAGCGGCTGCAAGGTATACAGGCATTCGGGCGTCAATATATAGACCCATGATCAGCTGTCCTCATTACCATGGTGCCCTCTAAACGGCCCGCCAAACTGTATGAGCACAAACTCGCAGATCTCAAAGCCAATCAGCGGCATCCGTGAACCGTGATCGCGTGAATGACATGCTCTGCGAGTGCAGTGAAACCTATCGTCAATCATTAATGACGCAGTAGTGCGCATCCTGGCTCTTCTCCATGCGCCATTCGCGCGGGTGACGGTGGGGAGGCTGAACCATACAGGATGACGGCGGACAAATCTTCGGTGGCGTTTCGGCGCTATTGCAAGGTGCATGCTTTTCGTGCCTACGCCGATATGGCACGGACATGATCGCTGTTCAACATTCATCGAAGTTACAGTTGTGTAAAGGTAAAAGATCAGCGGCGACGGCATCTGAAGGCTTTCGCCAGACGCTTTGCGTAGTTTCTGGTTGCTATGCGTCGACAATGTGCTGCCTCCGGCTCGTTGAACCACGCTTTGACTTCTTCTCGAAGGAACGGAGAGTTTGAGGTTGCGACCGCCCATCCTTGAATTTCCCCGCATAACCCGCGAAAGTCTGGCTGGAAGCGAGCAAGATCGACGAATGGAAGCACAGTCGACAAATACACATGCAAAGATCTCGCATTGCTTTTCGACCCCTCACTGCAATTACAGGATGAGTTTACGAGAGTACAGCGTCACCAAGGTAGCACACGCGGCGTGCTTGCGGGGCGTGGTGCTCGAAGTCGATGATGGCTGATGCGTTTGGAATCCTGGAATATGTGGCACGACTGTCGATGAGCCGGCAACCGACGGCACTAACAAAAGTGGGTCAGACTGGCGGCCGTCAAGGCTGGCGCCCGTTGAAGCTTGTCACAGTGTCAAGCAAGCGATCAAGATCTTGGAGTGGCCTTGATCGAACAGCTCGTTTGGACGAAGAGTAGAGACCCTCAAGCAGACTTCGTTACAGAATGTCAGAACGGTGATCCTGGTGCTCATACACAAGCGTGATAATGGTTGCGTGCAGTGGTCACCTCTGACTGCGTCTTCCTCGGTCCAGCTGTGAGTCTGTGACACGATTGAAGTGCGACGCGTCATGGTGTCGCATTGCATGCACTGCGAAACTCGCAATGCCCGAGCGAGCACTCACGAAGAGACCGTTCGCAGACGATTCGAACAACCCCATACCGGATGCAGTTCGGCACATCAGGCGTATGCTGGGATGCTGCTCCTCGTATGTATCGTGTTGCGCCATGTTTACTTAGCGTTGTGATGTAATTGCAGGGAGAGCTGGAAAAGGTCGACAACGACCACAGAGCACCGCAATCTCAGCCCGAATCAGGGTGACGACCGAGGAGACTCACGTCAGCAAGTGCAGCACCGAGGTGGCCGAAGTCCGACATACGTTTCCGACCGAAGATGTGAACAGCTTCTCCATGTGGCCACTCGAGAAGTCCAGTATACACCGACAGGAAGCTCCCAGCAGCGAATGCAGTTGCAGCAGTAAGCAGTACCGTCTGCAGGTTCCTGTATAAGAAGGAATGCCATTTCGCGTTTCGCAGGTGCAGCTTGTTGGGTTGCCCCAATATCGGGATCTGGGTCCACACGCCAATGCCAAAGCTCTGCAGTGCTTCGGACGTGGTAGGCGAGGATGCAGTGCTCCACGGCAGCAGCATCTTGTGAGCTTTCCAATATGCATGAGCCTCTTCACGCGATCTGCAGCGGCCCACAGCAAGGACATCTCCAACATTTGCAGCAAGTGCCAACTCCTTATGCAGACGATCTGTATAAGCAGCAAGTCGCTTGTACTTGCGCCGCATCGTTGTCGCTAGCCAGTCTTGGGGCAATTTGGGAAATAGCATGAGACAGAGATACGCTGTGACAAGACAATCGACTGCACTCGGTCGTTCGGTATCCAGCAGATATGTCTTTTCGCCGAGCATGTCCTGCAAAGGCTCGAAGAAGTTGTCCGCAAGCGCATTGAGCTTGAATATCGCCGCATGCTCTGGTCGCTGGAGTAGACTGCGCAACGTCTCCTTGCCTCCAAGCAGCAGACTCGCTCTCTTTTGTGTCGCAGCCTCAAACTTTTGCTCCTTGCCCACCCCGTCGAAGCCCTCCGGCCTGTTGCTCATGTCCTCGTGCACATTGTCCACATCGATGCTCGACACGCCCAGGTGCTCTGTCCTCAGCCGGGCTGCATTACGCTTCTGAGGCGGTAGAGTGTAATTGGCGTGCCATGGGAGGATCTGGCTGTAGGCAGGGCGTGTTGCGAGGCGATAGTTCTCGAAGCCGACATACAATGAGATGTCGAGGAGAAGTTGGGCATTGTGTTCGATAAAGGAGGTAATGGCGGCGGCATCGGCGGTCTGTTGTGAATCGAGTTCTTGTTGAATGATGCGTTTGTCCTTCAGATGGCGAGTGATGTTGTTCAGTCCCGACAGTCTCGCTGTGCCATCGATGAGATACGGCAGTGGAAGGCTTTCATCGTGAGTCGGAACGAGCTCGTAGTCGTGCGGTGCGTAGAGCTGGAGTAGCGCGACAGCAGCAATGCATTGCGCATCGATCGAGGGAAGCCCAAAGGCGGGGCCTAAGATGAAAAGCTTCATCGTGCGTGAAGCCATCTTTTTGGTGAAGCTCGCGGCGGAAGAAACGTGCAGATGGGAGACGCGACGGCGGCGCGTCCAAATCGAGCTTTCCATCGGCATTCCACTTTGGGTAAGCCCGACGCGACTGACTTCACCACAGAAGTCGTCCACGGAGTAGCAACGGCAACAACAACCATACTTGAGAATACTCATGCAATGCCATGCATACAACAGCCTGGAGTGTTACATTATACAGTCTGCTGAGGGCATGACTTCAGCCTCAGCTACGAGGTCTCATGAGGTCTCAAGCCCCGAAGTCTAGCGTTCTTCTCATCGGTAGGTACGGCAGCAATCTATCGCAGAGGCTGTAGGCATGACAGCTGTACCGGCTCGAATCTACCCAAGGCTCTCGGGCCATGTCCTGCGCTATGCATCAAGTCGGCTGGAAACCCTGAGAAACGAGGGAAATTCATTCCAGGTCGCAGAGAAGAAGACATCCCACGCGCTCTGGCCGAATCTCTTGGTCAGAAGCACACCCAGGGCACAAGGACTTTAGTGGAACCTGTCTTTTACAAATCATCAACCTGCTGGCTAGAATATAGTGTGGCTGACCCAAAAGGTTGAAGATTCGTCTATTTCTTGTCCTCAAGTTCTTGCAACCATGGATCTCCGGAATCTAAGTGATGTGAGGCCACCGACCGCAAATTTGTATAATACCTACCGTGACTCCCCAGATAACAGGTTTCACAAAGCCAGCAGATCTGAAGACCAGGCAAATCGATCGAATATTCCAATTCAGAAACATGTCACCACCCGGCACGATTCCCGCTCACCATTCAGGCAATACTCGCAAGCACCCTCTCTGTGGCCCAACAGGTTACAAGTGCCGGTCAGTCTCCCCTTTCACACATGCTGATCTGCAGGGCACTGACAGAGATACAGTGGAAAGCAAATATTACCGCGAATTGACTTAGTGCGAGCCGGCCGACCAGTATTCCTCGATGTCGAAGGTATAGAGTTGACCGACCTCTCGAGCGTCCTCATGAAAGGCGTTGCACGAGTGAGCATTGTCAACGAAAGAGATGAGATGATTCTCGACACCTTCGTCTCCTACCCCAGCGATGTCTCTCACAGGCCAGGTTGGTATAAGAGTGGCGTTGGATGGAAAGATATCCGCCCAGACGTAGGTAACAGACTATCAGAGACATGCAGCGTAAACTAACTCACCTCCCAGAACTTCGCACGTCCCATCGGCGTGGTACTCCTCGAGCTCAAAGCCATCTTCGACAAAGCGGGCACAGTCGTCGGATACGCACTGGAGAATGAGCAGCAGTATCTTCGCGGTTTGCTGTGGTCACATTGGCATCTACGTGACACACAACGCTTTTCTGGATTTTCTAAGTACGCCGGGAATCCTGAACATCCCAGGCCGGGTCTCAAGGTTCTTGCGCTGAGCGTAGCCGGTATCAAAATCCAGGAGAAAGTGCATTGCAGTGTCCAAGATGCTCGCGCGACGCGGAAGATCTACTCTATGCATTCTGAGGGGATCGAAAAGGAGCAAAGTGAGGCCGAATTGCAGGTGAAGTTGCTGTACACCAACTTCCCGCGAGAATATAACCCGGCGACAGATCCTACTGCGAAGTACTTGGTGGCAACGGACCTCACGAAATGGATGCAGAATCTTGATACTGAGCCACAAGCTCTCTCCGACTCCGTCACGGCAGGCGAAGCCAAAGAGGGTGCAGACGAGATAGAGGCAAAGTTGTGAACAACTATCAGAGAAGTCAGGGCGCTACACTGACAGAGCCAACGAGTTCATCATCTTGGCCGGAAGGCCTGGGTGATCTTGTTAAAGTCGTAATTCTGCGAGATCCCAAACGGGACTGGTGGCTTGACGCTTTCCCACGCATCCTCAAATCCGCATCAGCTTTTACGCTTAGATGTCGCATTATCCACCTCGCTACACGCCATCCCCGAAGCAGAATGGCGTTCGAACGCAAGCAGTACGAGGCGAAATACGCTAGCTTCGACCAGCAGATCGTATCCCACCAGCTCGACTTCCTTCAGGTCCTGTTCGACGACGCGCTAGAGCAGCCTTCAGCCATGGTCACCAAGCTCCGACTCACAGCTTCACTCTGAGCCATCCGAAGTGGATATACCCAGTACGTCGGCTGTTACATTTAGTCAGAGCGAGAGATCAGAGATATTGGATTACTAGCGTTTGTTCGTTGAAAAGCCATGCGATTTCATTTTTCTATCTATGCTTATTCAAGTCTTCGCTCGCAGCGACGCCCAACCAGGCTGATTTGAGAAGCTTTGTCTGCCTGTAGACACCTAATGAATGACGGTGGCGCAGTGCATCTGAGTACTCTCAGCGGTGCTATATGCCCCTGTCGGTCCTGGCTGTGCTATTCCAGTTCCGTTGAATGCATGTCGCTCGACCTATTTTGCCGTTCCATGTTCCTTCAGGGCACACTCTCGAGCCATTCCATAGACCAAGCCCGCCCGCCGGTGCTTTCGTCTTGGGCCCATGCTGCTGCGTGATTCGGCGATCCTGTGCCAACCGAGTCTTTTCTCTCTTCCAAATCTCTTCTTTCGCACCATTTCCTAGACCTTCCTGCCCAAAGCCTCCTCAACCACATCCGTCCAGCGCTTCACCTCCCTCATAGCCTGCGCAACCTTCACAACCTCATCCTTCAACTTGCCACCATCCTCCTCCTCCATCGCATCCTCGAGTCCCATGACCTCGAAACCGCTCATCACCAGCTCCGAATTTCCCTGCAACTCCTTCACCTCCTTGAGGACAGCACCCAATCCAGCTTCTTCAGCTTCTGCGATAGCGTACTGGAAACGCTCGACGCACTCCTTCATGCCGAGAACGCAGTGGTGGAGGACGACAAGGCATTCCTCGTCAGGGATCTTGTCGGCGTACTCGATAGAGGCTTCGAGTGTTGGCGCGGTGGTGATCTTGATGGTCTCGTCCATGCGCTCGAGTAGGACGTTAATGTCGCCTGGAAGGTATTCCCATTGCTTGAGAATTGCGGGGAGGAGCGGCAAGTTGATGGTCGAGAAAGTTGACATGATGTGTTACGACTCGTGGTGGCTGTCGTGGGTAATGTTATGTGTTTGTGTGTTCTGGTGTTGCGTGGTGTGCAGTGGTGTGTGGCTGTGTGTCTGGTGTAGCGTGTCAAGGATTGATGTTGAAACCCGCTGGTGTAGGTTGAGGTTGAGTCGCAAAGGCTGGCCGGCTTTTGTATTCCTCATGCGACTGAACGGGAGTGAATCTTCACGTGCTCCCATTCACTTCTGCATTCGAGTCGAAGCATTCACAGGAAATGTTGCATTCTGAGCAACTTAGTGCTTTTCGCTACATGGTCGAGCTGACCTCAACGGTATCGATCCTCCCTTCCAGTCTGTGACGTTACTGCATACTCCGAGGAGGTGTATTTCTGCCGGCAGAAGACATTGGTCAAAAGGTAAGCACCAACAGTCTTGCTGTTCGTGGATTACATTGCCGTGACCTCAAGTCTAGAAGCTGCTAAGCTTGTCAAAAGACGACCGGGGCAACCAATGTATCTTTCGCTCCAGCCGCTTTAATATCTGCTCAAGTACGTCGACAAAATTTCTAGATTGGACCAAGTCTCGAGCCTTAGACAATATGCATGTAGCGGGTGATGTGTCGGGCGGACAGTTGTCTTCTCCAGTTCTGGTCCCGTGGACATTCGATGATAAGGCCGCCGAAAAGCTCAATAGCTTTGTGTTCTCCATGGTGAGCCATGCCTACGTGCGGTCCTTAGTTGCACTTCCGCTTCGATATCGTGCAAACAGGTCATTCAAGATATTTTCCATGTCAAAAATGAGCATGCCGGCGCTTGAGTCGCGCGTGAGTCGCATATCTTGCGTCGAGACTTGTCTACGGTGTGCGTGTGCTGAGCCGCTCTTGACTCGACTGGCGAGCTGGAGATCATTCTGGATCAGTCGTTGCAAGTCGTGGCGCATATCTCCGCGGTCATACCTGCTTAATCCAGGCGGCAGGTTGCAGTCCTCATATTGGCCAAATGACAAGCCGTTCTCATACTTTCCGTGTAGACCTCGGAGAGTTGAGGCTACTCTCGCTTTGCCGGTCCTATACAGTATACTGCAAGTGTTCGACAGCGGTGTCTTTTTAAGAAGTGCTCGCTATTACTATTGTGCCACCAGTAGCATCAATTATTCCCAGAACCAAACGAATTGCATGAGATGTAATTGGATAATGGTAGTGGTGCCGAACACGACACGGTACCGGACCGGTTCCGTGGTCGAGCTGCAGAGCCAGTCCCCTCGATCGCGATGGTCAGCATGGAGGCTGAACAGCAGGAATGGAGGACGTGCCGATCCGCGCGGTATGGTTGGCAGGAACTGCTCAGAAGGTGAGGTCGAGGGCAGGAGGAATCGCCGCAATTGCCGAAACCGCTTCCCGTCCTCTCGACGTCGTGCCAAGAGCTCGAACTTCACGCATTTCGACACGACATAATACCAAAAGCATGGTGCAGCCAGGCCGCATCCCCGACATCCGAGCTCCCGAAACTTCTTCTAGACGCCGCAGAATCATGGCTGCCATCTCTAAGCCTTGCTTGCGGCCTCGTTCGCGGCCAGAAGGGCTTGGATGAAGCCGTGCCAGCGCCTTCTCGAATGGTCTCAGGAAGGATCTGCAGAAGGCGAGGTGAACTCGACCATTACCACAAGCGTTGTTTGAGCTTGCAGAAATGTCCATGTATCTGATCAGAGCGATTGCAAGCACAGGAAAACGACTGTCCATGGGAGCTCAGCATTCTCTCGGAGCACTTGACTGAAGCTATTGACAATGCAGCAGATCTGTCGAGGCGAGACTCGCATCGTCCACTCGATCATATATCATCTACGCGACATGTCCCGACACCAATACCCTCCAGACTGTGGTCGCCAGAACGACACCGTTATGCTCCGTTGTGAAGAGTCGATCTTTGTCGCCCTAGCCAGATTACACTTTCCTACCCCAGATGCAGGCGCTCTGGGTGATCGACATTCTGCAGCTCTTTGCCGCTAGTCTCGCTCCACTCTATTCAGGCACGCGCTGCGGAAATAATCACTGCGACTTGTTTGGTTGTGCGTCACGCCAACTGAACGCCTTCCTTTGAGCGGGGACCACACGCACCCGACGGAACGGCCTGGACAAAACGTCAGTTCGCCTTTCAAAACCATTTGTGACTAGAAAAACATCTATGTTCTCTGATTCTGCTCCAATCTTTGCAATTTTTTCAAAGATTGGTAGACAAGCTCTTTCCGGCTACGTTCGGTGCTATACCCGAGCTGACGAAACAATAAATCAACATCCGTACGTGAGCTTGTGCTCAATCACACAATCTGGCCATGACTGGGCCAAATTCACCGACATCGGCAAAGGAAAAGACATTCCGATTCATTTCCGATCCTGGCCACAAGGAAAATCTATCAGGCCGCGTGCGAGCGGCGTGCCTCACCTGCAGGCGGAAAAAGATCAAGTGCTCGGGAGAGTTGAACTGTCGTACTTGTCGAGAGAAGGGGCTGGTTTGCGAGGGACTACCTGAGAGGAAACGACCTCGGCGAGACAGCTCAAGTACATTTTCGTTAAGTGCTGCTGCTGCGGGAGTGAAGAGGAGGAAGACAGAAATCGTTGATAAGCTTGCAAAACCAGCGATCAAGGCAAAGCCGCGAACAGAGTCACCAAAACCTCGCGAAACCCTACCTATGGATCCCAGAATTGCACAAGCACGTGTTGGAGAGGCAATACTGTCGCCTTCTCTCACTGAGCCTCCACTTCCTAGCGTCAATGTTAAAATCACCTACAAGCAAGCACAACCACCTCAAAGGGCCTTCTACATGGACAGTTGGCAGCTCCAAGACGATGCATCGTCTAGCAGCGAGACGAAACACAAGCCCGCGCTACAACCTCAAGCCCAGACCTTGAGGACTGCTGATACAACCGCAAGTGCAGGAAATGGAACACCGAGCTTCCAGCTTCAGTTTCAGCTTCCTGAGCATGCAGTCGACTTTCAACCTGCCGACGGAACGCCCGTCATGCCGACGTTCGATAACACCAGCCGACGACAAACGATAGCGTTCCCACTGCCTTCACCAGATTCGGCATTGGAGCAACAACGAGATCCTTTCGCTGGAGGAGGTGGCGCGTACGACGACATCGCTACACTGCTGTACGCGAGGATGGGTATGACTCCCGGCAACAACGATTTCGTGGGCTGGTGGGAGACGAACCCAGAGCTCACGTCACTGCTTCCTCAGGAACCTTCGCAAGCGGCGACTGCAGCACAGATTCCCCCACCACAGCCGCAGCAGATTCCCATGCAACAGCAGACGGCGCAACCACCACCGGCAACCCGACTCTCAAGCGCTGGCGATTATTTCGATCATTGGCATGGTTGGGCCGGCGAGTGACAATTATGGTGAGTAACGTCTAGCACTCGGGCATCTGACGAAACGTCAACGCCATATTCTGGGTCTAAGCTAACTTCAACAAAGGGGTCTGGAGCTGAAGATCGGGCTATCGGACTCCAGCATCTTGCACTGCGAAACCAAGGAGCATCGTCAGGAACCTTCGTCCGAAAACTCCCGGGCGAGCAATGGGAATGATAGCATCCGCCCTCCCGACATACCATCGGTCAAAGCTTAATTTAGAGAGGAAATACCACGGAGACTCAGTGCGGGCCAAGTTCGATGACCAGCACCCGCATGATCTCAAGAAGTGCATTGCAGTGCCACGAAACATACGGCCAATATGCTGATTGCCAATTTCACAACGACGCCAAGCCGCACGATATCACTCGCTGAAGGACTAATCTGGAGTCAGATTCAATCAATCAACTGCACTTGAGCATCCTACACGTCGCACGATCACCTTTCACAAATTGCCTGGATTCGATCTGGATCAGGAATACGAGCAACGTCGAAAGAGAATTGCAGTGGCACAAAACAATTATGCCTCATCTCATGCGGGGACATCACTCAACAACTACTACATCTCCGAGAAAGATGCGCCTCCGAGCCATGGCTAGTGCGGCTTAAGAGAAAAGCTCCCCACGCACGAATCAAAAATGACAAGAAAAGCATGACTCGCAGTATGCAAGCCAAGATGTCAACACTTCGTACTCATGGCTTCTGCAAGCGACGAACTTCGAGAATATTTGAAAAGGCATTTCAAGCGAAAATTTCCGGCTTTCGCCAGGAAAATTGCAGCATCTACAGCGACACCAAAAAGTCGGTGACTACCACCAGTGCGTAATAACAAACAGCTTTGGCTAGCTATTACTTCCATCAATCCGCGTCGAGCGCGTTCACGCAGACCCCATCCCATCAACGTTCCCTACGTCACCCCTCCCTCCCACAGAGCAGCTTTTTGCCGCAATTGCCGGCACGTGCTCGCACGCCTTGACCTAGCACAGCGGGTGTCAAAAATAGTGAATAGCGCGAACACCACTGCGACTTGGTGAGCGACTTTCTCTGGCTGATGAGAATGCCACCTGGTGGGTATCGTTGGAACTGCCTCGTCGATGCGATTCCAGCGAACTATGTTCTACGCGATAATGCTCAGCGGAAAGCATGCAATGCTGGGTTGAAGTTTCGCTGATGTCGCCCAAATAGTCAATTCTGGATGCACGCTATTCACTATATTTGACACCCGCTGTGCTAGCATACACTCAAGCACTGCGTATCTTTCTGTTGATCCTGTTGATCAGTATAAGCACTGCATTTTATATCCGGATGGCCCTTTCGCAGCTTGATGTGATGCTGCAGGCTATACATCATTGTTCGGAGTGTTGCCCGTGTGACGCGTGAAATGTCGCGGCTGAATGCGACGGCGATGATTCGTGCCATGCCGCAGCGCCAGATATCATGTAGTGTGCTCTGGTATGGTGATGCCGACGCCGGGATCGGGTATCCGATATGGCACCAGGTAGGCTGTCAGGCACGGCCATCTTGCAAGACCCTGGATGGTCGTGCACACGAGTGTGCTCGTGTATAAGAGGCTTTCACTCGACGACCTCAGTCGAGCATTTCTTCCTCAAAGGCTGGCGTGATTTTCAGAATGCCGCTCTGTTGCAACAAAGCAGGCGTGTCATCTTTCCTTCATACCATGCCTTTCTCGTCACCTCCTTGAGCTTCCTGTGCGAACTTTCGCCAGGTATTGGTAAGAACCAAATACTTGATACTGGCTTCGGCGGCACCGAAAACGGCGCCATCAAAAGCAGGCCTGATCTTTGCTCTTGCAACACCTAGAGGTGCAGTCGTAGGATGTCTCGCGAAGATTGGTCTCTCATCGTCGTCCATAGAGCCGGTCTTGACGTCCCTTGAGCTTTGACTCTTGAGTGACTTGGATTTCGCCGACCACATTGTGTCGACTGACTCGTCGCTCGTCTCACGCGAAAGCGTCATGCGTTGGATTTCCAATTGTATGGGAGCTTTCTGCAGGGCTTCCATGTCGATGTCCCATGGACTGCTGCTAGTGCTGTCATCGGAAAGTCGCTTCTTCTTGTCTGGAACCGCGGGAGCAAAGACATTGTCGAGCGCGACTTTGATGTTGTGGTCGATGTTGATGGGGAACTCCGAGTACGTGTCTGAAACGCAGGTCGTGTAGATGTCTACTCCCATTCGGAACAACAACTCTTGAGCATCGGCAGTGAGAGCGGTAGTGTTGAGCAAACGTGGAGCGGAGGCATGTGCTTGTCGCCATTCGCGCACGCGCATCAAGAAGATGATGTTCTCCGCAGTGAAGTCTTTGCTGGCGGCGAAGTGAAGAAGTGGCAAAGGATTGACAGCCAAGGCCTTCTCGAGCGAAGCCATGGTGAAGATCTCTTTGCTGCGTGTTGAGATGCCCACTGATACGTTGCTGGCTTCGCCAGAGCTCAGGCTGGGCTCGCCGCTTTGGGCGCCTTTCTCCTCCCAATTCTTGATGAGCGTGAGAGTTTCACGCATCTGTGCTCGGGACACAAAGGCTTCGTAGATGGGGAAGAAGACTGTGACAACTTGCATGACAATGATACCTGGTGCAAGCCTGAGATGATATGTTAGCGTTGAGGTGATAGCAAGCACAGATGGGAATCACATACCACATTGGCGGGACCCATCGAATATTGACGGGCTTGAACTGGATGCAGAACACCGCTGCGATCCAGAGTGGCGTTCCGGGCAGACCAGAGATAACGCTGAGCCATGTTCCCAGACGCCAGTAGTGGGTATCATGGATGTTCCTGATCTTCCAGAGGGTCCACAGACCGAAGAACCAGGACCAGGCCAACTGCCAGAAAGCAGATGGGACCCAGGCCGCCGATTTACGACAAAGTGCTTGGCCCTTTGCGTGTGGCACCTTACCAAAACTCCTCCAGTCGCCTTGGAGTTCTGGCGTAGCGGCATAGATGGCAGCAGTAATGATGACTTGGATGAACATGCCGATCCCGATATAGGTGTAGGACTTCTTGATCTGCGGCAGATCTTTCCATTGCTGCCACCAGCTTCGCACTCCAGAACGAGACGCTATGGAGGCGGTAGATGTTGACGCAGCAGACGTCGCGAGCTTTTGTTGTTGATCACTGATGCTGTACAATTGAACCAAGTTGGCCTGGAAGAGGGCAATGCCGAACGGAAGATAGATGCTCATAATCCAGAATTCCAGCGAGCAGAGGAAGTGGCCATTCGTGGTGTATGCCAACACGATCTTGATCAGGTATAGGTGCAGGCAGGTGACGCTGGCAACGGCGATTGGCACATTGCGGATCTTGATGAATGGCAAGTCGCGATTCTTGATCAGCCAAGCAACGCCGGCGTAAAGGATGACCGTCCATGCGATAATAAAGCCAGCGTATGCCTTTCCAAGATCATCCCAATTCACAATGTCGCCCCAGTTGCGACCAAGAGGCTCGAGACCCATTTTGAGCAGGAAAAGTGCTGCGATGGAGGATAGTGTTTAGAGTTCGGAGGGTCAGGCCACGACCTTATGTCCTCCTCGCTCGCGACACGGCTGCTACAGCCACAGGAGCTCCTAGCCCGCTCGTAACATGCTGTTGTGGTCGGCTTGCAATCCCTGGTTCCGAATGTATCGTGGCTATAGCGTGACTCGAACGTGTGGGTGGAGAAAACAGCTCGCCATGGGCGGGGATGCAAGCCATCATAATAAGCTACATGAGCACCACTCTTCGTGAAGGTGTATCGAACTAGCCTGGAGCCAAGACTGGCAATGATTCGCCTCGGTACGCCACGTGTGTGTCGCGCGCGTGCAGCTTGACCCAGAGGAGGCTAGAGCAGTGATTTCGCGCAGAAACGCAGATCTTTTCCGGTTGAACACGAAACCATCGCGGATCTTGCCAGCTGGAGCACTTGCTCAAGCATTTTTGCGCAGATGTGCGTATACAGTGATGGCGCATCGGCATGTTTCAACTGAACATCGTGGTGTCTCGGTCGTTGGATTGTGGATGGACGTGCTGCCCACATGGACGCCATCAGTTCTCGTTGAGTGCTTCGGTACCGCTCGCAAGCAGATGGTCGGCGAACGCGAGGTGGCTGCGGCTGGACCGTCGGATCCAGAACCTCCAGCGACCAGACCACAGCCACATGTTGAATGTGTAACGAGATGGCGCCGCGCCATCACTTGCAGAATAGACATGCTCTAAACGGAATTTGCCCTGTCAGCTCCATCTTCTCCGATCAGCGTGCATTTAGACTATTGGGTCTAGTTCAGGCTTCTTGTTAAGCTTGCTTGCTCGTCGGTACTCGGCGTGGCCTTGATCTTGTGCAGTCAGTGTACGAAAGGACGATGGCCAAATCACTGTGAAGTCAATGGAAGCTGAGGCTCATCTCAGATGATATGATATGTCGTGCGACCCTACGGCCAAGGCGTGGCCTGCAGGCTTCGCCGTATTCGCGACGGGACGGGTCAACCGCGCTGCACCGAAGTCTGGCCAAGGCCTGCTCTTTCCTCTCGTCAGCCGCTCTCATACTCTGCTCAGTGTCTGCGCCTCGATCATGGGTTCTTGCTCATTTCGAGGCATACATGTTGGGCGACGTGACTTAGAGGAGGCGAAGCATGGAGATGGAAGTTGTTGCCTGCCTTGGGTCAGTGCTGACGCTTGGCAAAATGGTATGGCCAATCAGACTGGGTTACAGAGACCCGCACTTACGACAACGTCTTGGTACTTACAATCCCATTGTCACGTTTTGAAGCCGTATTTCATCCATGCATTGAATCAAAGTAGGAGGCGTCGAACTCTGCTAAACCTCTGACGAAGACTATACTGTGATTTCACAGCGTAAATCCTCCTCCAATCCGCTACAAGATGGAAACACACAATGCAGCAGTGGACAAGATATCATCTCAAGTACAACAATTTTATGAAGCAGAGAAACCGTATCGCATCTATCATGGCTCCACAAACAGCACTCGCGACTCCCGCCGAGACCCGAACAGTTCCATCGACACAAGCAAGCTCAACCATGTACTGCACATCGACACGACCAACAAGATCGCGACTGTTGAACCAAATGTACCCATGGACGATTTCGTGCGCGCAACATACGCGAAAGGCCTTGTCCCGCTCGTGGTGATGGAGTTTCCCGGAATCACTGTCGGAGGAGGCTTCGCAGGAACGAGCGGCGAGAGCAGTTCTTTCCGTCACGGCTTTTTCGACAATACTGTCAGATGGATCGAGATCGTTGTTCCTACAGGAGAAGTCCAACGCATCAGTCGAGAAGAGAACCCAGAGCTCTTTTGGGGAGCAGCATCATCATTCGGCACATTAGGAGTCGTCACACTCCTCAAGATCCAACTCCGGGACGCAGCAGAATACGTGGAATTGACCTATCATCCCTTCACCAACATGAACGACGCAATGAAGCTCGTCGAAAGCGAAACCTCCAACCCATCAACCGACTTTCTCGACGGCATAGTCTTCTCCCACAACCACATAGTAATCTGCTCCGGAAAACTCACCAACTCTCCCCCAATATCATCCCCCCTCTACCACTTCACCCGTCCCCAAGACCGCTGGTTCTACCAACACGTCGAACGCCTCACAAAACCCCACTCAACCATCAATACTATCACCAAAATCCACACCCCCCTCGCAGACTACCTCTTCCGCTACGACCGCGGAGCCTTCTGGGTAGGCCGCTACGCCTTCCAATACTTCCTCACCCCCTTCAACCGCATAACCCGCTACATCCTCGACTCTTTCATGCACACCCGCGTAATGTACCACGCCCTCCACGCCTCGGGCCAAGCAAAAATCTACATAATCCAAGACGTCGCGATTCCCTACCAGAACACCACAAAATTCCACGATTGGTTGGACGAGACCTTCTCCATCTATCCAATTTGGCTTTGTCCTCTCCGTCAACGCCGCGATGCACAAAATTCAGAGTATGGATTATACTCTTCACTCGCAAATCCAGAGAAGACGCCGGAATTTATGATGAATTTCGGCGTCTGGGGCCCCGGCTCTCGTAATCGGAAAGAATTCCTGCAACAAAACCGCTCTTTGGAACACAAAGTCGACGAACTGGGCGGGAGGAAATGGTTATATGCTCATGCATATTATACTGAAGAGGAATTCTGGAGTATGTATGATAAGCAAGAATACGATGCTTTGAGGAAGAAATATGGGGCGCAGTATCTGCCGAGTGTGTATGATAAGGTGAAAGTGGATTTAGAGGGGAAAGATCGAGCAGCGGCGGGATGGAAGGAGATGGTTTGGGGGATTTGGCCTTTGAGTGGGTTGTATGGGGTTTATAAGGCTTGGAGAGGAGGGGAGTATTTGATGCAGAAGAGGACGAGTGAGAGGATTATGGGGATGAAGAAGGTGGAGTGATGAATGCGATGAGTAGAATTTAACATAGAGTATAGACGTGCATTGCATGTGACTGAGTTCCAGAGATGAGAAATCGAGTGTATGCAAGACTACGTGAGTTGGGTATCTTCGCAAATACGCTGCCGCCCCAGATGTACGCCTTAATCAAGTCCACCAAAGTCGAAGCTGGGCACGTTTTGTGGTGCCTTGCCTCTCTTCTTCTTCTTTCTCGGCTTTTTGCTTTTCTCTTCTTCATCGCTGCTGTCCTCCGCCTCCTCTGCGTCGCTATCGTCGTCGCTGTCGGCGGCACGTTTGCCAGTCACGCCGTCATCGTCGCTGTCGTCATCAGGAGCAGCAAAGTGCTCTCTCCAGACCTTGAGCGTCTGGCCTCCACCAGAGATCATGCGGCCTTCGACATCGAAGCCAAGCGCGGTCACGCCCTCGACCTCATCATGCGCGAACTCAGCAACGACCTTGTTCATACCCAATCGCACAACCCGTATTCTTCCATCTCCCATGCCCACTGCGATCTTTTTACCAAGACCTCCAATGTCGTCGGGAATCGCCGCCATGCAATCCAATGTCTCCTTCTCTCTGCTGACCACAATCCTCTCGTCTTGATCGTCCCACTGGCCTTTCTCCCACAATGTGATCACACCATCTCCACCTCCCACTACGGCCTTCTCGCCCGTACTCCCGCTGCTCTTCTTCACTGGCAGACCAGTGACATACAGACAGCTCAGCAGCAGTTCCTCCTGATCTTCGCTCTTTGCCAGCACGCCTCTTCTCAGGTCTGTCAACGCCAGGGTCGTGCTTCCAGTGGTCAAGAACTGCTTGCTGTACCCACTCGTGCTGGCTGCGCTCGGAGGGATGGGTGCAAGACTCGAAATGTAATCGGCGTGCGGGTGGTATGTCTGACTCGGCCTGCTTTGTACAAATGCAGTCTTGCCATCCTGAAGAGGCAGGCTCGGTGCAGGATCCCTCAAGTCGTACAGATGCAATGCGCCAGAATCTGTCGAAAGTAGAAGAGTCTGCGGGCTCAGCGCATGCACGACGGTAGGCGCATCTACTTCGACTCCAGCAGCACTACTCGCAGCAGCTGGGATGGCAATCTTGCCAACGACCTTTCCTGTCCCAATGTCTGCGGCCTTGACGATCCCATCTGTACCTGCAGAGTAGACGTGCTCGCCATTGATGCTGTAGGCCAGACAGCGGCAACTACCCTTGTGTCGCTTCGTCCGCCACGTCGTGTCCACAAAATCTGTGCCATTGGATCCTCTGCGCTCCGGCGAACGTTTGACATCGTCCGGTTCCGAGTCCTCGTCTACTGGCGGAAGTTTCAGGGTCGCGACATGGCCGGAGGAGAGACCGACAGTGACGAGCGGGAGAGTGGGGTGGACGGCCTGAGCGAAGATGTCGGAGGAGAGCGGGAGGGTGCAGATAGTGTCGAACATCTCGCCGAGCGTGCGCAGGTCATCGATGTTGCAGAATCAGAAGCAGCGCCGTGATCGCCGCGGTGAGCTCGCCGGTGGTGAAAATGTTGGATGACTAAGCGGTGTAGCTGAGGTGCTTGCCGCTTTGGGCTGTCCGACGAAGAGCTTGACCTCCGATGCTTGCGTTTTTCACTTGGGTGCCTTTGCAACTTTCCTCCGCGGACGTCTCGGCTGCCGCTGCAGCCTCGTCAAGCTGCCGAATGGATGGGCAAATACTTTGTACTGTGCCAGTCTCGGCATACGAAGGACCTACTGTTCTCAAAACAAGCTCTTGGTGATCCTAGCAAAGCTGGAAACCGCGGCCATGCTGCTGTAACATGGAGTCTAACGCACTCTATCAAGTCCACATTGTCCAACCTGTCGCTGGTCTGCCATTCATGTTCTTCGCCTTGGAACCCGAACACAGGCCTCGTTTGCACCTTCCTGCCAGCCTTCTCGGCCTCCTTCTCACCCTCCCCAGCTATATGAGCCTGTGCCAAGTCTTTGCCGCTTGTCACCTGGCCGTGCCAATGCTGCCTTTACTGGAACGACGGACTTAGGCTATGCCGTTGACCGTGGCCAACTATTGATCCAGCTCTCGAACAAGCGCACCTTCGAGCGTTGACGCGCCGCATCAGTAAGGTCTGCCTCCTGCTTGATCTGACTGGGCAGACCGCCGACACTGGAATCATGGGATCTGCGTGAGTTCCAATATCGAAGTATGCAACATTGATCGCGAGCGTGCGGGTCTTGCGATACCACAGCATTCGCCTGGCAGCAATGCTGGACCACTTTCGTTGCATCGGGCAGAAAGAAGCCTGCTTCAGTCCAGCCTGATCGTTTGTTCCGTGACCTGATAGCAGGCTGGCATGCGGGTTCATCCAGAGGCGTAAAGCTCGCCTCCCCGGTTGTTCCTATGTTCCCGCGTTCCAGGTTGCTCGGTAGGTTCCGATATGCTGCTTCTAGCAGGCCAAACACCGAGATTTCGCAGGGCTTGAGTCTTTGAGAGACCCCGAAGCGTCCGCCATGTGAACACCGACTTGGTAAGCTTACACCCCGATCCATATGCCTTGCCTTTGATTGGACCTCAGGATTGCGAGTTGTAACAGTGGTCGATGGGATTCTGTGCACATACATGCAGCGCGTACGTATATATGCTGCGTTCAACGCCACTCTTCTTTCTCGTCATCAGTCAGTTTTCCTCTCGCGTCCTAGACATACAAACTACTTTGACTCACGATTACGGGTTGCCTAAACTTGCACACCGGCACAATTTTCGTCCATCTTCACAATGGTAACCGAGCAGAAGCCCGTCGGTTACAATTGGCATATCGTCACGGAAGATGAGCTCAACTATGCTCCGCCCTACGTTCGCGATGTTCCAGAAACCCCAACGGAGGTCGCGTGTAAGCTTCGTGGTTCTTGGCCAACCTGGGTACATGGCACTTTTGTCAGGTATTGAGTCGAATCTTATCTTCGCACTGGCTTGCAAGCTGATATTTTCAAACAAAGGGTTGGCGCTGGCCGATTCACGGTTCCCATCTCAGAGGATGAGTCCAAGCCCAAAGTGGTCATTCAGCATCTCTTTGATGGGCTGGGGATTGTGCACAAGTTTCGTATCATCAATGGTCAGGTCTACTACATGAGTCGATACAACCATGAGGGAATTCTTCGAAGGGCGAAGAAGGATGGGTACCTTGGAAGTTCCTTCATGGGGCCCAACCCAAACACCCCTCTGTTCCAAGCCCAAGATCCTTGTTCTGCCTTGCTAGGACCTCAGGTAAGTCATCAATGCACGACCCTTGGAGCCTGTGACGATTAAAGTCTCACTGTATTGTATAGCAAATCGTATACTATCCGAGTGAGAATCCGGAACCGGACGATTTCAGCGCCAGCGTGCAGCCACGCCGCGGTATGCACCTCCCGATCGATCGCAACCCCAACTCGAGAGGAACTCAGGCAGAAGACCCGGCCACCCAAGAGGTGAGGAAGGCACCATGAGTTCTCTAAGCGGGAGACATCAAAGCTAATTATGAAGCCTAGATTATCGTTCACACCGACTGGAACGCGATACAAATCTGTGATGCGAAGACTCTTGAACCGAAACGGTTGCTCACCCATGCGACCATCGACCCCGAGCTGTCCGGGAGCGGTTGTTGCGCGCATCCCGTCCACGATCGCAGGAGAGGGCAGACCTACAATTACTTGATCGACGCAGCCGGCGTCATGTATGTTTTCGCACTGGATGTGGTGTCCAGGCCGGCGGCTCTCCTGTGGAAGTGTGCACTGCCATGCAAGCCCTGTTACACGCATGCTCTTGCGGCGACCGACAAGTATGTTGTATTTGTGAGAAACGTAGGTTGTACCTGGCCGGCCAACGAAATGATCACAGCTGACTTGTCGAAGCCGGTCTCTATAGACACGAGTGACCCCACCAAACCTATAATCGAAGCGATGGTGTGTGAGCACGACTCCCCTGTATTCTTCTACGTGGTGGACAAAGCTGATGGCAAGCTGTGAGTCCTCGCAATTCTTACACTTCAAATTCCGTGCCGCATGGCTGATTGAACTAGTGTCGCATCCTATGAGGTGCCGAACTTCTACTTCTTCCACACTGCCAACGCCTACGACTATGTAGATCCTCAGACTGGAAACATCAATGTTCACGTCGATATCGCCAGCTACAAGGCGGACCACTATCCGTACGCGGAGTACGCCATCTCAAACATCCTCTCGCCTCTCAAGCCATATCAAGTCGGCAGGCTTGTCCGATACGAATTGGCAGCCGTGAACACGAGAGATCCGTATGTTGTCGCCCGCGGTACTGTCAAGACCGCGATCCCCGACATGGCGGCCGAGCTCCCACGCATCTCCAAACCCGCCTCGACGGACCCGAATTATCGTTACGTGTACGGTGTCTCGGGGAATGGAATATCCGCTCCAGGCACTCAGGTACCCATCGGCCGTCTCGGTAACGGCGTAGGAATAACCCACGCATCATTCTACGGCCACCTCTTCAAATCGGATTGGCAGACGGGCACGTTCAAAGCCTGGATTCCAGAACATGGGGAAAGCTGTCCCACGGAGCCCATATTTATTCAGCGCCCTGGTGCGACCGAGGAGGATGATGGGATCGTGATCACCATCACCATCAACAAAGAGGGAACAAATAGCATTCTCGTTGCGCTGGATGGCAAAACATTCAAGGAAGTGGCAAGGGCGGATATGCCGCAGGTGTATGGGCTTGGGCCGCATGGTACATTCATCGAAGGTGATTTTGGCCTGTAGAACTCACGTAATACTCTGTCTGTGAATCAACACCGAGTGATATACAAAGTATTAGATTCGACTGTCTATAAAGCGGCTTGACAGTCTGCTGAGCTCTCCAGTGGAGAATGTGTCTGCTGACTAAGCAACGTAGCTGGTTACCTCATTGGGATGTTCGACATGGGGCGTGAGAGCTAACTACACGTTTGCAGAGAGCACGAGCGGTGACGTGCTATAGGCAGGGGAGTGGAGTCTGCACCATGCCACCGCCTTCGCCCATTGACGCTGCCGTCTTGCTGGACGCGGGGCCCCGTACACTGCACTCGCCGCCATCATGGTCATCTCTCGAGTGAAGCAGAAGCAGATCTCCTTTGGGTGTGAGTATTGCCTGGAGCTTGCTTGGAGAAAGCGCTAGAGCTCACCTTCCTCGTCTGCAGACTGCGACACCGTCACCGGGCAACGAGTCTACCCTCCTCCAGAAGTCGACATAGTCATGGCTGAACAAGATCTCCTCCCCGAACAATTGCCACCTGAGCCGGCTGCTGCTTTCACGCCGGAGACTGATGATGAGATGAATGACTTGTACATCAGCACCACTGTTTGGCCTCCGCTCGGCCAGGCAACAATAGTCCCAAAGGACGAGGACGGCGTCACGTTTACTGTCCTGCTCGAGCATAGCCAACCCACCAGCCTCATTGGACCTGATCCGCCACAAGTCATCATTTGGCACAATCACGGTGGCGAGCATGATTGGGAAGAGTTGCCACTCGCTCTAGCAGCTGAATCTGACGAGCTACTCTTATTGAACAGACCATCAGAGAGAGACCTTGTGAAAATATGGTACACCGGACATCTTCCCGGCACTCCCAAGCACGGGCAAGCTACTTCTTTCACGATCAAGTATCGACTCAGTCAAGACCAGGACTGGCAATGGATCAAAGACGTGACTGGAGTGGGTGACGGCCAGCTCAACTATCAAAACAATGAGTTCCAAAAACACTCGACCTACGACCTCAAACATTGGTTCAGTGGTCTGAGTGGCGACATCCAAGTACAGAGCGAACGGCCAGATACAGATAATACCCACCTGTATTCGCTAACAGCTCCGGTTGTCCCGGCATACAAGCAAGACTCAGGCTATCAACATCATCAGTTGGGTGTCGTCAATCGGAGCACTAGATGGTTCGGCTTGGTGCGACTGTGGTCTCCTTGGCTGGCTCCGCGTCAAGGCAAAGGGACGTTCGAAGTCGACAAGGATGCTGTTGAATTATCTTTCTTGCGTGAAGATGGCTTGCACGTCGTGATTTTGGGGATCAGCGGCATCAACGATGTGATCACGACTTTCTTCAACGATCACGATGGAAACATTATCATCAAGGCTCGCAATGATAGGACCGAAACCGAGACTAGCAGAGTGCTGGTTGCCGTCGCCGACAGTTTCGAGGTAGCGAATGCAGCTGTCTGGTATCATGCCCGGAAGATTGTGCAGTCCTACAGTGCTGCAGATGAGGAGGCTGCCACTGTCGAACAGCTCATCAAGACTGTACAACCAGTCGACAATCCCAGTCCTGAGTGGCTTGAGGACTGGTATGATGGGTTCACGTTTTGTACTTGGAATGCCTTAGGACAGAAACTCACGGCTAAGAATATATACGACGCACTGGAAGACCTCGCCAAGGAGAACATCAACATATCCACACTCATCATCGATGACAACTGGCAGTCGCTCAGCAAAGGCGACACGCAATTCACCCGTGGCTGGTCTGCATTCGAGGCAAACCCAGAGGGCTTTCCAGATGGCATGAAGAAGACCACAGCCGAGATACGGAAGCGACATTCGAATATCAAGCACATCGCCGTATGGCACGCACTGCTCGGATACTGGGGCGGCATCGATCCCGATGGCGAGATCGCGCAAAATTACAAGACGATCCAGGTCGAAAAGGAGCCCGGCGTAGCAGGAGGCACCTTCACTGTCGTTGCGGCCGAAGATGTCAAACAAATGTACGACGACTTCTACAGCTTCCTAGCGGAATCTGGCGTCGACAGTGTCAAGACCGACGCACAATTCTTCCTAGATCTCCTTGTCCACGCTCCCGATCGACGAAGCCTCATGCAAGCCTACCAAGACGCCTGGACAGTCGCACACCTCCGCCATCTGAGCAGCCGCGCCATCTCATGCATGTCACAAACCCCACAGAACCTCTTCCACACCCAGCTCCCAAGGAACAAACCGCTCATCCTCTCCCGCAACAGCGACGACTTCTTCCCCGAAGTCGACGCCTCTCACCCCTGGCACATCTTCTGCAACGCCCACAACGCCCTCCTCACCCAACACCTCAACGTCCTTCCCGACTGGGACATGTTCCAAACCTCCCACGACTGGGCCAGTTTCCACGCCGCCGCTCGCTGCGTCTCCGGCGGTCCCATCTACTTTACCGACTATCCCGGCAAACACGACATCTCTTTGATCAGACAAATGACAGCCCAAACCCCCCGCGACAAAACCATCATCCTCCGCCCTCAAATCGTCGGAAAAGCAACAAACCCCTACAACGCCTACCAAGACCTCACCCTTCTCAAAATCAGAACCTACCACGGCTTCGCCCAAACCGGCACAGGAATCCTCGGAATCTTCAACGTCTCCGGTCGTCATCTCAGTGAATTCGTCCATTTGTCCGAATTTCCTGGTACAGACTCCGCTAGCAAAGAAGCAGAATATGTAATCGGATCCTTCTCTTCAGGAAAATTCACAAAGCCTCTGAAACTCCACAATGACTCCGGCAAAGAAACCACGAAACCTCTAATCGGAATCCAACTCCAAGCTCAAAGTTGGGAAATCCTAACATCGTATGCTCTCCAAACATTCGATCTTTCTTCGGCCAAGGAACCCGTCAAAGTTGCCATGCTAGGTCTCGTAGGCAAAATGACCGGCTCAGCTGCCGTGACAGGCTACGACGTCTACGTCGAAGACAGCGGACGTTTGCGAACCTGGATATCGCTGAAAGCGCTAGGAATTCTAGGACTTTGGATTTCTGATTTGGAAGAGAGAACGGTGTCAGATAATTTCATCGTGTTGATCCACGGGAACCCGATCCCTGTGGAATGCGTGAAAGCGAATGGAAAAGTATTAGAGATCGATATTGAGAGAGCATGGAAAGAGAGTGGAGAAGATGTCGGATGGGGAAATGAAGTTACGTTGGAAGTGTTCATGCATTGATCAAGGAGTTGGAAGAAAAGTGGCGAATGCATGGATCAAAGAGAGAGTGATAAAAAGTACTACTTGCTTAGCGTCACAAATTCCAATACCAACGAACGTCCCATACCTCAGATCTCAGATCTCACATCCAAACATCCCCATCCCCTTTCACTTCAACGAAGAGCCTCAAACCCCGGCCGGTCAGCCACAACATACTTCACCAAATCCATCTCCGCCTCCAACCAATTCCTTCTAGCCTTCCAAACCCGAACCTGAAACAAAACTTCCAAAATCACCCGTTGAAGCCCCCGCTCATCCTCCTCATCACGCATCTCCTCAAACGCCCGAACTTCAACCCAGCGAGAACCAAGAAAGCGTCCAATGTCTGCAGCAGCATCCGGTCTCGCGCTTGTAAATTCATCAAACGTCGCTCGAAACAAAGCGTTTTCCGTATACAACTCTGAGATGGCGACAATCAAAACATTGAACAATGTTAACCGGTCGCTGTTTTCAAAGTCTCGAAGCCAGTTCATGTTAGGTGCGTTTCGGATGTGAATCGTCACCTTGGACTCAAGAGGACGGTTTTCTGAATTGAAAATGTTCCACCATGCATCAAGCCAGTCTCTGCGCCTGTCTTCCCATTCTGTCGCTTCTGCTTCTCGCACCACTTGTGGCAATGACGGCAGCGAAAGCGTTGACGGCCGCGGTAGCGGTTGCCATGCTGTAGTTACTGATGGCTCAGAGGGTCGATGTGCTGCCGGTGTGTTTCCATTGACACGGCTCGTGGCTCCTCGGGATGAGAGCTGGTACGGAGGACTGAAGAGGTCGGTCAGCAGATCTGTCGTTGCAGCGTGGCCAGGGTGTGTCGGGAAAGCAAAGGCAGTGAACAGTGGGAGTAGAGTGCAGCGACTTTTTGCTGTGCTAAACAAGTGCTAACCAAGTGCTAGGCTGCTATTGTACTCGGACCAGACACATACCTGTCTGCCTGCCCTGTTGGAGCGCCCCTCATTTTCAATGCTACTCTCGCGCGTACTGTCTGTAAAATGTCGAACTAAGCTGGTGGAGGAGGTGGAGGTACGTCGTTGTTGGATGGAGGTGGTGGAGGAGGAATGTCCGCTGGTGGTGGTGGAGGGGGAACGGCATCGTATCCTCCAGACTGCTGCTGCCATGGAGCTTGTTGTGGTTGCTGCCATGGTGCTTGCTGTGGTTGTTGCCATGGTGCTGCACCGCCGCTGCCACCTCCGCCACCTCTCGCCCACGGAGCAGGTCCTCCCGTCGGACCTCCATATCCACCGTCGTTGCCTCCACGACTCTCCCATGGGGCAGGACCGCCTTGACGAGGTTGCTGCCAGGGAGCAGGAGCGCCAGTTGGACCACGCTGCCAAGGAGCAGCTGGACGAGCACCGCCGTTCGCATCAGCTCCGCCAGCTTCGTATCCAATTTGTCGCTGCGGCACTGAAGTATCCAAAGCAGGCGCACCTCCACCACCAATCTCGTTCATGAGTCTCTCGTAGTCTCCCTCGATAGCATTCTGAGGACCACGTGGTGGTATATCGCGCCCAAAGTTACCGCGTTGACGATCTGGACAATCACGAGCCATGTGGCCAGCGTTGCCGCAGACACGACAGATGATGTTCGCAGTGTAGTTACGCTGCTGTGGGCAGTCGTACTTTCGGTGTCCAATCTCGCCGCAGTTCTGGCAAGCCTGGTTCTCATCGTCACGAAGAGTACCGTTGAGGGCCGCAAGCTCACGGAGCTGGTTGCGCTTCAACTCGTTCTGACCTTCTGGGATAGAAGCGGCAGTCTCGATGACATTGTGAATCAACTCTTTCGCCTTGTTGACCTTCTCTTCAGTGTCTGCCATGATCAAGCAGTGTAGATCTTCGTCCTGGTTGCTGGCGTGAGCGGCATCAGATTTGCCCTTTCCTTCCTTCACCGAGCCTTTACCACGGATGGCAATCTTGGCGCCGGACTGAGTCTCCATCTTCTTGAGCGTGTTACCACGAGGGCCAATGAGCAGGCCGACTGTTAGTAGAAAAAAGCTAAGTGTTAGTCATTGTCATGTGTGATAAAGGTGCAGTGTGAGTTAGCAAGGGAGGGTTAGTACAGCTTTTGATCGCTGTAAACAACAAGCAGTGCAGAGCATTGACCAGAAGTCGTTGCATGGTGAGGGTTAGTGGGTTAGAAAGCATACTGAAGTTAATCTCCGGGTAGTCGTTGACCGGCACGTAGACTTTCTCTTGAGTCTTGGTGGGTCTCCTATAGTCAGATGGCGGGTGATAGCTAGGGATGATCTTCATCGCCTTTTCAATCAACTTGTGCCGCTCATCTTCTAGTCTCTTTCTGTAGCGGTACTCGCGCGTGTTCACACGGCGACCGAAGTTGTCGTACTGAGGCGGAGGGGAAGGAGATCTGCGCGCGTTAGGATTTGTGTCCTGGACCTGGAGATGGGTAGACTCGACGTACCTGTCGCCGTCGGCTGGCACAACATCGTTAATGCGCAGCTTCTGGCTGATCTCCTCGATTCGCAGATGCGTCACGTAGGCGTCCAGCTGTTCGGCTGTCATAGCCGCAGTGATGGCAGTCGGCAGGTTCATCAAGCCCGCGGCCTTGTTATCTGCCGCATCACCCCATCGGTTCCTCTTGCGGCGCTTCTTGGTGCCGTCCGGGTTGAGCTCGACGGGCTTGCGTGGTTCTGGGCTGCGACCGCGCTTGTTGTCGCGTGGTGCCTCAGCATCGCCTGCTCCGCCGGGGCCGTCATCATCGCCGAAGCGTCGACGCGGTCCGAGCGGAATCGTATTGGCGCCGGTCTGGCCGACGTTGGATCTCCACGACATGATGTGGGTGTTGCGTTGAGGTTAGTGGTCGTGTAAGTGTCGAAGTGGAAGCTGACTTGAAGCTGTCGCGCACTTTCTCCTTCTCCTTGTCACGGGCACCGGATACTTCCGAAAACTAACGGCTTGGCAATTCTGCCGATGGCCGACGAGCGCAAGTGCAAGAATAAATGCAACGTTGAGGGACCTGACAATTTGAAGCATGGGTATTGAAGCAGAATCTCTGCGAATCATAACGCTATTTAGGATATCTTGCAGCACGCCTTGTACACGTGCGAAAACCGAGCTACGGCGCCATGTGAAGTTATTGGCATCTCTAACAGCAGCAACACCAGCAAAGTCATTCCCGAACAGCCATTTTCAGCGACATTTCCATCGTCATCACGTAGACACAGCTCTAGTTGGCCGCAATTCCTAGTCCCACACGACCTTCGCCAAATCCATCTCGGCCTTTCTCGCGCATGCGGCGGCCTTCCATCAGTCCTCGCAGACCGCGCTTCTGCAAACCGACGACAGAGCTCAGGGCGCCGTTCCATACGTCTTGAACGTCCTTGTTGCTACGAGTAGAATACTCGCTCTCACTCATGCTCGCGGTTGATGATGCACTCATGGGTTCCTCGTCCGTGTCCTCAGCGGCACGTGGGCCGGGTCTGAGCGTGTTGCGAACGCTGCGACCGTTGGCCATGTCTGTGTCAATGCGCAAGCTTGACAGCGATCGAGGGTTGGCAGTCTGATCGCCATTCAGCAGACCTTCCAGGCCAGCAAGACTGGCCGTTCGGACAGGAATATCACTTTGATGAATTGAGCGAGCATTTGCGGCGAAATGGACACTGTCACCACCCCCTGCACCCATGGCCGCAGCGTTGAAGATCGCTGCAGCATTGCGGCCGTCAAGACATTGATGCAGGCGCTCGATCGTGGCTTCTTGCAAGCCGTCGATCTTGTATGGTCGTGCAAGTTGCAGGAGCGAGCAGAAAATTTGCGGCGTAGCCAGTGGATGTGGCGGCGAGGGTAGCGTCGAAGTGTAGAGGTAGTGTAACAATGCATGCAGTGTTGGTGCCGTATGCGGTAGGTACAGCAGACGTGGCCGCGATGTTGCTGGGGCATTACGCGTGTCTGGTAGACTCGTATCCGTGAGATTGGAGTTATTGGTTAGAGTCGTCGCGCCCGAGGTGGCAGAGCTCAGTGAAGGTGTGATGGTGATGCTGGAGTTCCGAGAAGGGTGTCCTGCAGCGGTTGCGCGCAGTGTGGCGGTATCAGCGCCATTTTCAGCCGTCATCAATGACTCTCGAAGAAGCGTGATGAAGTGCGGACCCCATCTCCGAGAGATCAGTCGCGAATTGACGGGCACCCGCGTTCCATCAATAGCGAGGAAGTCCATATCTGCAAGCTCCCGCACACCCAGCGCTAGCTGCCCAATGTCTTCTGCAGCCGCTGAGAGCAGACGACCGAAAGCGGCATCATCCTTGGACTGTGGCACGCGCTGCGGCAACACGCTTGGGATTGCGCTAGCAGATACGTACGCAGAGGTGGGTTCTGCGACCCGCGGGTTCTCGTATAACCCAAAGGCTTCCAACTCGACTACGCAGATGTTTGAAAAGTTGATGCGACGATTGTTGTAATCATCGACCAGGCTTCGCTTGCGGTTGCCCAGGATCACGAACGCGTTGCGTCGTGACCAAAGGACACCACGGTTCCAGCTTCCTTGGCTGAAAATGCTGCCACCAACATCGATGCGACTCCATGTCAGTGTGCGCAGATCGAGAGCCCAAAGCGCGTATTCCTGCTTCGACGAAGTCAGGAAAGTACCAGACACGACGAAGTGGTTGTCGATGATGCCGCCGTTTGGAAAGCGAAGACCAGGTGGTGAAACGACTGTCTGCATGGGCTTCTCTATGAGAGTCCCGTCCGTAAGTCGTACTTGCAGTTCCAGTTTCACATCCAGGAAGTTGTAGTTGGAGTATATCAGCATCGGTGAACCAGAGCCAATCGTAGTCGGTTCCTCATCATCCTCATCCATGTCAGCTTGAGCGTGAGGTCCGGCACCGATTTGTGTTGCACTCATCGTGGTCAATGGCGTGACAACGCTGCGGTACGCACCGCAGCTACGTCCCATGCCTGTTGTGCCCGTCCATTTCAGACTTCGCAAATTGAAGACGCTAATTTGCTCAATGTAGTGGTTTGCGGAGTCTTGTCCACCGACCACGATCATCTCTGCGCCGCCCGTCCCATCTAGATCGACGCCGAGGGTTCCCTCGTTTGGATTTTCTCCCTCCGGATTGTGATGAATTGCAGACATGGGCGCGTCGCGAGATGCGAATACTGCTGATGATGGTAATATTGAGGCACAATGGGCGTATCGACCTTGCGGGGCATCCGGTGTGTTGACCTTCGTCCACTTCTGACTTGGCACGTCGTAGATGTGAATATCGGACATAACGATAACTTCAGGTTGCGCATCAGATGCTGCCTCTGGCGGAGGTGCTGGAGACATGCCGCCGTAGCACACCAGCTTTGTGTCGCCAAGCGCGCAGACGCTGTGAAAGTATCGCGGTGGTGGAATGTCACCTATTGTTTCCAGCTTCGTCCAGTGCCGGCGAATGAGATCGAGTTCATACAGATTTGCGGTCAACTGCGGTTTCGTGCGTGAGAGCCGCCTGCCGCCAAAGACGTAGAGCTTGTCCCCTAGCACAGTAGTGGTCGCACCGACAAGGGGAAGTGGTTCGCGACCAGTTGTACGATGCACGTTGCATACCAATCCAGACAGCCCGGCAGAACTTGACGACGCTGGTGCAGTTTGGGGATTTGCAGAGCTGACAGACTGTGAAGGTGTATGTTGCCCAGGACCATCGTCACCCTGTGTCGACTCGGCCTCTGAAGCAGACTCGTATTCTGACCGCATGCCAACCAGGCTGACTTGGCTGCTGTGCGCACTGATATTTGAGCGCGAACCATTTTGACTAGGGGGATACAGCTGACCCGACGTTGGCCGAGAGGCATTGGAGTCCATGGTGTTCGCTCGACTTGACTCGGGCGTGGCAGACATGGTGAAAGGCGAAATGGGCGCTAGCTCGAGCGCAGGAAATTCCAGTAGCGGCTCTCGTGGCGATGGGCTATCGCGGTCTTTCTGGCTCGGAACAGCCCAATCTGGACGATATGTGATCTCTATGGGCACATGCCTCGGTGCTGTACGGGTGCTAGGAGGGCACGCCTCGACAGATGGTAGTGTCGGTGCGTGCGATGATGTTGGTGAAACGCTACTCGGTGTCGAGAAGGTGAAGGATCCGGAACTGGGCTCAGATTCCGAAGGAACGTAGGAGTACTCGCTGGGAATGACGATAGGCACGTGTTTCGGCCGTGAGGAGGATTTCGACTTGGCGGATGAAAGCGATATCGAGAGATCGAATGAATCGTGAGGCGATGATCCGAATGTCGAGATTGAAGCTGAACGAGGAGCGAGAGACGATGTATCGGACGCCGGCAGGGAAGGTTTCCTCTCGCGCGTGAATGCAGTTACCCAAGACCTTGAAGACAATTGAGCGGCGGACTTCTTCTCTGGCTTTGGCTTCTTTCCCGATCTGCTGCTATCCAAAGATCGGCCGGCGGTGGACTGGGTGTCTGCGGTCGAGGGACGGTCTTTGTTCTGCTTGCTGGACTTTGGCCTGCTGTGCTGAGGGCGATCCTCAGCGGCCGCTGGGAAAGCGAAAACCCCTAGAGGAACAGACATCTGCGGTCAGCTCGCGGCCTAACTGTTCGTTGAGGTATGATGTAGAATAAGAATAAATTTCCGTGGTACTGCGGAGCAGGCAGAGCAACGTTGCAGGTGGAGGGGCAGTTAGGTCTCAAAAGCACATCAAGGGAGGAAGGGGAGCACATCACGACGATATGCACATGGAGAGCGGTACGGCATACGGCCAGGGCCTGTCTTCGTCGTCGTTACGTGTGGCTCGGGCGCTCCATCTCCCATCGGGAAGCGCTGTGCGCTGGTACTTGGTGGGTTTCGGAGCAAAGCGCGCAGTGCTAGGCAAGCGGAAGAGAGCGTTTGACGGTCGTCCATATGCAGGTGTCCTGCTGTGCCATGCCATCGGATGCTTTTGCTGCTTGTGTTTGTTCCTCGCGACGGCAGGGATGAACTTCCAGAGGGGCCAAATGGGACCAGATCCGTACGGCACAGCGAAGCGACAGTTGACAAACGAACTCACCTTCTCGGATTGGTCGCGGCCAACAAACCGGGAGCTGAGGTGCAGTTGTTTGGCTGGCGGATTAGGCCATCGATATCCGTGTGAGGTTCGATACAAGCGGTAGTGGTGAATCAAAGGGAAAAGCTCGCTTACGACGCCAATCAGTCGCGTCGCAGGTGCACGAGCCATTGCCGTCCGTGGCAGCCTTGCTTCCACATTCCGCTTTGCGCTCTCACCAACCAACCAGTTCTACTTATTCACGCGAGCGAGGAAGAAGTTCTGCGCAAAGTGCCTCTCGCCCTCGATCATGTCAGACATTGTCGCAGAATCAACCCGAGGATGACAGCAAGGCAAGGCGATCGCCCGCCAGATGGTCAAGAGTGTCATGCATGTCATCGTGCTTCAACGTCAGCCTCCATCGCCGGATGCGGACAGCAGTTCATCGGCCCATATGCATGCTGCCTTCCGCCCAATGAGCGAAATATGAGGTCCAATATGGCTGTTGCTGAGGCTCAGAACCACGGCGACCTGGGATCCTCGCCCATTCGCCTGCCTAATTTCGACCACCGGAACCGCACCGAGGATGTACGGGCCTGAGTTGCATTGCAGGAGGCGATGTCCTTTTTCAGGATTCTACCGTTCCCATTTATCCGTTGCATTTTGGTGCCGATCATATCTTCTACAGCTCTGCATCAAGCTAGTCTACCGTTATCGAATCTCACATGCAAACAACCACATGTTGCAGGGTCAACTGCCGCAATCTCTTCCTTTCTTGATCTCTGCCGGGCTATTGGGTTGATGGAGCTGATTGCAGGCTAGGCATCTTGACTTGGTCATGCTGTGGTGTCGTCACCATTCATTTTGTAGCATAGCTGGGCTTGAGATGTTTCTACTTCAAACAACACACTTCATTTCCGAGCCGACGCGGGCGACTTCCATCTTTCAGAGGGAGCGGTCCAGACGATGAGCAATGCTCAGACACGAAGTTCGGCGGCCATGCTCGATCACGTTTTGCTGATCTCCCCATGGGAATTCTGCTCATTACCGGCGGAGGCATGCCGCTCGATCACCGTGGTTGTGAAACGCCTTGTCTCTCTCGAAGGAGCGGGTATTGATGTACTGGTTCCACGGGCAGACGCATGCTCTATTGCGCGTCAACGCGCCCATTTCGTTCACAATGTTTGCAGAGATCGCACGCAATTGAACGACACGCTCAGTGCCAATGAACGCGTCTCGTAGTCAAGAAATCCGCACCAATACACGAATTGTACCAAGTATTCATGAACTTTCATTTCAGCGTATCTCTTTATTGGAGCAGATGCTCTACTTCCACATCCACGCTTGAAGGGTATCAATCGAGCTCTGTAGCCATTGCCATTCCGGACTCTCCTTGGCTCTGAGCTCTTCTCAGGTCTGCAGCTCATGGTGTGTGAGCGAGCTTCCTTAGTATCCCGTGTCAGTCACCGGGCGGCCCCACTCACTTTCCCACACGCTTCTGAAAAGCATTTGGCCGGTTCAGACAGCAGCAGAAGTCTCCTCCTTTGGCAGAGGAGTGAAGCGGAGGTATGGCTTGACGATGTTGATCTTGGGGAAGAGCTTCTCGGCCTCTGGGGTCTTGATGCTTGGGTGGACGATGACATCGTCACCTGGGACCCAGTTGATTGGGGTGGTGACCTTGTGCTTGTCGCCAGTCTGCACAAAATTCAGGTTAGTCTACTGTTTTCGTCCCGCAATTTGCTCTGGAAGTATGCAGAGAGTATTTTGCGCGCGAATCGCAACAGAATGCTCAACTTACCTGGAGCGAGTCAACAACACGGAGAACCTCAGCAGTGTTGCGACCAGTGGATGCTGGGTAGGACAGAATCAGGCGGATAGTCTTCTTTGGGTCAATGATGAACACGCTGCGAATGGTGAAAGCGATGCCCTTCTCGTCAACGTTGGTGGCGTCCTGGTGGTCGATCCTGTGTATTTCTAATCAGCTCTCGGAGCTCTCTTCGCCCTACTCTTCCGCCAACTTACATGTCGTATGCCAAAGCGACCTGTCTCTGCTTGTCGCCAATGATTGGGAAGCGCAAGTTGCTGCCAGAGATCTCGTTGATGTCCTTGATCCATCCGCCGTGGCTCTCAATGGTGTTTGCAGAGAGACCAATCAACTTGACACCACGCTTGGTGAACTCTGGCTCAAGCTTGGCGAAAGCGCCGAGCTCGGTGGTGCAGACTGGAGTGTAGTCCTCTGGGTGAGAGAAGAGGACGACCCAGTTGTCGCCGATGAACTCGTGGAAGTCGATGGGGCCGTTGGTGGTCTCGGCCTGGAAGTTGGGGGCGATGCTGCCGAGGCGGAGGGGCTCTGGACGTCCGGCCATTGTGATTTGAGTGTAGGGTCGCGGGAGTCCGGGTATTCAAAAATTGATTCTGTGATTGAGATGTTGCTGAAGAAAGATGCAAACTGGTGGAAGACGCGTGGCAATGTTGGTGATTAATGAGCAATGGGCAACATTTTTCTACGTAGCTTGTGACCCCACTATAGCGCACGATTGCGTGATACAATGTCCACGGGTAGATCACAGTCCACGAAGCTCACAGCAGAGCCAGGCTAGAAACACGACTTTCCACTTGTCTCTCTCACCGACCATTATCCACTTGGCCAATGTTCCACAGTGTCTTCATCTCCGGACGCGGCTGCCCCTCCATCTCTAGGCCCAAAGCGGCGTTCCAAGGCACATGTGCCACTTGGCGGGGTCGCGACCTTTGTCTTGGTCTTTCTGCATGCTTCTGTCACCTGCGAGGAGGCTGATCCGTCGTGTAATCGCACTGGCGGACCTTGCAGGAGTGCTCAGTTGTGCAGACAATAATGCCACTGCAAGCGATGTGAGCGTGCGCCACACTGGATGATTCAGCAGCCGCTCACGCCACACGCTCCTGCCCTTCGAGCAAGTCCATCAACGGCACTCCCGCTGCTCCCTTCCAAGAAGTATCCCATCTCCCTTGCTGCCGCTTCGTTTCGACATACCCACGAGCTTCTCTCTCCACGACGTCCCAATCGTCAAATTTGCTGGAGATCGCGTTTCTTCTTCGCAATGCCTCCCATGCATCTTTGACCCATGATTTGCAGCTGAACGATGCAGCCCCTTCCGCAGCTACAATGCCCTCATCTTCTGTGTAGATAGGTATGCTGTCAAAGATCTGCTGTATCTCCTCTGCGGATTGCAGCACCTTGGCGACAACCACCCGAGCCAGAAGGCGAGGTTCGTTCTCGAGGCTCGCAATCACAGTCCGCTCATATCTCCAAGGACAGCTCGCATGGCCCGAGTCATCAACCTGCCATGTATTCTTCACGTGGTGTTTGACGACCGGCACCGTGTCATGTTTAGGAGCGACGAACAGAGCATAATGCGGGCTTTCTGGATGCTTTGGACGTGCGTATACGGCAAGCTGAAGACGTGGCTTATTGCGAGTCATCCCAGAGCGGTCGCGCTGTACTTGGAAGGGCGTATGCTCATCAGCAAAGCAGTCAGATGATCAAAGATGCTGACAAACTCATGTGCTACCACCTTGAATCGCCCCAAATGTTGGAGTTACTCCAATGTGTTTCTATGCCTCCAGCTCCAGTGCCGACTGCGAGCCATCGGATCCGCTCTGCTGTGCCTCCGAAACTCGGCCGGCCATTGGACACTTCTCTCCAATCACAACGTCTATTGTGGAGTTCCCCATCCTCTTGGACCGACGACCGCAGCGATGTCGTGTGGAGAAGCGATGCTTGATTTTTGCCTCTGACGCAGATCACGAAAATGTCTGCTGCTCTGATGGACGACCGGAGGGCTCCAGCATCGGCGAGTATGCTACCAACGACTTCTCAAGCAGATGTAGCTGCGCCAAACCGAACTTATCCATAGGTAAGCTCCAATGTCGCAAGGCGTAAACATTCGCGCGCTTGGTATGCAACGGAACTCGGCTCGCTGCGTCGGCCACATGGCGTTTTATAAGCGGCTTGATGTGATCGACAATCTTAGCTCACCCTCAGTGCTCGTCTCGAACGCCGATTATTACGACTCATCTTTTCCCTTGACAGCTTTACTTCTGTTCTTCGTCCTCTCACATGCGCGCGTGCGGCTGCACGAGAAGCAGTGGCCATCATGGCAGCTACCAATCTGAGTACAGATCGCGTGAACGGACTGGAAGAATTTCGCAAAAGTCATGAAGAATCGCCGACCAGGAAGCCAAGTCAGAAAGACTCGAGCAGCAGTATGGGTCCGGAAATCATCAATACCAGTCCGGAGCAGCAGGAAATCCAATGGCTCTATCTCGAATTCGATACCGAACTCCCACAGCCTGTGTACATATCACAACCGCAGAGCACCAAGGACAATGGAAAACCGCCTCCCGATCCTCCTAATCTCAAAGACTATGAGTCGCCTTTCACCTGGTCTCCCTTCCGGAAACGAGTAATGACATGGCTGTCTTGCATCATCACTCTCTTCACTGCCTTCAATGCAGGCGCATACACTTCGGGAATCGATCAAATGACTTCAGAATGGAACATTTCCCGTGTGGCAGCCCTCGTAGGCGTCACAACATTTACAGCAGGTTTTGGCGTCGCTCCCATGTTTCTCGCACCATTCAGCGAGATCAACGGCCGAAGACCCGTCTTTGTCATCACGGGCGTGCTTTGGGTTGTGTTCCAGATCGTCTGCGGTGTGACGCCAACTTTTGCGGGCATGGTTATCAATCGATTCCTCTCCGGAGCGATGTCCAGTACATTCAGCACTATGGTCGGAGGAGTGGTGAGTGATATCTACCACGCTAAAGACCGGAATACTGCTATGACGCTCTTCACGGCAGCGGCGATTGCGGGCTCTGGTCTGGGACCTCTGGTTTGCGGATTTGTCGCGCAACATACGACCTGGAGATGGATCTTCTACTTACAAATAATTATCGATGGAGTTCTAATCGGTTTCGTCGTATTCTTCTTCAAAGAAACGCGAGGTTCCGTCTTACTATCGAGAAAAGCGAAAAAGCTCAACAAATACTACGACGCACTGGAACAAGCAGGCTACTACGGCATGATCGTTCCCTCCTCGACAGCCAGCAGCTCAACCGGTGCAACCGAAAAGCCCACGAGCCCAATAAATCAAAAAGCGCAACGCATCCGCTACAAAGTCCTCTCCGACGAAGAACGCACCACGCTCCTCACCATGATAAAAATCTCCCTCCACAGGCCCTTCCACATGCTCTTCACCGAACCCGTAGTCTTCTTCTTCAGCCTCTGGATTTCCTTCTCCTGGGCAGTCCTCTACATGGCCTTCACCGCCGTCCCGCTCATCTACCGCACCACCTACTCCTTCTCCCTACAATCCACCGGCTCCATCTTCTCCGCAATCATAATCTCCACAATCCTCTTCACCATCCTTTCAATTTACCAAGAAGACTGGATTCGACCATTCCTGTCTGAAAAGCAGAAGAGGATGTTGGAGACGCCAGAAGGGAGATTATATTTCGCCTGCATTGAAAGCGCTTTATTGCCGATTGGATGTATTTGGTTCTGTATCACGGGAGCATATTCTTCCATTCATTGGGTCGTCCCTGCGATCGGATTAGGAATTGCCACGATGGGGATTTTCTCGATTTATTTGGCTGTGTTTAATTATTTGGCGGATTCGTATCATCGGTATGCGAGTTCGGCGCTTGCGGCGCAGAGTTTTTGTCGGAATATGTTGGCGGGGGCGTTTCCCTTGTGAGTTCACCCTCCCTTCTTTGTCCTTCAGTGCAAAAGTTGTGGTGAGATGTTGGGGCTAACGTGATTTTCAGATTTTCCGATCAAATGTTCAACACAATGACATTTCAAGGCGCGGGGGGGTTTCTTGGTGGGATTGGATTTTTGTTGACGACTGTGCCTTGGGTTTTGTTGCTTTTTGGTCCGCAGATTAGGGCGAAGAGTACACTTGCGAGTGAGATTTTGAAGAAGGGGTGATATGGTGACAGGCTTCCTGAATGATAGAGATAGAGGATAGACGAGATACTAACTTCAAAGTCTGCATGATGAATTTTGAATAACGAAGAAGTTTATTGCTATGAAAATGAATTACGAAATAAGTATTGTTGTGTTCACGTCCATCATAACCAGCAACCTCGGCCATTATTTCGAATCACCCGCCCCATCATTCATCGTCGAGGTCGCTTGCTAGTACCCCAAGTCGAAGCAGCAGCCCGTGGCGACGCCTGCATCGACGTCGACGACCGTTTCCTAGTCGGCGACGTAGGCTGAACGAAAGACTGATAATTCTTCCTTGCCTCCCTCATCAAATCATCCTTCTCCTTAGCGCTCAATTCAGGCAATTCCCACTGATCTTTTCTCTTTGTGAGAGGTCGCATAGGCTCCTCATCGTCTACGTCCATTTCTTCTTCTACCACGTTAGCCTGTTTGGAGGGACTGATCAGCGAAGTGATACTTTTTCGAATGGTGGAGAATAAGCCTACACTTTCCGTGGTGGGCTTGGTGGGGGATTTTGGAGGTTCGGAGTGTTCTGGAATCATGGTCAGTATATAAACATCATCTGCTAAGCTCATGTGAGAGTACTCACTTCTGTTCAAATCTCTGTTAATCTGATCGCTAATGACCTGCTCCATATACTTCGTCTCTCCAAAGCTGAAATACGGTGGCATATTACGATGCCAAACTTCAGGTCCTGGAAGGGTCTCGAAGAACGGATTGACGCGTTCTTGTACGATATCATTGCCATGGGCATCCTGATCAATCACGATATTGATCAAAGGTGGGTTGGTCGAGGAGACGATCTTGCCGCGCTCGCTGCAGTACGGTGTCCACGAGGTTTTGTTGGGAGGGAAAGCCTTCTTGCCGTCTCTGACCGCTTTGCGCTCCTGAACATCTGCCTTGCGCTTTGCTTCTCGCGCTTTTCTGTCTTGTTCAGCTTTGCGTGGGTCGGCTGCCTTGGATGGACTTGGTAGCTCCGGAGTCTTCGCGGGAGGTGCTGGTGGCAGAGCACGGGCTCTTGCGGAACCTCTCTGCGGCGATCTGACAACGCCTGTTTCGTCAACCTCAGGGATGTTCCTCACTTGGCCGCGGCTGTGAGCGTAACGATGCAAAGCGTTCTCGGCTCGCATTGCAGCTTCATGTCTGGCTCGCTCAACTCCTCTTGCTTGCGCTGCCTCAATCTTCTGTCTCGTAGCTCGAGTGGCTTGTTCATCATCACTCTCATCGTCCTGGTGCTCTAGGGCTGCAGCATATACAGCATCTTCAACGTCTTTAAGCAGCTTTTCCTCCTTGCGATCACCAGAACCACCATCGGGACGACTGCTACGTGCCTTGCTCTGCTTCTTGGACGTGCTGGGCGCGGTTGCTGCCGGCGCTTTCGACTTGCGACCTCCGCGCGTAGGTTTCTCGACGCTCTCTATCACCTCTTCATCTTCATCTGACTCATCTCCACTAGCAGTGGAATCGTGCTCGACCACCGGCCATGGCCCAGTCTTCTGTTCGAAGAGCTTTCGAAAGCGCCAGTAGATCTGAAAATGTATCTTCTGAGTGGATGGCTGATCATCAGGACGAGTCTCTATCTGAGTTGCCACATAACGTGCAACTTCATTGCTCAGAGTTTTGTAGCCGCGCTTGTTGGCCTCGAATGCGTCAATGGCTTCAACGAGCCTTTTGTCAAGGGATGTAAGAGTGCGTCCGTCGATAGCTTTGATAATGTCTGCAGTGGACTCGTTGGTCTTGTATCCTCTATCACTCTCGCTTGCTGGGCCACGGAATTGAGTGTCCTTGGTTTGAGTCTTCGTGGCAGGGGCCTTCGACTTCGTAGCAGGCTTTGCAGCTGGCTTCACAGGAGATGCCTTCTTAGTGATTTTGGTGGGTGAAGCAGCTTTGCGCGCCGGCTTTGCAGGAGAAGTCTTTTCTGGAGACTGCCTTGTCGTACGCTTTGCCGGCGCCGTGGTTGCTGCTTGCTCGGCGAGAGCTGCATCTCTGGTTTTGGTTGATGGTTTCCTGCCCTTCTTCGGCGCGTCGCTTTTCTTCGGCGACGCCTTCTTTGGCGCCATTCTTGCCTCTTGTGGCGTGTTGTTGGATTCTATCTGGGCTAGAAGACTAGGAGAGGAAGTGTGCAGGAGGGGACGCGAGCATGAGTGATGTAAACAAAGGAATTCCGCAATCTCATTGTGGAATGCAAGCCTGCAGCTTACCGTTCGCAGCCAACAACTTCTCACCTTTGAGCAATTGTCATCGGTACGCGCAAACATGCCGTTCGCCTGAACAACGCACCTCCTCATCATTGCGCGGTCTATGGTCCACGATGAGGAGCATGTCCCGGTACGGTCTACGCATGGCATCTCATGCTGTATATATTTGCCAGTGCTCAACTTGTGATGACGGCCTATTGCACAAGTACAGTCCTATCCAACAATGCCCATTCATAGTCTTGCTCCACCCGTGTCGACCGCGTCCTGCATCGTCTCGTGTTCCGCAAGTGCAGTGCTGTGTCTGGACATGAGGTGACAGCGCACATAGTCTTCTGCGGGTGTCGTCGTGCGTACGGAGGATAGGCGAGCGAGGGACAGTATGCAAATGGCATTGATAGCGACTTGATATCGTGAGCTCGTGGATCGCTGTTGAATGGAGATGGGCAGAGTGAGTGCGAGTCCGTCGACTCCGATGATTAACGCAAGTTGATGTTGCATTCACTAGAAGAGTCCCGGGCCTGCGCATGATCGTCACATACGGACCGCATACGAAGAGCAGCGTGTCAGGCGGCAGTGGTGAGCCGAGGCGCGAGCAATCCTGCCGCCCACCTCCATCACTCAAGCTCTGCGAACAAGAGTTGGCAAGCATCACAAGCATTGCTCCATGTGCCTCATGAACGGGTGCGAGTCTGGCGCTTCGATGGTACGCTGTGGCCTTGGGACACAACGGCGCGCCGATTTGAGCTCGTGGCCCATCTTCACCACACTCCATCTGCACACCAGCGGGGTCGCGAAATGAAGACCATCGTGTGGACCACCCACTCTTCGCTCTTCCCCAGTCAACGCTCGTAACCTCTGCAGAAGATCGACATCTTCACCATGTCACATGCAGCAAGCACACGCTTTGTGATGCGAACTCTGCGCCCGTTTCGGCAGGTCAACGGCCTTCCTCTCCAGGATCAGCGTCCGGCGCCTCCCTTTCTACTGCATAAACTCGAAGAATAGACCTGCCGGCACATCGAAGGACATCAGATGCACCGGAGCTTGGAGATCACACCGTAAACGCGCTGGATGCGGACTGCGTTATATCGCCCATCTCATCTACCATGGTCGGTCATGCGGGCTTGTCCGTGGACTATAAGAACAACCGTACTGCCATGTCTGCCAAAGAGCGCGCGGCTCTTGTCTGCTCATTCACCTCAATATGCACTTTTCCTTCTTCACTCTCGCTGGCCTGGCCTCCTTGGCTACTGCCCAGTCGACCTTTTCTCCACTTCGTCCGCCTGCTATTCCTTTGGCGGTTAAATCTCCTTACATGTCCACATGGCAGCAAGCAGGTAGCGATGGTGGCAATGGCGGCTACTTACCAGGACAATGGCCGACATTTTGGAAGTTTGTAGTGAACGAATCATGTATTTGATATCTCGCTGACAAGTTTCAAGCGGCGCCATCACAGGTTGGTGCGGTAAGTGCAATACCAACCAGAATAGCTTTCATCACAGTACTAACGATCCAAGGAATGATCCGAGTCGATAATTCTACATACACCTGGATGGGCAATCCGGATGGCGCCCGGGCTTTTGTCAACCAGACTGCTTTCTCTTACACGTCAACGAAATCCATCTTTACCATGCAGGCCGGACCTGTGCAGATGGTTGTAACCTTCCTTTCAAATGTCACCCCAGATGACCTGCTTCGATCATCGCTGCCGCAGACCTACATGAATGTGGATGTCAAGAGCACGGACGGCAGAACGCACAGCGTGCAACTGTATTCTGACATCTCAGCGGAATGGGTATCCGGTGACCGCGGAGCCACGGCACAGTGGGCATATGGTAATGTCAACGATGATCCGCAGCCCAAAGTGTTCGCGGCTGCGTCATCCGCGGCGTCTACAAGCCAGCCAGCAACTACGTTCGGGACACAGACTGCCTTCAAGGTTGAGAACGTCGTTCCAACTTTTGTGCCAATCGCCGCAGACGGCCTGGGCTCCCGACCAAATCCAGCACGGAATCAGCCAAATGCGACTTTCTCGCCTGTGGCTGTTCAATCGGTCGGCGCGGCGTCTGGAGGCGTCTCATATCACAGAGTCTACAGACAGCAGCAACTGGAATTCAGTTCGATCAACGAGCAGGCCGAATGGGGCCACTGGTACTTCGCTACTGCCAATACTACGAAGCTCACATTCCAGTCCGGCCAAGACACTACAGTTCGAGGGAATTTTATGAGATCCGGCAATCTTGCGAATACCAGAGATACGAGATTCAGAGCGATCAACAACGCCTATCCAGTCTTTGGCTTCGCTGTCAATGTTGGTCAGCTAGGCTCCACTATTCAAAGCACATTGTGGCAGATCAGTCTCCATCAGCAGAACTGTGTTCAATTCCAAGGCACTAAGAATGGCGTTCAGAAGCTACCGTGCATGGTGACCAATTACTTCCCGACAGAGCTGGCCGCCATGAAATGGTTTTACGATGACTACAGCAACGCGAAAGCGTTGTCGTCCAGCTTTGATTCTAAAGTTCAAAGTGATTCAGTCGCGGCAGGAGGAGCCGATTACGCAAAAATCACATCCCTCGCTGTCAGACAGGCGTTCGCTGCCAACGAATTTGCAAATACTCCAGAGAAGCCATTGCTCTTCATGAAGGAGATCAGCTCTGATGGCAACACCAACACGGTCGACGTGATCTTCCCCTTCCATCCTATTGCAATCTATGCAAATGCTACACTTCTCAAATGGCTGCTCGATCCACTCTTCATCAATCAAGAAGCCGGCAACTGGCCGAAGAAGTACTCTATCCACGACATTGGCAGCAATTTCCCCAATGCGACAGGTCACAGTGATGGTAACGCCGAAGACCAACCGCTCGAAGAGTGCGGAAACATGGTCATCATGGCACTCGCTTATGCTCAGCGAGCAAATGACAATGCATATCTGAGCCAGCATTACCAGATCCTCAAGCAATGGACAGGCTATCTCATCGACGAAGCTCTAATCCCAGCAAATCAAATCTCCACAGACGACTTCGCAGGCCCAGCAGCAAACCAGACTAATCTCGCGATCAAGGGCATAATCGGTATCGAAGCAATGGCACAGATCGCCAACAGAACTGGCAACGTCGCGGACGGCAAGAATTACACTCGCATCGCTCATGACTACATAGCCAAGTGGCAGAAGCTGGGCATAAACTCGAATGCCAACCCACCACATACCACTTTCAACTATGGCAATAACAGCTCTTACAGTCTGTTGTACAATCTCTACGCCGATCGCGAACTGGGATTACAGCTTGTCCCGCAGAGCGTTTATGATATGCAGAGTACATTCTACAAGACGAAATTTAACAAGTATGGAGTGCCGCTGGATACGAGGCATACTTATACCAAGAGTGAGTTGACTGAGACAGCCTTGCGGTTTGTGGGGTTGAGAATACTGATGTGATAACCAACAGATGACTGGGAAATCTTCTGTGCTGCCATTGCTGCCTCAGATACCAAGTCGCAGTTCACATCGGTCATTGCCAAATGGCTAGACCAAACGCCAACGAACCACGGTTTCGGAGATCTTTATGATACTATTAGTGGCGAGTAAGTTGGTCGACGATGTGACCAGAGAATGTCTGGAAGGCTTGCTGACATTGCTTCTTCCTAGCTATCCTGGCATCAACTTCCTCGCTCGTCCAGTTGTGGGAGGCATGTTCGCCTTCTTGGCTTTGAACAGCGCCCCTACAAGCGGAGTCTACCTGCCCAGAGGATCTTGAGACCGGATTCCGAGGCGTCGTGATCAGTTCTCTCTTTCGTACATGCAGTTCGCGATCTGCACATCAGAGCAATGATCACAGACATATTTCCCTTCCCCCTTTCGATTTATATCACCACCACTTCTCACACAACACCCTCCTCTCATCCATTCCCTCCAAACCTTTCAAAAAGTCCACAACCTCATCCGTCATCTTTGGCGGCCCACAAACATAACACACCGTCCCACTTCTCTCATGCTGGAGCCCGAACACACTCTCCTGTCTGTGCCCATCCACAGCCCTTACAAGATCTTCTTCCTTAAACCTCCTCCCGAACGTCCTATTAGGCAGTCTTCCATGCTCGATGATCCCTTGATCTCCTTCACCAAGACCAGTGAGGAAACAAGACAATGTGATATTCTTCGGATCGGATTCGACCGCGACGAGATCCATAAGCCTCGGAAGAAATAGAATTTTCTGCGGATCCAGGTCCGTGGAAGCTTTCGTTGCGTAAACAAAATGAATTTCTCTTCGCCGAAATTGTGAGGGAAGGCGTATAAGGTGTGTAAAAATCGAAATCAAAGGACTAACCACCACGTCAGCAACGACCATCACCAAAAAAACAAAATTCATCATCTCAACCAACAAACTCACTTTATCCCCACCCCACCCGCAACAAGCACCAACCGTTCAATCTTCTCCGTATCCAGCCCCTCAGGCGGCCAAGTAAAACTCCCTCCAACTCTCACAGCAAGTTGCGTATTCAGAATTTCGTCTTTAGGTCGCCAAAGCCATTGAGCAGGCGGATTTTTGCTTTTTTGGACTGCGAGTTCGATGTATGAGGGTGAGTGGCTAGAGGGTCGGGCTTCGGCGGGGGTGGAAGTTATGGTGAAACCGCCTGCTTGGCGGAGGGTGGGGATGAAGGTGTCGATCCATCTGGGAGGGAGAGGGGGGAGGTTAGTGATCATGATGTGACTGGATTGGTGTAAATCTCTTGATGCTTCGTATCGTATTTTGGAAATGGAGAGTTTTGGTCTTGCACAGAAAAGGTCTTGATGTTGGGGTACTCACTGTCCAGGTCGAAACTACACATGAACCGTCAGCCATCAACCCATCATTCTCCCACTGTTGAAGATTTCCATACTCTTATCGTATGATTCGGATCAACAGCATTAAGTCGCAACAACCTCACACTATCATTCACTTCTCGTATATTTGCCAAAATCACAGGCTCGATTTTATTTTCCCGAGGTTCAGTTGCTGTTCTCTCTTCATGTGGTGCGGAAGAACGAATGGTGGCCATTGATCTGGCGGGACAGTGAGGGTGTGACTTGAAGGGACGACGGCACGCAACTGCACTCCAGCGAATGGTACGAGCTAACATATCTTTTTGGGCAAATAATATATGTTATTTCAATGGAAGTCAGAAGTGTTGATGAGAAGTGGTGACGTTGAATCGGAGCGGAGAAACATTCATCCGACGTCTTGCAAAGGCTGCGCTTCCTCTTAACATGTGGACCTGACCCCAAGATTCCTTGTTGCGACCGCATAGATGCACTCATTCGTCCCAGCAAAAATGTGTTGACAGCGTCATTGACAAGCGCTGGTAAAGACACAAGCTGGATCCATACCCTTGCACACACAAAAACTGAACAGGCAAGCACGAAGTAACACTTCCCGGACACAGCGGTTCATGGACGCTTTCTCTTCTTGCTTCTCACCTTGAACTGCCTAAGCTTAGGCAGCCTCCACCATTTACTCTTTTGCCCTGCTGCGACAAGCTCTGCGATGGTACCAAGCTCTATATCATCGGGGAACACGTAGAAACCCTCCGCTGCCTGCTCCCATGGCGCTTCAGGCTCGTGCCCAAGATCGCTGCTACGCTTTCTCTTGGGCCAGAGCCAGAACACGGCAATCGATAGCACAGAAGCCCCGAGGAGCAATCCAGCTACAGCAGCTACAGCTCGCCAATTGGGCCCTTTCGCCTCGCCGTTGATTTCTTGAATGTTCATTCCGAATATTCCAGTAGCCAAGGTCATGGGCAAGTATATGGCCGCCAACAACGTGAGTAGCGTTGCAAGCTCTCCATTGCGCCTACTAGTCCTGCTATCCTCGAGTGCTATGCGGGATTGCTTAAGACTTATTGCAGCGATGATGAGTTGCAGATTCTCGTTGAGGGACGACATCACGTGGGCAGCCTGCCTTTCCAACCAGTTATGTTCTTCTTCCAAAGTGCGACTCACGAGCTGACGCGGACTTTGGTAGCTGCTGGAAACCCGAGATTCTGCTCCAGAATTTGCGTCGAGATGATCGCTGCAGGTGGCGACCTTATCGTACACAGACTGCAGGAGCCTGGGATCAAGCGTCCCCACCGTATTCGCGAGGTGTCTTCGAAGGCGGGCCACGCTATTTCGATATCCTTTGAGGCGACCCAGCGCTTCGTCTGTATTTACACCAGCAAGGGGGCCTTCTACTTTACGCAGTGTCGAGCTCAACGTCTGCGCGTAATGACAAACTGTCAATTGCCATATGAATAAGCTCGAATTCTGCTCTAGAGAGCTTCCATGTTTGAGCAGATGGGATAATCTTTGCACGCTCCATGCATTGGAGAAGTATCCGTAGAGCAAGTCGGACAGTTTGGACAGCTCGCCTTGCATAGGAAGCACTAGAGCCCCTTCCCACGGCTCAAAAGGTTGAGCGGATCCAGCATTCTTGAGTAAAACGATGTCTGTCAGGCTTGTCAGCAATACCCGTCGGCTCCAGACTTCCTAAAACATACAGAATGCTTCGTTGACGTTCAAGCATGAGACACGGGTATGTGTTGTCGGATCAACTTCAACGAACGAGGATGGAAGAACGTCATTGAAAGCAATGTACCGGCGAGATCCATAAGTTTCATACACGATGCCATCAGCTTGGGAGCATTGTTGGCTCTCCAAGCCCCAACCGCTGCGCTGCGCCCTTGCCGAAGAATCGCAACGCCACCACGGTGGCGAGCAGACATGGTATGCGAAGAAAGAGGGGCTTACATTCAGGTGTTCGCCAACCTCACATATAACTTGTAGGCTCACGTCAACGAACATCAGAGCACCATCAGAAGAAGTGCCGATATCGCAGTAGGGATGATATGTGCCTGTGTTTCTGGCCATGGGGGCATGCATTGGAAAATCGTGCTGCGGCCGCGTTTCGCGCCAAGTTGCTTCGTCTTCTCTAGCCGAAGGAATCGGTATCGACGAGTCTCCAGCGTCCAGCCATCGTTCGTATCTTTCATTCTGAGATCCTGGTGGAGTGACCTTCGTGCTCCAAACATCACCATATGTGCGACAGCAATCTTTGAAAGCATCGCGAAAGCCCCTCTGGCGCACGATGCGCCGATCGACTATTCGCTTGATTGCGTTCAGCAAATCGCTGCTGGAAATGGTTTCGTCTTGATGAAATTCCAAAATATGATCTCTGTCCTGCAGCTCGAACGTGGGAACATGCTGCCACTGATGTGCCCAGTGGTCTTGAGATTCCCCATTGCGGCCTTCGCCGCCGTTCGGTGAAGCATCATGGTGCACTTCACTGTCTGCTGTGGTGAGTTTCATGCTGCTTACGGCCATGAATAGTTGCATCAGTAATTTATGTCACACGTCCAAGACCACTCCCAGCGTAATCCAGATCGTCAGCGGAGGCTCCAAGATCTTTCAGAGAATTCTCTCAGCTTGAGCTGAAATGCCAGCGCAGGTCACAGCTGCAAGCGTGGCGACCCGCATGTATGCTCGCGTATGCAAGGACTGAGGGAGCTGCAAGCCACTGTGTAACCAGCATGGTTGGCAGAAGCTATCCAATATCCGCTGTTATTTCGCTGCCGCTCTCGAAAAAATCCGACGACTACCAGATCCGCGGTTGAATGTGGGTGACAAAGCGGCGCTGCAGGAGCAACCAACCTGGAAAACAAGACAAATTAAAAATTTGTGCCCGCAACTCCTCAACAGCAGGCAGCAACTCCTCGTGGCGCCTACCTCTCAAGTCGGGCGCGTGCCTTCGCGCGGTCCAGGCGTTTGTGAGTGTTCTTGCCTCCAGGACATTTGTACCTTGAGTCTGGCTTCCTCGCGAAGCCGAAAAGCAGTTACTCCAATGACAAGAACAAGATTCTCAGAAGACGGTAGCTACATTGGTCTGACTTGGGAGGTAGGTGCTTGATCTATTCCAATGCCTCCCTTGATCAAGAAGCTAAGCCTCCTTCTCCCCCTTATCCAGCCTCTCCCTCTCCCTTCTCCTGTCCTGCCTGCTTCTCCAAAAGATATAGGCAATGACAACAGCAGAAGGGATCATCAGTACGATGGCTAATATGATTGGCCACCAGTATCGTACCTCGTCCCCGTTCACGTCCTTAATGTTCATTCCAAAGATGCCAGTCGCCAAAGTCAGAGGGAGATATATGGCCGCGAGGAGGGTCAGTTGCGTTGATCTCTCACCGTTTCGCCTGCTGACTTCGGCGTCTTTCAAGGCAACTTGAGATTGCTCCACGTTAAGCGTAGCTATAATAACTTGGAGGTTCTCGTTCAATCGCGGCATCAGATCTGCAGCTTGCTTGTCGAGCCAAGCATGCTCTTTATCCGGTGAAGATGCAGCTTGTTGACGGGATGTCAGACTGACGCTTTCCAACGCATGTTGCACACTGCTCTCGTGTTCGCTCTCGCTACCACGGCCCAAGTCCTTCTGATGTTTCCTAGCATTTGTGTAGGCCTCTTCCAAAAACATATCCGAGACTGCCCGCCTTGTCTGCGCGAGATGCTTCCGGAGTTCGGCGACGCGTGCTCTGCCAGCTTTGACACGATCCAAGGCTTCACTTGTCGAAAGCGTGACGCATTCATAATCTATTCGCTGAAGGTCAAGAGCAATGTTCCTAATTTCACGCTCATACAGCCACACAGCCCACTGCCATAGGAACACATTTAAACCATAACCAGATTCCTCGCAGCATTGCCAAAGCTCACACAACTTTTCAAAATTCCACTTTTCTGCGAGAAAGACATTGACCTCACGCATCATGTCGATATTCCCGGGCGTGGGAAGGATCAGATGATTTGGAAAACCAGCAGGAGGCGTCTCGATCTTTAAGCCATTCACCGCAATGACAACTAGACAGTTAGCTTGATGGAGGAGACAACCTGATGCCGTCCACGTACCGAACGAATCTCCCATCAGTAAGCCAGAAAGCCAAATTGCATTTTCTTCGCTGCAAAGCTTTGGTGTTCTTCGTGGTCTACCTCGCACATCGAACACTGTACTCCTTGCAGATCGCGAAAGCGTGGTACTAAAGCCTGCTGCAAAGAAACTCTTGGTGGACGCTTCCCGAGACTGATACGGGTCCTGATACGGGTCATCGCTATACAATCCAGGGCAGATGTGATCGGCTAGAAAGTCTGGAGGCAAATGAAAGATGTTGCCGACCTCGCACATTTGACGTAAGTCTAAATTGTCCAATAAAAGGACACCGCAATCGGCCAATTGAGATTCGCCAATTGGATAAGCCCTACGATGGAGCTTGCACCCAGGGCGATATTCTTCATGTTGGCGCTGTCTGAACTTCCACCAGCCGTAACGATTTTCTTGGATGGCTGCAAATGGATCTCCAGCCTGGAGCCATTTCTCATAACCTTCAGCTGCAGATTCTGGCAAGGCTATTTTGGTCGTCCAAATGTCACCGTATAGCCTCATACATTCCTGGCGAAGCCTGCCGAAATATTCTCTTTCCCCTCGCATACGTGACTCCATGGTGGGTTTCGCTATATCCAGAAGCTCATTATCGTCAAAAGGGCACTCAAGTTGACCGCCCGTATAGTCATCGGCCGTCATTCCAGCGATATGGGCCCGCATGTAGCGAATGCTTCGTAATACCGTGGTAGGCGACAGCTGAAGTTTTCTCATCACAGCAGGTCTCGCAGCTTCTTTCTCGGCTTTCAGATCATGCTCCGTCGACCCCGTGTCCTGACCGCCTGAGTCCGCTCTAGGCTCAATTCCAATGCCAGTTGCAAATCCAGTCTCCTCCTTTGCGCCAGAGGCCAGTACCGGGTCCTCCATCGGTATCCCAGTCTCGCCGTTAGCCATATCGCAGCAAAAGATTCTGCAAAGTAATCAACGGGAGGAAATTGCAGAATTGTTAACCCACATCGCGACTAGTCGACGTGGCCGCAGCAGTGTAATACAAAGAACTCCCTCTTCAGCCGCAAGCCTAAGCGACCCATTCAAGATCCAGCCTCTCAGGGTTGCACATGCAGTGCAACAGCCAGATCGGCTTGGCATGAACAGTTCGACTTAGCTATCCTCCCATTCGCGAAACGTCTTGTTAATCCAGTAGCTGGTGGTGAGCGAATGGATGATGAGCATGCCGAAACTCATCGATGAGTGCTGCGATGCATAAGGCACAAGGTATGTTGAAGGACTGAACTCGCTGCCAAGCCTTCAAACGGGTTTGAAGGTGCTTCAAGGCAGCCACAACCCAAGCTGGGAAGTACGCGCCGCCACGCGACGCGTCCTCTTTTTCATCACTGTCACTCAAGTCAGCATCACCATGTCTTCTCAATGAAATCGTGCCTGAGACCGTTCAATCGAATTGAGAACACCATTGGTATCATATTTTCCTTCAACTCCCAAGCATTTGCTAATCGACAGCGACTGGCGGCAAGGTACCCACGAATCGGTTCGGAACTCCGTCCATAATGCCCGGTCGTGTCCTCTATAATCATGTCATCCCCATCATCTGCTGTAAACGTGTCTTTGTGCTCTTCTTCATCTGTCTTCATCTCTTGATCAAGTTCTTCTAAGCCGCCGGGGCAGCGTGGAAAATCACCTGAGGAATCGTGGGAAATGGGAAACCGCTGAGCTTGCTTCGTGGAGTGGCCAGCGGCGTGCCGGCTAAAGGAGATGGCATCTCTGACTTGAGATATGGGTCGACGTTCGCTCCTGCTTACGGTCAGCCATTGCTTCACAATCTGATAAAACAAGTGGCAGAGCACTTACTCACCCTAAGCATTCTGGTCAAGACCCAAATCCTCTTGAGCTGGGACCACACGAAGAGTGTTGGTGTGACCCATTCCACCTCTCCAGCCTTGCACACAAATGACTGCATCGCCCTTGTTGAGGACACCCAACTTGATGGCGTTGTTAATGCCCCACTTGAGACGTGCGTCAACGTCCTCTTGCCATGGCGTAGTCTTGAAGTCTGGCTTCTCCACATCGTAGTGGAATGGGTAGACGCCACGGTACAAGTGGGAGTAGCGAGAGGCGCGCGCGTTTCGTGTGACCATGATGATGGGGCAGACTGGTCGGTATTTGGAGATGAGACGGGCAGTGTTGCCGCTGCGATCATGTTAGCCGAATGTTCGAGATCGGAGTGGAAACAAGAAGACTCACGATGTGGTCAGAACGAGAATAGCGCCCGCATTCTGCTCGAGAGAAGCAGCCACGGCAGCCATGGCGCAGTTCTCGGTCGTTGGCACTGGTCGTGCTGCCAACTGCTTCAACTCGTCGAATGCATTCAGGTAAGGAATGGCAATCTCCGCGAGCAAGCAAGTCTCGTGCATCATGGTGACAGCCTCGCGAGGGTAGTTGCCCTTGGCAGTTTCGCCAGACAACATGACACAGTCGGCTCCGTCGAGCACGGCGTTGCCAACATCACTGACCTCGGCACGAGTCGGACGTGGGTTGTAGGTCATGCTCTCCAACATTTGCGTAGCACAGATAACTGGCTTGCCAGCAATGTTGCACTTGGTGATCATCATCTTCTGGGCGATGAAGACCTGGGCAGGTGGGATCTCAATACCCAAGTCACCACGGGCCACCATGACACCGTCGGTGACCTTGAGGATCTCGTCGAAGTTGTTGACACCCTGCTGGTTCTCGATTTTGGCGATGATCTGGATGTCCTTACCCTCCTCACCAAGCACCTCACGAATGGCAGCAATGTCCTCAGCACGGCGGATGAAGGAAGCAAAGACCATGTCGACGTTGTTCTTGACACCGAACTTGAGATCGGCCTTGTCCTTCTCGCTGAGAGCTGGAAGATCGACATCCGTCTTTGGCAGGTTGACACCCTTCTTGCTGCTGATCTTGCCATTGTTGACGGCTCTGCACTTCAAGTTCTTGTCGTCGGTAACCTCGAGCACCTCGAATGCGAGGACACCATCGTCAACGAAGATTGTACGACCCTTCTCGATCACCTTTGTGATGTTCTTGTAATCGACATACATGTTCTTGTTGTCCGATGCCGTGGCATACTTGTCGTCGGTGGTGATGTTGATCTCGGAGCCGGCGGAAATGGGGATGTCTTCGTCGTTGGGCGTGTTGCCTGTTCGGATCTCTGGGCCCTTGGTGTCAAGAGCAATGGCGACTGGACGTCCTTCTTGCGTGGCCTCAGCCTTGCGGGCATTGTCGATAACGGTTTGGTGGTACTCGTAGCTGCCGTGGGAGAAGTTCATGCGGACAACCTGCAGACCGGCGGTGCGGAGCATGTTGATCTTCTCTGGGGAGTTGGTCTTGGGACCTGGTGTCACTCTCGTCAGTCTCGTTGTTCTCATCCTTCCCGCGGGGCACCGCCATACCGATGGTGCAGATGATCGAGGTGCGTCGAAACTGCTTTGGTGGGTGGTATTCGGTATTGAGGGAGGCGAGCCATTGCACACGCGTGCGGCCATATTCCTGGTGTACGAGAGAGTCGCCCATGGTGTCGTTGGTGTCTTGGTGTGTATGGCGGTGGAAGGTGGTGTTTGCTCCGTCAGTCCAACTTTTTTCAGCTCGAGTTCCGCCGAGCTCTTAGCAATGACGTGGGCTGATTGAGGCGGTGTTTCAGCAGGAACGACTGAAACGTGAAGTGAAGAGGGAAGGAGTCAGACTGGCAGGAGGGAGGGAGGCAGGTGGGAGTGGTGAGGAGCTCGCGGCGTTATAGGCGGTCAAATGTGAATAGGCCATCTCATCCAAGCTGCGTTCAGCAAAAAGGGACACCCCACCTCAACGCGCAAAGACACGCTCCAAACTGCACTACGCCAGGCGGGCGGCTCGTCAACCGGACCTCCGAACACGACGTGCTGCTTCTATTGGCCGCGACACGGTCGACAGAAGGCCTCCCTGCCTGTCCCACCCAAATTCCAGAAGCCCGCCCACGTTCATCCCATCGCCCTCAGCGCGTGCTGCGATGCTTTTCCGCCGATAACAAACTTTGCGCCAAACGGAGCTACGTAATCAGCCCTATCTCTGCACCCTTGGCTGTCCTCAGGCATCTCTTTTCCACGAGGAAAGCGACTTCGGAGATGACCGAACTTCCTCTCCCACACATACACGTCGCTGCGATCTACAACAAAGCGTACAGTCGCGTCATGATGGCCAAGGAAGACAACGACGACGACGACCGGGTATGCGCTGTCTCCTCGCGTCAGGAACTCACACATCCTCATACCCGCCCCTGCCGCGCCTCGGACAGCGACAGAAATAACGTCAGCATATACTCGGGTCACTATTTTGCATCGGTGTGAATATACCCCGAACAGCCAATATTAATAAGCAAAAATCATCGTTATCGCATTCAACAACCCAACTCCAGAGATCAAAACAAAAATGCCAAAAACCTCATCACTGAGATCCCATTACCTATTTCCTCCTCCTCTTTTGACTGTCCCTTCTATCAGCATACCCCTCCCCATCCTCTCCACTCCTTTTCCTCTTCTTTCCAGCATTTTCCAACTCCCTCGTCAACAACCCAACCTCCTCCACCAACTCCCTCTGCCCCTTCTCCAAAACCCAATTCCTCTCCAACAAATCATCAAAATCCGTTCTCAACTTCGCGTGCCCCACATGCTGCTCATGATGCCAATCCCTCACAGTCTTATTGCTCATCCTCAACGTCTCACTCTCCATCAAAGAAGCATCCAACTTCTCGCGCAAATCGGCATTGATATCTCGAATTCGCGCAAGTGAGCCAGGAGATATGAGAGGCGTGAGAGGTCGGTGGTTGACGTGGACCGGAAAAGCTGCTGAAGGGTTTCGATCGCGAGGACTACGATGTGGTGAGTTGTGAGGAAATTGAGCAAAAGGGTGAGGGGCGGAATCAAGTGGGTGGAGGCTGGGAATAGCCGGGCGAGGTGTACGAAGGGAGGACGTTCGAGAGTGAGGATGTGGCGACAGATGGGCATGCGAGCGGCGTATTTCAGTTGGCAGAGGCGTGAGACGAGCACGGCCTTGGGTGTCCTCTGCATCCGCAGCGTCGTCTCCTTCATCTTCGACGTCTGTGTCGGGTTCGCTAGGGTCGGAGAGCTCTTCTTCTTCTTCGAAGGGCGGGATTTCTTCTGAGGTGTCGGAGGCAGGAGGACCTTGCTGTTCTTCACCCTCTGATTCCGAGTGCTCTGATCCAGAATGTTCAGAAGATTCTTCATCTCCTTGTCCTTCCTCTTCCTGCTCCTCTTCCTCCTCCTCCTCCTCCTCCTCCTCCTCC